GCAAATCAAAGAAAGAATCAAACAGGTAACGCTCTTAAGTTCCATCACCAGAGAAACAATATTACCCTAATTTCTCTTCTCTGGTGATTTTGTGGTTGTCTCAATAACCGGAACTAAACATTGCCTTATATAATAGACAACGTACCTGAATCTTTAGAGTTCAATAAAAATAATGAGCAAGTGGGATGAAGAAGCCATTAATATGGATCACCATGCATGTTACGTTCTACGCGTTTGGGGCCGTTGGGCCATTGGCGGGAAACATTTAAGGAAATGTTTTCTCTTTCAAGTCAAAATAGATCTACACACTTAACTAGTTCATACTCTTCAGAAACTTTCGATCTCTACTTTTGCTCATTAATTACTCTTCCTTTATTATTATCCAAATTCGTTGACATTTCAACCCATCACAACCGCATATATATAACCATTAATGACTAAACCGAGTTTTACCGATAATTATTTGTGCTTATTCATTTTTTTAAAAAAGCAAAAATTGGAACTGGTTTTTAGAAAAATTTCAACTGCGGTGATTAATATTGTGATTTTTTACTTCTGTCTTTTTTCCTTTTAAATAATTATACCCGTGATGGATATACATGATGTTGACCTTTCAGAAACGAGTCCGGAAAAATCAACGGTGAGAGTCAACGGTGCCGACAATAGTCAACGGTGAAACTCTAGAGAAAATAATAAATTCGGCTCACATGCATTTGTAAGTACATTGTCTAAACCTTACTATACACATTTAATGTTTACTAATTCCCCAACTAAAACCACCAATCAAAATCCACTTCCGATTAATAATATATAAATTGTATACATACATGCATATGCATCTTCATGCTTATACATCAATCTAAATAACGATTCTTATGAAACTTCAAGCTAGGATAACAAAGAAAAATATTGGACCTCAGTAAGTGCTACAGATGTAGTATGCCAAATCGTGGTCATAAAAATACTTCTGGTGAAAAAAAAAACAAAAAAAAAAATCGAAAATTAAACACACAGATTATGTAATACTAGTCTCTTACAAAGAGATTGAAGTTTTAAAAGGGGGAATTGGTGATCTTTTGCTTGCCTCAAGACATGAGCGTCTCCCATCTTGTTCATCGAAGCAATCGAAAGAAAAGAGATATCGTTTCGATCAAACTAGTAAATCCAAACAGATCATTTTCTCTCGTTCTCATCAAACATTTGCCGACATATATATTAGATGATTTATGCTTTACTTCTTCTTCAATCTTTGATCCTGATGATGTTCAGTCACTAAAAAATGTATTAATACCAAGCACACATACACATGTATACATATATTTATGATGGACGCGTATAGTAGATATACGAATTATATAATAACATGATCAGATCGATTAAATGACAAAATTAGATGAAACGAGAGACATACCATCGTCAATGAAGCGATGAGGAGTCTCCGGAGAAGACATATGGATGATGGATCATTTCTCTCCCTCTCTCTTTAAGTCTCTGCTCAAACCACTCACTTCCTAATCAGGCATCATTTTGTCGTGTACCCAAATTCCTTTGTTCATCAACCATTTTGGGAGATTATATCCTAAAAGGGCTCGTCGCAGCAAATCATCTGGTTTGACTCCGTTTCTTAACATATGTTCATACAACAATGCGGCTTCAGCAAGTTTTCCAACCTTGCAACAACCACGAATAAGAATCGCGTAGGCAACAACATCAGGCAATAACTTTGCATCTATGGCTTGATGGAAGATATTTGTCGCTTCATCCACTCTTCCTCGTTTGCAAAGACCGTCAATTATGATACTATAACTTATTATGCTTGGAGAAATACCTTTCTCTCGCATATTCTCAAAAAGCTTGAAAGAACCTTCAATATCGATGGATTTTGAGAAAAAATCCATTAGACAACCATATGTGACAACATTTGGTTTAGGGCCCTCTTCCACCATTCTGGAGAACATCCTTACAGCATCATCCACAGCATCGTTTTTACAGAGCGCATGGATAAATATCGTCAAAGTTACAGAACTGGGTCCAAAAGCGGTGAGCTTAAGCATCTCGAAAATCCTCTTTGCTTCATCTAACCTTCTAAAAGAGCAGTAGCCACATATCATTGTGTTATAGGTAACAATATCAGGCTCCATCTTTCCTTTGAGAAGACTATTAAAAAACTTAGAAACATCTTCTACGCGTTGAGCTTTGAATAACAAATTAATGACGACATTGCATACCGCGATATCCACAGAGATTCTATTACTCTGCATAAGCTCAAAAAGTTGAAGCCCAATGGTTGGCTTCATATGCTTGCAGAATGCATCCATTAGTGTACAGAATGCTACAGCATCAGGTTCAAAACCCATTTTGAACATCCGGAAAAACAGAAATAGTGCTTCCTCTATTCTACCTTCCATGACACTCACTCTCATAAATGTGGTGAATGTGGCTACATCAGGTTTTATACCATAAATCCCCATTAATCTAAACACCTTCAAAGCCTCTTCATAACGATTTAACTTACACCAGCCATCTATTAAAGAATTAAAAACCACAACATTGGTCTGGACCGACTGGCTCAGAGTCTTAACAAAGAATCTCAAAGCATGCAGCATTAGCCCTTGTTTGCAAAGGCCATCTACAATCACACCATAAATGCCATCATCAGGTGAATGGCCCATCTTTATCATATCCTCGTACATATCAAACCCGGATCTCAAGTTCCCACACTTGCAAAAACCATCAATGAGACTGCTATAAGTTACAACGGATGGCTCTAAACAACGTTTCAAGATCTGACCATAAATACCAAAAGCCTCGTAAATTTTTCCATCCTGGCACAAGCCTTTTATGAGAATGGTGTAGGTAACCACATTAGGGGAAATTCCTTGGCACAACATTCTCTTATACACATCAGATGCAGTTGCTAAATCCCCAGACTTTACATATGCATCAATCTTTGAACTGAAAAAAATTACGTCAAACCTCACGCCGTTATGTAATGCCTGCGAGAAAAGTTTATGACCCATTCCTAACATCCCTGCTTTGAAGTATCCATCAATCAGAGTGCTGTACGCGATCAAGTCAGGCACTATCCCTTTCTGTTCCATTACATTGAAAAGCTCAAATGCTCTGTCCATTTCGCCTCTTTTGCAGAACCCGTTTATCAGCGTACTAAAAGTCACTACATTAGGTTGCGGACCACAGTCCAACACCAAGCTGAACATACGAGAAGCTACCTCTATCTGATCATCAATCATAAGACCTTTCAAAATCTTATTGCAAGAAACTATATCGACATGAAAACCTCTCTCAATCACTAGTCGGTGAAAATCTAAAGCCTTTGTGACCTCTCCTTTGCGGAAAAGAGCATCCAACACAAATCCATGAGCACTCAAACCACAACGGACGATTCCTCTACATAGTTTATCGAAATGATCAGCTATTAAGTCAATACGAGCAGCGTCAATCAAATAATTCAGCATCCTATACACAGAATCCTTCGCTATAACTACACCTGATTGAGTGCTATACACAATTATCTCCATAGCCTCATCAAACATGCCATATCTACAACAACACTCCATCAAAAACCCATAAACAACACTGTGATTCAAAGGAAAGTCCATTGACTTATCCAGCATTACACTTATATTTCCACGATTGGCAATCATTTCATCAAACACCTTATCTGCAACATCGAACTTCCCATGACGAACCAAAACATGAACAAGGGTAAAGAAAGAAGGAGCTAATCCAGACATCTCTGCCCATCGGAAATAATTGACCGCAGAATAAGGATCAGACTGAAGTGAAAGAAGAATCAAGTTCGTCTCCTTCCGTAGCGAATTTGCACCGTACTCAGAATCTAACGGGTTAAAGTTTCCTTCTTTGATTGCTTTAGAGACACCAGCAGCTAGGGCTTTAACGGAATTAGACGAAAACCGACAAGGTTTTGGAATGTTCAGCCGTAATTGTGAAAAAAATGAAGAAAAAAGAAACATCTTTCAAAGAGTACCCATTGGCGCGGAAACTGAGCCCTCTCTTGTTTTTTTTTTTTTATTCTAAGAAATCGCAAAACCTGATTTGACCCAATTAACCCGACCTCTCGTGTTTTTTTCTTTATTCTAACTGGTCGATTAGTTGAACCAATCGCCCAAACTTAATGATTAAACCGACTAATTGTCTGTTGAACCGTTTAAAATTTAACTTATTGGCTTTTATCAATCAATATTTGACAGAGACTTGTTGGGCTTTAAAATTGAGATATCTAATTCCTCTTTCACTCTACTTATTTAATGAGATCTCAAATTCCTCTTTCACTATTGTTGTCGATGTGGGACAATTCATTCTAACAAATTTCTGCTTTTATATAATTTTTTTTTATTTGGGTGTGTGCGTGTTCTCGTGTTGGATTGCTTCCGGGAGATGTAATCTTAGCCGTTGATGGCACTGAACTAACCGAATCAGGATCTGATTCCGTTTCCAGAGTTGGCGATGTCGTAAAGAGGAATCCGAATCACAATGTGTTGCTCAGGAGCGAGGATTTCAAAATCCGAAGAATGTCTAGCAAAGCAGAGCAACCAGTATTAACTTTAACAATCGAGTAATTGCTTTCAAAATTCCCATATATATCAAAGCAAGATAAAAAGTTTTTAACATTAAATAGTAAAATACCAAATGAAAACTCTGTTTCATAGAACAGAGCCAGTAGTCTGAAGAAGGAAGACTATTTAACCAAGGAGTTAACGAACTCCGTTTCGAACGGAAGACTATTTGACCAAGGAGTTAACGAACTCCGTAACTGATAAACAAAAGTTGACGGCACTATTGTCGTTAGAGCCTAACGGAGAAAATGAGAATCAAGTTTTACTGATAAGTACTGATTCTTGCCAAGCAATTATCAGTTGGTCTGGTATGAGGCAAGTACATCACTGGACACTCGGTGTTGCTCCGTTTCACCCTGCAAAAATATGGATTATTTTCAGCATACTAGAGAAAGATTTGATTTTTGAAGATTCAAACTTTGCTAGTCTTACCGATATTTGAGGATGAAATGATGAAGAAAAACTGAAATCTCGAGCTTAGCGAGATCATTTCCTGGGCATAAATGGCTTCCAGCACCAAAAGGAAGGAACGAGCCAGCTTTTGGTACGAAACCCTTCTGAAGAACACAACCACCATAAAAAAAAAGCTACTTTTTTTCCTCTGAACATTCAAAAATTAAGTCTTTGGATCGAAAAATGCAAGAGAATAACTTACATCCCATCTAGATGGATCAAATTTTCTTGGATCCGGGTAGATTTCAGGGTCCATGTGAACATCCCTAAACCACGTCAAAACCTTCCAACCTTTTGGGATCAAATAGCCATTCATTTCAACGTCAGTCTTTGCCTCCCGAAATGCGGTAAGTGAGAATGTTATGACTCGAAGTGTCTCATCAACAACCTATTGAAGAAACACCAGATCTTTCTATCAGTACCCCAAAAAAAAACACAGCCGATAAAATCTGTTGCGATATGAGACACCAAAATCTTACCTGCGATAGGAACTCCATTTGCCGGGTTTCTTTTAGAGTCAGTCCCTTTTGTCCCTTAGGCCTATTTTTCAAGATCATCTCTTGTTCGGCCTATTTATGCAAAAACACGAACTAATAACATGACTTACTCCGCAAGAAACAAAATATAGAAAAAGGATAAGGAAATTATATATAATATTACTCTCCATTTACCTTTGCCCTTTGTAGAAACTCAGGGTGTTCCTGAAGGAAAATGGTAGCCCACATAATGGTGTGGCCAGAGGATTCATGACCGGCATTAAGATACATCAGAAGAACATCGATAATCTCTTCGTCATCTAAAGTTTTCCCTTTTTCATCTTTAACATCAAGAAGATTATCCAACATATCCTTCTTATTGGATGAATTGTTCTGCTTCCTTTGATTTCTACGCTCAGTCACTATGGACTGAAAGGCAGCTACAAGTTTCTTCCTCGCCTGTAAAAATGGATCGAAAGCTAAGTGATGATCCTAAGACAATCTTAAAAAAAATGGAATATATTGATTAAGTTAATTTATACCTTGAGTGCTCTATGGTAAGCAAAACCAGGAATATTAACCGCCATGGCTCGAACACCATAGTTAAGAGCTGTATATTCTCGCTCCAACGCGTCCATGACATTCTCACTCTCAGTGCTGAGGAAGATGTACATGATGATCCTAAAGGTAAGCTTACGCAGATGAGTCAGAAACTCAAATTCTCCTATTTTGGTCCACTTGTCTAGAGCGGTAATGACGTTTTCTTCAATGTAAGGTATGTAGACAGAGAGAGCTTCATGGCCATTGACTGGAGCAGAAGTCAAACGCCTGAGACGCTTGTGTTCTTCAAAGGAGATGCCAATGAATGACTTCCTTCCAATAAGTTCCATTGTAGATGTTGGCCAACCTGGCCGGAAGGCATCGTCATCTGTCAGCACACGCCTGCAAGTGTCTGGTGTTGTTACAATAATACTTGGGTTCCCAAACATGTGTGCTTTATACATGCCTTTAGGTCCATACCTGCACATCATTAATTGACGACATATATATATAGACTTGGAGAGTGAGTATTGATGTGATCAAAAATCAACTGTTGATGATTATCAGATATATATAGATATATAGATTTACACCTTTTGACCAAGGTGCGGGTAAAGGAGTCAGGGTCAGAAGTCTTGAAAGCTCTGAGGAAAGACAACATGTTGCCAATGAAAGGCCAACCCAAATCTCCTGGTGGCAGATAGTGCCTGTTCTCACCAAGGCTGGACTCATAGACCCACACATTCACTTTCTTAACCAACCATTTCAGACTAAAACTTCCCAACACCATCAAAGGGAACCATATTGGGATCCAACTCGTTGTTTCCCCCATAGATAATTTCCCAACCCTTATTTCTTTTTATTGGTCGAATATGTGTATCTTCCTCTTCATGTAGAACAGTACATGTATAAAACTCTCACACCTGTTAAATAGTACGTACAGTTGATCAAAAATTACCTTGTAGTCCCCAATTAAAACTGGTAAAATATCTCTTTAAAATTTGGGAATTTGTTATCTGTGCAATTTCTGGTAGTAGAATAGCATATCTTATTAGGAAATTTCTAAGGGATAGAAGGACGTGTTCCTATCGGATTTGTGGTGGGACAAATACCAAGTGACATGCGCCACGCTCATATGCTTCTTTATGATAATTAAGCTAATTCACCATAATTAGTACTATCTTTACATGTGTCGAGTACGAGTATTACCATCTAAAACATATTAATCCATGGATAAGGACTCATTAATACCAAAAGGTAAGTATTAAACCGAAATTTTTAACACATCTCATACTCGGTCAATTACGGTTAGAACACTGACCATCAATGCAAATGAACCACTGATACCAACTAAACCAAACTTTGCAGCTTATACCTTAAGATTTAAAGCCCATCAGATAGGCCCATAAATTTCGTGTATATAATAATATTGATTTCAAACGAATCGATAACTTGCGCCTGTAGATCTCCTCTCGCTCTCTCTCTCTTGGTTGATAGCTCAATTTTTCTTCCCTGGGTTTCAGACTCGATAAGAAACGAAGTCACGGATTTTTATCTAACCGTGTCAATCTCTCCGAATGCTTTTCTGATGTTTGATGAGCTGAAACCAATTTCTTTTTTTTTTTTTTTTTTTTTTAGCTGAAACCAATTTCTTTATATTCCCACTTGAGTTTCGAGTAAGAAGATGCTTGTCGGGGGTCAGGGACATTAAAAGCCCTAACTTTAGTAACAGAGCCAGAGTGTCTCTGTGACTGACAAAAACAAATTATCCAATATTATGCACATTATTATTTCTAGTTTCCCAATGTAATTTTGAAGACATTGCAACTCTCATACAGATTTATATAGCTAAAAGATGTCAGAAAAAAAACACAAAAAAAGCTACACATTATGTAGATGATCAGTTAGATTTGTTTTATAGATTTCTGTTATGGCAATAGTTCTATAGGCAAAAGAAGCAGGGTATAGTTTTTGTATTGATGTAACAAATCCACAAGTTGCTTCATTTCCAAGCCATCCAAAAAGGACAAAACAGCAGGGGCGTTCACTGCAGTGCTCGGTTTCCTTAAAACTAAAACGGAAACGCCACAATTGCAACGTATCCAAAACGCAGTCGCGATTCTTGCCAGAGATTTCACACTGATCTGTGTAGTCCTGCTTTTCCTACGTACTGATGATTTCAAAAGTGGATATCTCTTGGTAATATCAAGAAGCACAAAAAATGGTATCTTTTTACACCTTCGTCTGATCTTTGGGCTGTTTTTTTGGAGGCTGAACAAAACCGTTTGTTTTTTTATCATTCTTCTGTTTATATGTCAAAAGGTGGCACTCCAAAGCGCATTTTCGCCTTCGCCACAACGTCGATGAACCTCTTTGATGCGATCTGCTGATCTGCAGATTCCGCTGCAGGTCCAGTCGAATGATGCTACACAGATGTTTCCAGCTTGCGCTTTCCATTCACAATCTGCAATACCAAAACTCCAATCTTTTTGAGTAAATTTGCAGTATGTTTTAGGTTAAAGTAATATGTTTGAAACAAGAAGTAAGATTTGATGTTTTCGTCAAATTTGAGACATTCAGGTTCTTGGTAAGACTTTGTATCAGTAGAGATATTTTGATAGGGACGAGTCATCTCTTTTAGATAGGGTTTATATTTCACTTTAAGCTTTAAGCCTTTAGCTTTAAAGCAGATATTATTGTAGTTAGGTGCAGAACAGCAAAGATGTTGATGTTTTATCTAAGTTACTCAAAGTCTATACATTTATCAAGAGTCATATCACTTCTTGAAGCATCTAAAAAGTATCAAATCGGACCTAGAAAACTTTTAGGAAATGAAAAAGATATCTAGGCTTACCAGGAGGAGTGCCGCAGCATAATCTTCTATCATCAATGTGTTTAACATCGATTCCGATAAACCAAGCTCCTAACGAAACATCTTCATTCGCATACTTGTGAAGAACATGCCTGCAACATTTATTTAAAATGTATAAGAATGAGATAACAGAAGAGACATAAATACAATGTATTAATCCCTCATCTTCATCTTACTGATTGATAGAGATATAAGAAGCCAAGTCTCTTGAAATGGCATATATCTGTCCAGTAGCATGACGGAAGTATTTGTTCCCATTCTCACCAAATTTCCAGTACTCTGGCTCATGGTATCTCACTCCTCTGCTCCATAATACCAACAAGACTTAACAACAGGAAGAATCAGAGTAAAAAAAAGGGTTTGAAGGAAGAAACTGAGAGAGATGCTTTACTTTTGAGAGAGGACAGGACCAGATTTCATGCAACCGATATAGACCCGTGGTTTTTTCCGGTGTCTAACAAGTGTTTCCCCAAGAGTTGCTGCAGACATTTCAACGAAACATTAAACCCATTACTATTACCAGCATAGTGTAGCAACTAGCAACTCGTTTCCTCATATAGTTGAGGGGAGATCAAGGTAAAAGATTCTAGAACTTACCTATATTTACATGAACATCGTCATCTACTTTGACGTAGAAATCTGCATCCCACATTGAAAACGCTGTAGAAAAGTAAGTTTTGGTCTTGCCTGACAACTCTAGGTACCCTTCAACATGGTCCTGTCAAAAGCAACAGAGCAATGAAAATGAAGAAGATAAGAGCTGAAAGTTTAGGCCTTTGGATTCCAAACGGAGAACCAAAATCAGAAGTATACCAGTCTCAAGAAATCTCCATGCTTCCTGTCCTCAGCTTCTATGGCTCGATCTAGAATTCCCCCGGCCGTGGCACTATAGAATCAATGACACACAGCATGAACTACAGAGAACCAAAATGAGAAATCACATCAGAAACTATATTATACTAAAAGGAAACTGGATTCTCACCTGTGACCAATGACAAATCGGATAATAATCCCCTTCTCTTCTTCAAGTCTCCTCCTCTTTTCACCTAAAAACAACATTTTCAACAGATACAAGCCTCAAGAAACATATTTGATCAAAGGTAAACATGTCATTAAGATTCAGAAAGAGACTGAAACAAGCAAGTGGTAACTAAAACCTTGAGGCATCCACGTTGCTCGAACAGAATCTCTTCTCTTTCGGCTACTAAAAGCTGTGTTAATCCCTACGACCATCAAATACCGTCTCTTTCCCTGCGGTTCCTTGTTCCCCATATCATCTGATACAGGAGCACCGTTTTGCAGAGATTCCTGCACTGACCTTGCAGCAGCTAACTCCATCTCTAAGCTTGAAATGGTCTTATCCAATGTCCTGCAGGTAACCAACATCAGAAAGTTGTGTATGTATTTGTGAAAATCATAGCACAAGATTAAAACTCACTGTATAGCATAATGTGTATTGGATACTTTTCCAAACAAAGCCTGGGGATCTCGTTTTACTTCTTTCTGGTAAAGCTAAAGAGGAAACTAGTCAGATCATAAACACAAGCTAAGAATCATGAATCAAACTGGAACATGAATCAAACTGGAACATGGATCAAAACTCACAGATTTTGGATTGCAGCCTTCAGATATCAGCTTCAATCTTTCAGCTTCGGTTACGGATGGACGAGGCATGCCTTTAGATTCAGGTACACTCCACATCCTGCAACAAAATTGGAATCCGAAAGTTCAACGAGAGAGCAATTTTGCTGAAAAAAAAAAACTCAGGATCATCTCAAATTAGAAGTTAGAGCAACTGAGAAAAAATGAAGAAACTTGGAAACTAAGGAGTTGTGAATAGACTAAAATAGTCAAGATTCATTTCAACACGAAAGCTAAATCACGAATTAACGGAATCTCTTAGAAAAATATTATCTGTGAAGACGAGAGAGAGAGATGACCAGTCAAATTTGAAAAATTTACCGATCTGTGAATAACATTCCGACGCAGAAGCTCCCTATGCAGAGCAAAAATGTCCATTTCCGCGAAGCGAAGCTTCTAGAAGAATGCTCTCCTTTGATCTTCGTCGACATTTTCCTCAAAATAGAAAGAAAATTAAAGATCTCCAGCACTCTCCGTAGGCTATCTCAAGCCGATGAGCTCCATCATCGGAACCAAACGCTACATATCAGCTCGAAGAAGAACAAGAACAAGAAGAAGCAGCACTTAAATCTCCAGAGCTTCTTCCGAAACCAGAATCTGAGTTTTTCGCAGATGGCGAGAAGATTAAAGAAGCTCTTTAACGTCTCTACCTCTGTGTTTGCTCTCTGTGATTTTCGCAGGAAAGTTTGGGAGAGAAATGACGTTAAAGAGAAGGGAGACGAAATCAGAACGACTTCTTAACCGTCCAGGTCCAATTTAATAAACAGACCAAGAGTTTTCCTAATTTACCAAACTGTCCCTATAAAGTATTAACAAACTTGGTGTTTCATTGAATTTGTAGTTCGAATTTCGAATCATTAGTCAGTAATACCGTCTGTCGACAAAAAAAAAAAAAAAAAAAAGTCAGTAATACCGTCTTCGTGTTCTGTTTTTCTGCGAAGAAAACTAATTGAAAATACAAAACTTCTGAGTATAGGAATTTTTAACCCAACAGAGTATTTGTGTAGAGATGTTATTTTTATATATATGTTCAGAAGGTCTTAACTGAAAAAATAAACATGGTTTTGACTTTAGCTTTGGGCTGGCCCTCCCCTGGCTACGTATCTAGGATAGATGGGGGAGTTAAATTGGTTAGTAAACTGAAATTGACTATTCAATGAATTTTCAAAGAAAAATTAGTTTCGAAAGACAAATAAGTTCGACGGTGATTCTATTTGTTTACATTTTTGTATTTCAAAATACAAGTTCGGATGATATTTTAAAGGATTAAATATTTTATTCATGTCTTGGTGGACTCATGGATAAATCTTAAGCTTTTAATTATTAGATCCTGAAATTAACAAAACAATTAAAATATTTTCAAAAAATTGCTGACGAATATGCAATATACGTTGAGATTGATAAATGTTAAATCAGATTTGGTGTAGAAAATACAACATATCTTTGTGAAGCCATTTTGTTTTTCAAAACATTTGTTTTTGGACAAACATTTCTAAAAATTTAAGTTTTAAAAATTGAGGGAGTAGTTTTGAAGAGATAAGTTCAAATTAAGAAGAAAAAAGGGAGAGGCAAAAGAAAAATGAAAAACAGTTATTACTATTTAGTTGGGTCTTTTCAGTTCATCAGAGATTCTGCGACTGTAATACTACTACTATACTACGATCCATCGTGTGATGCTTTCCATTTTGCATCACAAGGTCACTGCGTAAACAACAAAAATTATCCCCAAATATTGAGCCAGCGGGTCCCACCTCACGAGCTTATTCCACGTGTCATTATGAACATTTCACAAAAGTTTTGAGTTCGTAACTTATGTCCAAAATGATACCACATGCCTTGACGATCGATCTGTCCTGCGGTCTAGTTCTTGGTTAGGGATTGTTTATTTTTATTATTTATTTTTTTTCGAAAAATGTTATGTCATTATTGATTTACTTGAATTCTTTTGCCATATAACTCATTAGGATTACTAAGCAATTGATCAATGATTAGTTGCATGGTTTCTTGTCGGTCAAAAACTTGATCAAAACTTTAGATATGTTTGATTTATCAGAGTTATATGTTGCCATCTTCTTGAGGGCTACATACAAATTGATCAAATTATGTAATCCAAACAAATATCAGTTTAATTGCTAAGGTAACCAAGTTACATGCAATTAATTAAAATTCGGTGTACCAGTTGATGTCACTATAAATTTCCATTTTTCCAATGAAATTTTAAGAATTAGTATTGAAATTCAGCTAATATTAATATAAGCATCTTCAACCTTCAGTCAACACAAATTTATGTCGTAACTGAAAGTTTCCGTATGAAACACAAAACACAAACAAATAATACTTTTGGTATGCTTGGTAAAACCTTCTCTCTCTCTCTCGGATTTTGAACTCAATAGTGAGAAAATTAATAGAATTTTTAGTTTTTGTTTTCTTCACGTAATGTTCCATCGATGGTTGTGCTCATGCCATGATCCTTCAAGAAGTCGGTGCTATTTTATTTGAATAACAAACAGACGAGACTGTAATAATTTGATTGGATCAATGTTATCCAAATATTTTTAATTACTCAAGCTTCAGTCTTCAGATCTATCGTTGATAATTTTTTATCCGGTATATATGGGAACACTATTTTTTTAAAAAAATATATATATATATATATGGGAACACTATATATGGGAACAGTAAATTTATACTTAATTATTATAATTTGAGAATTGGATGATGGTCAAGTACAACGTGTATTGTGTTTTGTGTGTCATAATAGCTGTTAATCACACAACATGGTTGTATTCAAACATGTTTGTCTTTTAATAGATGTTAGATGTCTCCTTTTTTTGTATATGGGTAAACTATACTATGGTGTTAATTTCTCGTAGTTTGTCTGTTTTCTTTTAAATAAGATAGTTCAAATATTTTGGCAAAATAAATTTGGAATCAATTTTGATTTTTTTGTTGTTATCTCTGAAACATGCATAATGATATTTAAATTTGAATAGTAATACAACGATAATATGATCACAAAATGACTAAATTACATGGTTCAACAAGTGATGAGGTCTCTATTATTACTCAATCGATGGATATGATGGACATTTGTGTCTCAAAGAGGAAGTCAAAAGAATCAAAATTTACACAACCATAAAAGTGAGGTAGACATATACCTTAATACTTTAGTATGTATGGCCACCAATAATTCAGAGAAATGATTCGAAGTAAAAAAGAAAAAATTCTGCGAAAAATGAGTGTCATTTAAGTATACACCGGTCGCAACCGCATTGACGTTCAATAGAATCATTTTGAAAGGTACGGCTTGGTTAACTGAAAATGTAGACTTAACTTATATCAATCACTAACCAAAATCTTCCGACCGGCCGGTTTAGAAATTACGTACAAGAAGGAAGCAAAAAATCGATCGAACCTGCTTCGGTGAACTGGTTCGGTCGGCTAGGGTTCCTGTGTTTAATGAACATCGACTAGTTCTTTCTTTATCAGAAGCTCAGAACATTTATTAGTGGACCTAGTAAAACAACTCCTCATGATTTATCAGAACATTTACTAGTGGACCTAATAAAAATACAACATAACGTCGTTCAGTAGGAAGCGTTACTAAAAATATATACAGAAGCAATTATTAAACAAATCAATTGGGTCTAGTAATCGCTAAACCAAGCATATAATTAGTTTACTTATTGATAAGATCGGTTATGCTCGGTGATTTAGTACATTGAGAAATCGATGAATTGGTGAGAGAGGGTGCATGGTAGAAGTTAGGTGCTTTGCTTGAAAGAGGAGACTGTCACTTTACCAAATTCAATGTCAAAGTTTGGTCACTCTCTTCTTCAAGCAAACCCCTTTAAAGCTGACAATCCCATTTCCATCATCCATCGATCTGTTTCTTGTTGCTACTCCTTTTTCAGATGTCACTTTTTATTTGTTTTTAAACCTTTTTCTTTATAATCATCTTTTCTTATCAAATCCACATTTATTACATATACCAGATCTGCTTCAAGCAGATACCAAAAAGAAGAAGCTACCGCTTAGGTTAAAAATTATGAAATTGGATGCTGTAGGCCGAGTCATTTTTTCCATTTGAAACTAGAATCTTCCCAAGAAAAAAGTGTTTAGTCAAATCTCATGATATAAAAAGGATGATTAAGGAACCTCCTATGTTCACTTGAAATAAAGAATGCTTTGTCACGTAATTAAAGGTGAAGTAGTAACATTTAACTATTTTAAAAATAAAGTAGTAACATTAATTAAAAATTTGCTTCACTTCTCCTTTTTTTCCCTTTTTAAGTGAATATATAGGTGCTTTAAACATATGAGCAAAATATAGTCTTGATTGAAGCTTCATGCTGTAAAGATGAACTAAATTGCTAAAGACACAATAGTTTTGTTAGGCTTTTAGAGAACCAAGATTCATCATAGCAAATTAGGACTACGATTTTCATTTGTTGCTTTACATAAAATAAAATAAGTTACACTCAAATATAAAATGGATTTTCATTGTTTTCAAATATGTTCATTCATATCAACAGCGTCTACAGGACTACAGCCTAATGCTTTAACAAACAATATGTAGTTTCTATGTAGAATATATTATTCTCTTCTGAAGGGGTGATGATTCTTAAGATATATAAACAAAAAAAAATCGTTTTGAACCGCACACACATCAGTAGAATTCTTATAAAAAAAAAAAAACTTATATGGCCTCTATTATTCATGAATTTTCCATAACCCCCAGGCCCACACCCACTTCTAATTGTCTTTATTGCCCCAAATTTTATTTGTGGCTCCTATCTTTTCCTTCTTTTCTTTTGAAGCAGCAAATTTGAAGTAATTGATTCTTTTGATGCCCAATTATTTCTTAGACAGTTCTAATATTCCATTTTGATTGATCTTACTCCTGGACCCCATTTTCTTGACAATAACTTTTTGATAAAACTGTTGTTAAAATTAACTCAAATTATTGTCGTTTGTATGATTGAAAACAGCATAAATCACCTCATTACACCTTTTGCCGACTAGAAGCATGTGGCGGAGTGGGCTTCTGGCCCATTTTTGAAACTAGCTTTTAACTCAATCTGGCCAATGTCAACACAAATGAAACTCTTCAAATTTTGGAACCTCTAAGACAACAAAACAAGAATTTGGCAAATCCGGCCGTGAACAGTTTGTCCCTCGACACCCCCGCGAAAAGATTCTCTTTTACCCCAATGAACATTAAAAAGAAATGATAAAGGTCTACTCTCTGTTTTAAGCCAATGTGTAAGGAAATATCTTCTACAATGCCAATAACTGAGACTTATGATCGATGCCATTGAAGATGTAAGTCCCCAACATCGGAACAAACTGTTTTGTGACAAGCTGCAACACAGAGAAAGAGAGAGAGAGAGACACTCAACAACAAGTTCAATCATCTCTTAAAGCTAGTGAATTTAAGCAATAAGTTCAGAGCAACAAGAAGAAAGTATGAACCTTGATGACTTCTTGAGATGCGATTCCTCCAATAAAGGCAGCAACCACATGAAGCTCCGAGGCACCAAAGCGACACATCTCATTGATAAGGTCATCAGGCAGAACTGAGCCGTTACACCCCAAGTCGGTAAGAAGACTCAAGGCAGTAGTTTTTAACCGAGAAATGTCCTCATCCATTCCTCTACCACAAGAGATAGCATATTAATATCCAAACAAGGACCAATAGTTCAGATTTAGGATTTAGCATTGTGACTTTCTTACCCATCAAACTGGCCAGGAAACTTGTTATAGTTGGCAGTAAATCTGTCCACAGCTCTAAGAAGAATATAAAATCCCATTGCACCACTGTGACGGCAAACTATATTAGCATAAGAGTTAACAACTGGCTTCCACATGCAGCCCTAGAAAAAGATTTAGACTAAAACCAGAATCTATTTTTCTGCTGTATAAGCCTAAGATGAACTAGAAGTTTCCGTTAGCTCAGTTAACTGAATATATAGCAGTTATGCATATTCAATCACAGCATCTCATAATACGTATCATAACCGTTTTGTAGAAAGGTCATCCTTCTAATCAGCTTAAACTTTTGTGTTCATAAGAAAAGAGCGGACTCCATGAAGACATTCGCACCTGTAATCCTCGTCCGCTAAACACTTTTGAATTTCGGTAACAGAAGGATTGGTGAACTCGTCCTCTACCATACGATATCTGCATACCTACAGACCACAGATTGCAGTTAAACATATGTTTCTAATACCGCTTCAAAAAGCAAAAATAAACAGTGTAGAAGATTGACAGTAGAACACACAGTTTTATTTTTGTTGGGAAGTTTAGTATTCTCACTTTAAGTTTTCTTGCATTCTTACAGAAGCTCTTGATTATTGGTTTTGAGATGCTGCTCGAATCTCGACCGATTTTCTTTAAAATATTTTTTACTCGCTCCTCTATGACAAGAAAATCAGCTTCGGCTTTCGCTTGATAGATTTTCTGCAAATTGATATAGTGTCTGGAAAAAGCAACAATACAGCAACATCAGCAATCTAAAAAATAGTTCGACAATGAAATTCAGTGCCGCCATCGAAGCAGTTGCACTAACTCTGTGGTAGATGTCATATCTGGTATAGAGCCTTCAAGGGGTGCCTCTCCATCACCTTCGTTTGAGACAAATTCCTGCAGGTGGTGATGTCCAGGTATTATGAACAAATCAAAATTACTTGCAGTCAACGTGAAAAGACAAAAATAATTCCGCGATGCAAAATTCCGAACTCTTTATCAACCACACCCCTTGCAATTCCTAAACAAACATGAACGTATAAACTTGGCAGAGCAATTCTCAAGTTTCAAACCTTCAGAGCCGCCACCATCACCCAAAAATCTGAGGAATTTGAACTCGGTTCAGAACAACTATCATTACTAATTTGTTGAATCTCTGAGCCTGGAACAGAAACCAAGTTAAGTTCGACATAAGCTACTGTGAATTTAGCCATGACAAAGTTTTCTGTTAGTTACCACACCAAACGAGATATCAACTTACTGATTCCACGAGGAGCAAAAACTTTAAAAGCGGCTTCAATGGCTTCTTTGTAGTTATCTTCATCCATAGATATCATCTTGGACTTAACCAAATCCTAAGGTTCCAAGGATAAAATAAATTAGAACAAGGAAGCACAAGAACGGAAGCTAGCTAATGAATATGCTAAGCAACAAACAAGAAGTACACCTTAAACTCTTTTTTCTCTTCCCTGGTCGAGGGAAGATTACCATTATGGGATCGAGTCCATTCATCAGCCATCTTCACAAGAATGACAACGTAAGGTATGTGCTTATGTGCAGCGGGATCTGATACATTTAGATCAATGGTCTCCACAAAACTGCCGTTCAATGAATAGTTAAGAATCCCAGAAATCTCTCAGTCACCCATCCACCGCACAATGTTAACGGATGACAGAAAAACATAACGAGAGAGGAAATGCGAGCAATGTACCTCTTGAGTTCAGGCCATGGATTATTCAAGCGGAGGTCGTCTAGGAAATGATCAGGCTTAGAGTCAATTATGGTGTGCTCCTGATAAAGAAGAAACAAAAATACTACTTAGCATAATTCCATTTGGCCAATATCTTAACAACGGCATACCACTGGTTACACTCCACTACAACTCAGCAATCTAATAGTTCTCTGACAAAAATTGGGCCAAGAGAGATATTACCTTAACAGAGACACGAACAAACCCAGCAAGGCCATAAGAGCGAACAAAGACCAACTTGACGTTTGCTTCTCGACATATTCTATCAAGTTTCACCATTGAATCTTCCACCAGCTACAAGCAACCAACGTCGAAAAGGGGGTAAAAAGAAGAGTTGAATAACATAGGAATCGACTAATAAAGCAATGTTCAGTGAAGGACGGGGAAAGCTACATATGAGAATCTGAAAACATCGAATAGAAGGCATCATGACCCATGTGTAGCAGTTCCAAGGGAAATAAAGCTAACGCTTTGACACGCAATCATTAGATGATGTTACAACTAGAAACCCAATCGTACCTGAGTGGCTATAACCAGAGTGAACTGAGAGAAGAAGGATGGGTTTGTTATTATCAATGTGTCTGGATTCTCCTCAATAAACTTGGCTTTAACAGCATCATTAAGCTCTTGGAGAAAGGCACAAGCAGACTTGGCTTTTGATTGACCAACACTCGTCTCATCCACTTAACATGAAAAAAAAACCCATAACCCGACTTAGTAAGTGTGCATATATGTATATACCCAAAACCCCAGAACGAATACAAGAAACTTCAAGAGGCTATATAGGAAAATATTTCTGCAGGAGAAAAGCAATACCCATGAAATTGTTTCCAAGGTCTCCGATTTCAACCTTGGATCCATCAACGATGGTGATGCTCCCAACTCCACCAAGGACGAGATTCTTCAGGGCCTCGGAGCCAGTAGGACCACAATTGAGCAAACAGATGCTCGCCTCTTCCAAAGCAGCTTGCCCTAGCTCCCCCCAAATCCTGCGATTTTCCCAGTCATCCCCATCCGATTACTTCATCACTTTTCCTCGAAAGAAGAAAGAGCGATAGAATAATACAGAGCCAAGCAGAGAGTTCGCGGGGGCAAAGGGTGTATACCTGAGTTGACGATCGTACTTGGTTTTAGGCTCTGACATTGTTGGCTCTTCTTCAAGCTCGTCTCTTCACTGGTTCGCTTCGCAGCTACGCAGAGGCGAAGAGCGAGAGAAGAATTATTTGCCTCCGGTCAAGTGCCTTAACTGAATCCCAAATCTTGGTTCATAAATTATATATAACTAAACCATACTTACATTTTCGACAACTAAATTCTCGGTTTATTAACATTTTCTCAGTATACATTAGCACCCCAAAAAAAAAAAAAAAAAAATTGTTGCACCACAACTGAATCGACGAAAAACATTACTGAATCATGGAATAGTTTCACAATTCAATTTGCAAAGCATTAAACACCTTTCTGGATTTCCACTAAAAAAGGAACATGAACAAACATTCAGAATATATTTCTCAGAGCATCAAGAACAACGGGTTCCTTGAAAAATTCACCAGAATCCCAAGACAAACATATTCTTTTTCTTCTAAACAAAATTAAGCAATACACATTAACAATGAAAGGAGACAACAACAGGAAAGTAAATACATAACAAGATCACTTCTTCTTCCCAGCTTTCCCTTCCTTCCTCCGAACAATCTCATCTGAATACTTGACTCCCTTGCCCTTGTACGGCTCCGGAGGCCTCCACTTCCTAACCGTGGCAGCAAATTGCCCTATCTCACTCTTATCGTATCCACTCACGGTGATTCTCGTGTTCTCTTCCACCTTCACTTTGAGACTATCTGGTATCTGCATCTTCACCGGATGAGAAAACCCGAGATTCAGAACCAGTTCTTTTCCTTCCACAGTCGCACGGTAACCAACACCAACTAGTATAAGTTTTTTCTCAAATCCCTTTGATACTCCCACGACCATGTTATCAGTAAGCGTCCTAAAACACAGCACAAAAACTTTTAGAAGGGATAGCAACAAACAACATCTAAACCTCCAAAGTTTCAGACTTTTTGTAACCTTAACAACATGTAAGCAAGTAATGTCCCAAATGATATAATAAAAGGAGAGAACTTTGTAACCTGAAAAGGCCGTGCATCTGGTTGGCTCTTCTAGTTTCGACGGTTTTTTTGACCCTCAAGAAACCGGAATCTTCTTTGGTAAGCTCAACTTCGCGTGGGTAAGTTAGAGCTAGCTCTCCTAATGGACCTTTCACTTTCAAGTCTTGACCTTCTAATGCAATGGTTACATTGGATGGTACTGCGATCGGTTGCTTTCCTATCCTTGATTCCTTGCACTCAATGGTCTTACTGGAGAAACCCACTTGAGCAAATGGCGTGGTTGAGACCTTGAACACATTTCTATCGCCCAAAAATGCTGACCTAACATTGCTGAAAAACAAACAAGTGTTTCTTGTTGTTCTCAGGGATAACATTTCTGGAAATCTTAACTCTACCTCTAGAATCAGGAGTCGAACCAGAGTACCGTTATTCAATTACACGAGATACATTGTTATAGACTTTCAGTTTCCATGGCTAAAAACCTATAGAATCCTGCTTAAAACTAAGTTCCGCTTAACACACTCAATTCTCCAAAATAAAAATCCAAAATAAGAAAAATCACCAATCAATTCGAAATTCCAATAGATTTCGAAGAAGAAAAGTAACACAAGGAACCTATTCATACTTGGGAGGCTTATCAACTCCATTCCAAGAGATTTTTTGAATAGGAATGCGAAGTAAGGGAAACGAAACCCTAGCGCAAGTAGAATCGTCATAAGGATTTTTAGTATATCAAATAGTACCTGGGTTGAAAGGAAGATACGAGTGAGGAAGCCATTGCTAGGATTGATGACGGAGCTCTTCTCCAGAAGGAGGATGGAGAGAAGAGTGTTTTATCCAGTTAGAGAGACTTATCCTCTGTAGTCTGTACTTCGAAAAAAGTTTCCTTTCACAGCCCATTATCTCATTATTTAAGGCCTATTTATTTAACCACCGTTATCTGGGCTAGGCCCAACAATTTTGCTTTAATTTATCACAAATAATAGTGTTTAGTCTGATTGATGAAGTTTTTATGACCTATCGATGATCAAACAAAAAAATTGATAAATAGTAGAAATAGTGATAAATTCATAAAATGTACCCAGTAAAGCCTTGGATAGAGTGAAACTCTTAAATGAATGATTGAAGTCAATAAATTGCAACAGATGCGTAATAAGATCGACATGTAATATGTGTTTCATTTCGAAATGTTTTATCGTCATATAGAGGTCTATAATTAAATCGTCATCCGTTGATAAAGATATGGCTGTACTCAAATAAAAGATGATATGGACCCTCACACGCAGGAAAAATCCAAACAACAAACTGAGAAATTTCGAACAAAAAAATTGATGAACTGTATATTTTTACTGGTTCAGATTTCTTCTGGTCAAATAATGTTTTTTTCTCTTTCAAGATAGAAAATGTTCGGCATATTATTAGCAAACTAAACTTCAGTAACGAAAACTAATAAAAAATGCAGCTCTCTGTTGTAATATTCCTTTACGAACAATCTAATAAAGACAAAAAAAAAGACTGAGTCCATGTGTTTCATGCACCTTTTATTAGGACTGGGCGCGGAGCGGATATCCTAGATTTTGAAGATATCCGTAATCTGCTCCGCTCCATTCGGATAATCATGTTTCCGATCCGTATCTGCTTCGTAACTATTCGAATATCCGTTTTCCGGATATCCGCTAAAAATCTTAATATTTGCCGGATATTCGATCCGTTCCATAAAAATATTTAAATAATAATATATTTAAAATCAAAATTTAGTTAAAAATGAAAATATTTTCTTTAAAAAAATATTTTTTTCTTAACTTATTAAGTTTTAATATTTATAATAATCAAATTTATAAACAAAAAACTCACAAAAATTACATTTATATATAATAATTATACACTTTATATGAATTATTATCTATCTATATATACATATATATATTTATACCGAAGCAAAGCGGATATCCGTCTTAATTTTTTTTAGTATTTGTGATTTGTTCCGTTTTTAACGGATATTGAATTTTAGTATTTGCTTTGCTCCATAAAATTACGGATATCCAGATTTTTCGGATCGAATCGAGACGGATAATGGATCGAAGCAAATATAACGGATATTTTTGCCAGCCCTACCTTTTATCATATGAAATTCGTCCCAAGCTAATACTACTATTTACTTTTATTATTCAAGGCTGATTTTTTTTTTTGGTTTGTGTTTCGACATTTATGCCTGAAAATATCTTGTATACTATAAGTGTTTGAATTTAATTGACAAAACATTGAGGAGAAGCATTCTTTGACGCAGGCGGCCTTCGAGCATTTAGAGTTGTCACATTCACACTTTTAAAGTTTTTGCCATGTAATTATTTAAGAACAATTACTATTTGAATAGTTTAAATACTCCAATTAGTATGAATACACAAGAAAAGCATGGATACCCCACACCTTGGCCTACGTCTACCACTGACCACTCCAGAAATGGCCTTTCGAAAGAAAAAGGAAAAAAAAACATAAATATAAAATACCCAAAAAAAACAATTAATAAAAAAAGAAGAAGAAAAAGAGAGAATATTATGAAAATTCTTTGCTTGAGCCTGAGAAACAGTTCCTCTGCTTCTACTTCTTCATCCTCTTTTCTATGTCTCTCTTTTTTGTTTGCTCAATCACTCGTTTACCCACAGAAGAATATGGATCTCTGATTAAAGCTTTTTGCTCGTATTTATTCCAAGGTTGCTTCTTCTTTATTATAAACTATAATTGCATAATTTATATATATGTTTTGGGAATTTATCTCCCACGTTTCGTCCAAATATCTCAAAGAAATCTCCTTTCGAGTATATTGATTTAATATCTTCGAACTACATAATCAATTAATTTTAATAAAATAAAGAAAACATTCGTCAAAATTTAAAATATTTACATAGGTGTACTTTTACATCTTTCATTCTTCAACCACTCACTGGCCACTGCCATGTTCTGCAGAATTAGGTTATGTATTGTCCTTTTATTTTATTCAAGTTGGAATATCACCGATATATTATTAGTTTTGGTTTATTTTTTTTATTATTTGATTTCTGTGAAGAATAATTTGTTAATTAATTGACATATCGCTGCCATCAACATATGATTCTCTGTTCATTGAATTATTAATTACGTTTTCTGCTTCTTTTTCCTTTTTTTTTTGCAAACCATCTTTAAACTGGTCCTCTTACACTTCTTTATTTTCAGTTCTAGTTTTACATGTAAGCACCAGTCTTATATATATATATATATATAAATATGTATATATAATACTTATGTATACAGACACAAGTCTGTATCAACCAATCTCTACATAATCTAAGTCTTGATTTCTTGGTTTGTTTGCCTTCTTTCATCAGATTTTCTGGACCATTTTTGTCTTTTTTGTGTTGTGTAAGTTGATTGAATTCTTAGTTTTAATATATGCTGGGCATTGTTTATTACGCAGGTGTCAGTTCAAATAATCAAATGGTTACATAGGCCCAGGAAACAAAATAGCTTTTTTTGCTGGTTGCAAAAAAGATGGTATTTTTCGTGATGGTAAGAGGAGTTTCCATGGTGAAAGCAATGAGAATTGTGTTGCTATGCGTTTCTGTTTTGTGGTTCGTTCCAAAGGAATGTACTTGTAATAGGGATTTCTCAAGAAACTCGTCTTCTTCACCGCCATTATCACCGAGGCCAAGCTTAGTGAATGTTGGAGCTCTGTTTACTTATGATTCTTATATCGGAAGAGCGGCTAAACCAGCGCTTAAAGCGGCTATGGATGATGTTAATGCTGACCAAACTGTACTTAATGGCATCAAGCTTAATATTGTCTTTCAAGACACTAATTGCAGTGGATTTATTGGCACCATGGGAGGTATATACTGCTTCTTTTCTCTTAAAACTTGTAGCAAAAGGGAACAAACAACTTTTTTAGCTCACAACTAGATTCCTGAAAATGCCTCAAGGAGAGTTTCAGTGAGTGATGATTATGTTTTAATCTCATGGTGTAGCTTTGCAGCTGATGGAAAACCAAGTGGTTGCAGCCATTGGTCCACAATCTTCAGGGATTGCTCACATGATCTCCTATGTGGCTAATGAGCTTCATGTACCTCTCTTGTCATTCGGAGCAACGGATCCGACTCTTTCCTCTCTCCAATACCTTTATTTTCTGCGAACCACACAGAACGATTACTTCCAGATGTATGCAATCACAGATTTTGTATTATATTCCGGATGGAGACAAGTCATTGCGATATTCGTCGATGATGAGTGTGGTAGGAACGGGATATCTGTTCTAGGCGATGCATTAGCCAAGAAACGCGCGAGGATCTCTTACAAGGCTGCAATCACACCTGGTGCAGATTCTAGTTCCATCGAAGACTTGTTGGTTTCTGTTAATCTGATGGCATCTCGGGTTTACGTTGTTCATGTAAATCCTGACTCTGGTTTAAACATTTTCTCTGTGGCCAAGTCTCTTGGAATGATGGGAAGCGGTTATGTTTGGATCGCAACAGACTGGCTTTCTACAGCTTTGGATTCAATGGAGCCCGTGGATTCGGACACGATGGATCTCTTGCAAGGAGTGGTTGCTTTCCGCCACTACACAACCGAGACTAGTATGAAGAAGCAGTTTGTGGCGAGATGGAAGAATCTTAGACCCAAAGATGCCTTCAACACATATGCATTGTATGCTTATGACTCTGTTTGGTTAGTTGCTCGTGCCCTCGATGTTTTCTTCAGAGAACACAATGCCATAACATTCTCCCACGATCCGAATCTGCACAAAACAAACGGTAGCAGTGTTCAGTTATCAGCACTAAGTGTGTTCAATGAAGGAGACAAGTTTCTTGAGATCATTCTTGGGATGAATCATACTGGTGTGACGGGGCCAATCCAGTTTGACTCAGAGAGAAACCGGGTTAACCCGGCTTACGAAGTTCTAAACATAGAAGGTACAGGTCCACGCAGAGTCGGGTACTGGTCAAATCATTCGGGTCTCTCAGTGGTGCCTCCAGAGACATTGTACTCTAAGCCTCCAAACACATCTACAGCAAACCAACGTCTTTATGGAATCATATGGCCAGGTGAGGTTACTAAGCCTCCTCGTGGATGGGTGTTTCCTAATAATGGAAAGTCGCTCAAGATCGCAGTGCCTAACCGTGTGAGCTATAAAGATTATGTCTCTGAGGACAAGAACCCGCCTGGTGTTAGAGGCTATTGCATAGATGTCTTTGAAGCTGCCATTGAGTTGCTTCCGTATCCTGTTCCACGTACTTATATCCTATATGGAGACGGGAAGAGAAATCCTTCTTACGACCATCTAATCAATGAAGTTGTTGCAAATGTGAGAACCTAAATTACTCAATGTCAAGTTCACAACTTTCAAAAGATGCTAACCTGTCTTTTTCTCGTTTCTTCTCTTCAGAATTTCGATGTAGCTGTAGGAGATATCACGATTGTAACAAACAGAACAAGATTCGTAGACTTCACACAGCCGTTTATAGAATCAGGGCTTGTGGTGGTGGCTCCGGTTAAGGAGGCTAAATCGAGTCCTTGGTCATTCCTGAAACCGTTCACTATAGAGATGTGGGCTGTCACTGGAGCCTTCTTTCTCTTTGTGGGAGCCATCGTTTGGATTCTCGAACACCGCTTTAACCAAGAATTCCGTGGCCCTCCTAGGCGGCAACTCATCACCATCTTCTGGTTAGTTTCCCAGTTCTTGAGGCAGAGCTTGAATTTACCTGTAGACCTTATTTTTCTTCTCTTCATTGTTGCAGGTTTAGCTTCTCAACAATGTTCTTTTCTCATAGTAAGTGCGCTCTAACTCGAGTAGACCAAAGCTTACAGAATGTCAGGGAGAAGCAAAGTTGTTTTACTCTTTACCTTTTGATCTTTACAGGGGAGAACACGGTGAGTGCATTGGGGAGGCTGGTGCTGATCATATGGTTATTCGTGGTTCTGATCATCAACTCGAGCTACACGGCTAGTCTCACTTCGATCCTAACCGTTCAACAGCTGACATCTCGGATTGGAGGAATAGATAGCTTGATAACGAGCAACGAACCAATCGGAGTTCAAGACGGCACCTTTGCTCGGAACTATCTGGTCAACGAGCTTAACATAGCTCCTTCTAGGATTGTTCCACTGAGAGACGAGGAACAGTACCTTTCTGCTCTTCAACGTGGTCCTAAGGCTGGCGGCGTGGCAGCCATTGTAGACGAGCTTCCTTACATCGAAGTCCTTTTGTCAAACAGCAACTGCGAGTTCCGTACAGTAGGACAAGAATTCACACGCACAGGCTGGGGTTTCGTAAGCTTTGAAATACTTACTTCTGTATATATGTATATCGTTTGCTGTTTGTCTATAACCTTGCTTATATAAGAATCTCTGAAATTGATGTTGCAGGCATTCCAGAGAGACTCCCCTTTAGCTGTAGACATGTCGACGGCTATCTTGCAGCTGTCTGAAGAAGGCGAGCTCGAGAAAATTCACAGGAAATGGCTCAACTACAAGCATGAATGCTCAATGCAGATCTCAAACAGTGAGAATTCTCAGCTTTCGCTCAAGAGTTTCTGGGGACTCTTCCTTATCTGTGGCATCACTTGCTTCATTGCACTCACTGTCTTCTTCTGGAGGGTGTTCTGGCAGTACCAGAGGTTACTACCTGATGGTGGGGACGAGGAAAGGGCATGCGAAGTGGCTGAGCCATCTCGATCAGGGAGAGGTTTACGAGCACCGAGTTTCAAGGAATTGTTAAAAGTTGTCGATAAGAGGGAAGCAGAAATCAAGGAGATCCTAAAACAGAAGAGTGGCAAGAAACTCAAAACTACCGAAAGTGGAGCTGGAAGTTCACATTCACAAGAAAACGAGATTTCTTAAACAGATAGCGTTCAACGATTTGTTTAAATGACTATTAACATACTTAGCGAGGTAGTGAAATCATCATAAGATTTTGTAATAGCAAAGTTCAAGGAACAAAAAACCAGAGATAAATTGTAAATCTTATTCTGATACGTAATGGTAAACTCATATTCTTTTCCTCATCAGAGTTTATATTTTAAGATAGAACCGTGCAAGTGAAAAGAATCATCAGAAGATAATATTCAAATGGAACTCCAAGTATCAATTTTATTAGCATTATGTTGCTGATACATGTCGAAGGGAAACTTAAAATCACAGTCTTGGCGCTTACATGCTCAGCTAAAAAGTTGGTAAGGAAAAGAAAAAGGAGTGAATTTCACTTTACTCAAGTTTAACTTCTCTTTTTGGAGGTTCCAGGTCGAGGTATGTGAATGGCTCTGTTGGTTCTTCTCTGAAAAGAAAAACAAGATGAATGGTTCAGGCTCCACATTTAGTATGAATGAATAAGCGCGACAAGAATGAAGAAAAAGCTTAGAAAGACGAGAAACTGGGTTTAGCAGGTAGTGTAAAGCTAAGAATGGCTGGTGGAATAAGAATCAAGAAACATTCACTGTCAATGCAACAAAAGCCAAAGATTCTGCAGCTTAGTGTCAACAACAACACCTGATGGTAAGAGTAGGAAATTGCACATACCCTGGCTTAGAGCGCATGCATCGGTAGAATAGTTTGAAAGGCCCTGGAACCGTCTTGAATGGGTTTCCCTCGAAAAACGCCTGCAAAATTCACTAATGCTATAACATAAACAGGCCATGAAGAGTATTATCTATGAAAATTTGCAATAATCATGTTCCAGGCCAAGCAATTTTAGCTCATTATTCAACTGTGTATTACAACAAAGCCAATACCTGATGATACAAGCTTCAACGAACAGAATTGGAGATAGATTCATTAAAGCAATTGGAGTTAAGTTATTCATCCTTAATTATCAAATCTCACTAACCATCATCCTTCCTTGAGATATTCGAAAATTATAATAAGTAATAGAACCCTAAAAAAAACCCTTACTTTGAGTACACTGACTCTCTGATGCTACAATCCTATTACTCATTAACCAACAAAATAGCAGGAGACACTCGAAATCTAGGAGAGATCCAAAGGACTAGAAAAGGAAGAAGAAGAAATCGAATAATAAAACCGATACGAAGCGAAGAAGGAAATGGTGGGAACCTGGACGACGTCCTCGACACGATCGTTGCAGCGATGAGCTTTGGGCTCACGGTGACCTTCAGGTAAGCCCCATGGACTCTCTCTTCTCGGCACTGGTCTCGTCTCGCTCATCTTCCTTTCTCTTGCTGGTGGAAAAATCTCAGACTCAGCTGAAATCAAATCGTTACTCAACCACTCGACTAAACCGGAGTTACTAAGTCGGTTTACTAAGTCGGTTAATTGAACCAATAATCAAAAATCTTCTTAAAGGTTGGACTTTTCCAGTCAACGACTCTGTTTGCAACTCTCACTCTCTCAGTCTCAGATTCGAAGCAGAAAAATTGAATCGAGAAGATGGGAGCTTTCGGGAAAACGATCGACGTTGTTCTCTTCTTCTTCTTCGCTCTAATGGCGGTTGTTTCGCCGCTCATCGACGGCCAAACGGCACTTCCTAAAGGGATATTTCCGGCGTTTCTCACCGATCTGGAAAGCAATTACATCGCCGAGTTCGGAGATTACTTGCTCATGGAGAAGCCGCATTTTCTCGTTGGGCTCGTCTGGCATGAGCTCTTATTCCTATGGCCGCTCTCGATTGCTAACGTCTACGCGATTCTTGCTGGAAAGCCGTGGTTTGGTACCACCTGCTTGCTGTACGGAGCTTCCACCGTGACTTCAATGGTACACTCTTTCTTTCTTTTTTTTTTGGAATTCTGGATTATTGGTCAGATCTCGGGAGATCTTGTTTAGTAGAATCTGATATGCATCTAAATTTCACAACTTTCCTTCTTTGACAATCACAAACCACTTCACTGAAATTAGTTTAAAGTTCTCAACTTTTCTTTATGTTCTCAGTGTGATTATATGTATATAATGAGGCTAATTCAGGGCATACAGTATAGTTTGTTTTGGTTATAATCTACAGTTATGTCTAGTCTGCATTCTTGTGGACTTTTTGTTCTCATATGTTTTCTGTGAATTTTTAGGCTGCAATCCTGGGAGAGGTGCTAGGTTCGGGTAAGGCAACTGACAGATTGCTAATGATGTATGTGCCTTTCATGGGTATTGGGATTCTGGCTCTTCTTCGTGGTTTAGTCTCTCGTTCCACCAAAAGCACCGGATCTGATGGCCAGAGATCCACTATTATGCCCAGGAGAAAGCTGGCCTAATAGGTGATTTCTCATCTGGGACGGTAGTCCTAGTTGTATCTTTTTCTTTATGTGCCTTTGGATAACTTGGGTAGATAGGTATTTGATCTTTCCAGATGAAAAACGTTATTGCTTTCATGGGTATGATCGAATATGTACTTTGCATTGACCTTTATTCCAGAGAAACTCATTTTGTCTGGTCAGAAAAGTGTGAGCTTTTTTGATAAAACCGACTTCCATAAGCTTACAAAGCAAAGAGAAAAGAAAAGTGAAAAAGCAGCAGAAAATACACTAAGATATATGATAAACGAAACCCAAAAAGAAAAGAGGAACTTCAGGTTCCATCTAACCACAAGAAAGAAAGAAGAAACACAACTGTAACACAAACAAGCAAACAAAAGTTCAAAGCACTTCTTCTGACCTATGTTTTTTTCTTTTAACTTTTCTACTTCAGTATGTTGCAGGGGAAGTCAATTCCCGAACCCCGTAAAACCATTTTTGCATTTTCACTTATCAAGTAAAAAGTTTTTCACTGCTTAGTTTCAACAAATAAGCAGAGCAAAACTTAACACTACTGCACAACAACATAACATTCATTACTCAAATGGTATATCTTGTGAGGTTCGCTCTTGACTCCTCCGCTTTTCTTTTTCAATCTTTTCACTTAAACACCCAAAAAAAAGCTCTCTTCAAACCGAAATCTTTTCTTTTGTCTTCGTTTACATTATATTATTTCCTGCATAAAGAACCACAAAAGCATGATCACATAAAGGCGTAACAGCGAGACAAAAAAAAAATCTGCAAACTTTTTACTGAAACTACCTAATGGGTGGGTTTTATCAAGCAGTCTCACAAGACATGGAAGCTTTGATCCTCTCAACAGTGCAAGCGATTAGATTGTTAACAGTTGCAACAGAGCCAAGAGAGAGCTTAGCAGTAGGAACCGAGTCAACCAGAATCTGAAAAGCAACGGTCAAGAGCGACCCTCCATCTCCTCCAGAGGCTCCACCATTGGCATTACCATCAGGAAGAATAGCAAAACCCGATGGAAGCAGAGCCACATAGTCTGGATCGCCTCCATTAAGCACTATGTTCATCGCTACAATATCAACAGGGGCATAGATCACAAAGGAAGCTGTAGGATCGGTGCAGCTCTCTTGTAGAATCAGCATATTGCTCTGGCTAGAATTTGCACTCTGCGACATAAAGAAGGATTGAAAAAAAAAGTAATTACCCTTGATCATCAAATGAATGATTACAAGAGTTATGAACCAAGTTTACGAATCTACTCACATTTACGCGGAGAAGAGAAACGCAGTTTCCGGTATCCCTCCCATTAGCAATATGTGCCATTTCTTGCACAACTCCTCCATTTGACAGAATATCCCACTGCAAATCTCAGAAGAAAAAAAAACTATGTTCCAAATCAGAACGAGAGAGAGCTTAGTAAAGAAAAAGGAGTTAGTTACCTCATTTCTTGAATTCTCATCTCTGAGGAAGTCGAAGACACGCTTAGGAGGAACAGGGATCCAAAAGGAAGTGGCTGCACTAAGAACAATACCCGGAGGCCTTCCTCGATCATCCACACTCTTCCTAGTCATCACTCTAACATCTTCAGCTCCTGTACCTGACAGTGTAGTCCACGTGTGAGCTGTTGAAGCACTCACTCCTGCACAAAAGCTTATAACCATCCGCTCCGCCAATTTCAGCATACTCCTCCTCCCTTCTTGGTTAGTTATCACTGCAACATTCACCAATTTATAACTGTGAATTCTGATTTCTGACTTTGAGAAACTAACAGAGTATTTATGATATACCTCCAACTTCTCCTGTTGAAATATTTGTAGCCATAACGCTAGCTAACCGCTCGCATTGGCGGTCAAGAATCGCTACCCAGCGCTTAGCACCAAAGGCGTGACCAGTACTAACCATGTGTTTATATAAGTTATGAACTCCTCTGTCCTCAACTTCCACATGCTCCACCCAAGTCACCTGTAGTTACATTAAATTCTCTCTAATAAAAAAAAAAGAGACGTTTTTGGAATGCAAATTTGTTGCATACGTATAACCTAATGTTTCTATACCTTAGAGTATCCATTTGGCATTTCTTGAATCAAACATCCCGAGGCTCGCCTTCTGCATCTAACCGGGGGATTCGGTTGGAGACTATCCAAGGAAATATCCACAACCGCCCACGAACCATCTGCTTGTTGCTTACAGTAACGTGCGAAATAGGTTTCACGGGTCGGTACTAACGGTGATGGAACTTGAAACTCTGCAGTCATCTGACAAAACAGAGTGGTTACTTGAGTTCCAAGTTTCATTACAACAAATAGAAAGAAAACAAAAAAATTACCACTTGAAGAGCTCCGTTATAGTTTCCTGCAACTCCAGTCGATAAAACAGCTAATGTCATCGCTCTAGAAACCATCCCCGCAAAAACCATCGACCATTGATTCTGCAATATCATGAGCATTGCATGCTAAGAATTCTTAAATAGAGAAGCTTGCTGATAAAATGCAAAACGAAAATGTTAAATTACCACATCCATGAGAATCTCAACAATGTTAACATGATTCATGATCACAACGGCGCTTTCTCGTGACGCTTCGGTTCTAAATCCAGCCGGTTTAGGTCCGATCCCTCTAGGGAAAGTCCGTGTATATTCTTCTTCATCTAAAACCAAACTTTTCCACAAAGTCTCGTCCACTTGAGCCATCCTCATGAGCTCTTCCATTGCAGCCACGGCTAAGTCGATGATCACCGGTTTATCAGATTCTGTTGGTGCAGAGATGGACTTGAAGAGATCGGTTGGGTTGTTTCCATAAACATCACCTCCAAGATTTCCCATGGCGAGTTCTAGAGGACGTGGTGGAAGAGGAGGAGGAGACATAAGAGGATAGTTTGAGACTGGCTTGCCTACGTATTTGGCTGCGATCGCGGATATTCGGTCGATCTAGATGACAAACAAGAAGATTATTTGTTTCATATCGCGGATGTTTTGGGTCACAAAAAGAACTAACGTTGTTAGTTATTTATTATGAATTACTCCTCCATTTCTCTAAGCTAATATTTCTAAGATTTATTTATTTTTCCCAAAATATATGTTTCTATCTTTTTTTTTGAAATATTTCTATGCATTAAAAAGTGGCTTTAATGTTGCTAATATTTCTAATATTTCCCTTTCATATATTTCTCTAACCTTACAATATTTTGCATTTTCATGAATATCAATGATTTTTTTATCATTATTCAATATACACTATATTAAATAGACTAATAGAGTGAGAAAAAAATATTTGGAAAACGATATAGTTAAGATTAGTGATACACTAAATACTTTAATTTTTTTTCCTGTAAAATACCATTGGCGAATAGGAAGCAATATTAAACATGGGACTAACATTAGTTGTACATTTACCACTAGTAAAATTAAAATTGATAAAATACTTTAAAAAATAGATTGTGGAGTTAATTAATTAATTCATGTACCTCTTCTCTTAATCGAGCATTTTCGAGACGGAGTTGATGTTCGTCGAAGGACATTTCTCCAATAGCCGTTGGACCACCACAATTAGGACATGAAGCGTTTGCAAGAGCCTCTCGATATCTTAGGTTGTCTCCTCGAAGCTTTTCGTTTTCCGCCCTTAGATGCGAGTTCTCGTGCCGCTCGTGATGATTCTGCACGAATATATTCATATATTCTGTTGTCTCTAGAGTTTTTATATATTTAATTGTTTTTTTTTGGCTTTGTTGCTGTTAATAATCATTGTATAATTAAATAAGAAAACCAGAGTTTCTAAATTGAGTAAAGTGAAACAACAAAGGATTTTTACTAAAAGGGGAAAAATATATGTATAAACAAACATAATACAGTTGAGTACACGTTATGTGTTTCACCGTATTTGCATAACGTAAGCACCTGAGTCCAAAACGTTTCAATCTATTTATATAAATTAAGGTTCGAACTTAAGCTATTAAATGGTCATTTTTTTGTTTCAAAGTCTATGGCTGAACCGCCAAAATATAGTTGTGCGAATGAGCAACTTTTCAATTGAAAAAAATAACTCAAATATATAGTTAAAATTTTAAGTCAATTGTTTCAAATAAATCTAAAAACCAGCCCAAGTTCGACCAGAATCACTCAAGTAATTCTTAATCAAACACCGAAAAACCACACAATAACTTGTCAGTAGGTAGGCCTATATATATTATGAACTTCCCTAAAATCTTGTAAAATAAGTGGGATTGAGAGATTTTATATGAATTCAATCATAATTTCAAATTTTTATAATTTTTTTTGAAATATAGATCCATTAATGTAGATGTGTTCATATATATATGGTATACCTTCATTTGGGTGCGTTTGTTCTGGAACCAGAATTTGACCTGAAGAGGTTCCAAACCCAATTCACGGCTAAGTTGTTTCCTTTGCTTGTCATCTGGGTGTGGACACTCTTTGAAGAATCTATTTAACAACCCAAAGTAAATAAAATTCAACTAGCTAATTTGTAAAATTTAAAAAAAAAATTAAAGTAAAACATGAAGTTGGTGAGTAAAATCACACATACGCTTCCATCTCCTGGATCTGAAGTTGGGTGTGTCGATGATATCGTTTCTTTTTATTAGGGTGATGAGGATCTTGATCGTTACCTGAGCCTCCTTCTTGATTCTCACTTCCAGATTTCGTATTCGCACTGTCGAACTCATCGTCCCGAAGGAATCCTTCGTTGTTATTGTTATTGTCTTCATGGTTGTAATTGTGGTTATTGCTATCGGAGTTGTTTATAGCCGCAAGCAACATATTTGGCTCGAACATCTCTTTCCTTACACTGGTTACTGAAAGCAAACCCTAAAAACAAAAAAAAGTGTAAAAATTTTCGTCAAATATCAGAAATGATTAGGGTTTCTTTTTGGGTACAAGAGTCAACTTAAGAAGAACAGAAGAATTTCACCAAGATCTTGTGAAAAAAAAGATTATGGCAATGCTCTTTCCACGTCAACAACTTAATATTTTTTTTTTTTTGAGTCTTCTTTCTTCTTGAAGATCTTACAAAGGGATATAGGCAAATAGAAAAACGAAGAAATTGAAGATGCTTGTAAAGTTGTAGGAACAAAGGACCCACTAATTGAAAGCAAGAAAAAAGAGCCTTACCCAAAAAAAAAAATTATATATCACAATCACATATTAATATGTTATTAAATAACCAACCCAAAATAATGAATTTCACATACTCTGAATTCTTCAAACCTCCCAATTTTTTCCTTTTAAACAAAAACTAAGCAGCGGGCTAAAAAATGAAAAATTTGAAATTGATTCAAGAATCATATGTCAAGTAGATGGAAATCAGTTGATGTCCCAAATAATAATGGATATTCAGTTACAATTTCGAGGTACTTGATAAGCTATTTAGGAGACGGAGAGGAAAGAGAAGACGAAAAGAGAAATGTTGGACTCAGTATTTGTTCGAAGCAAATAAAATGGGGCAAGAAGTAGGTACAAAAAAAAAATTCCCAACTCTATCCTGTTTATGAAAAAATCCAAAATTTTCGTGAAAACTGAAAAATTCTAATTAATTTATCGTAATCATTAGCAGGTTTAAAAATAAGAAACACTATCTAAAGTGTTAATTAGTAAAACGAAAATTAAATAAATAAAATATATTAATATATACATATGTGCACGGTGCGAGGGACCAACATAGAAGTTATTATACAACTTACAACCAACGTGACATAAGGCCTGGGTGATGTATTAATTTTTTCCAGCTATTTTTAAAATGTATCTTCGTATATATAACCTTTTATTTCACACATAAATATATAAATGTACAAAGTATATACACGTGTTATATTATAACTTATATAAAAACAAACGTATATATAATGAAAAGAAGGATATACGAAGAGAATACAAACCTTTAATCTTCCTCCGATCTTATTGTTTTTTTTTTTAATCAAAATGTTCCTCTCTATTGTTGTCTTGAGGGTTTCATCTCTGACGATGCAGAAATTGATAAGATATATTAACTAAAATTAAAACTAAACAGATTCTAGGAAGTCAGAAAAAAAAAATAAGACAGGAAATTTTTTCAAAAAAATATTCGACAGGAATTACAAGAATGTTGGAAGCATTGCATCTTAATATAAAGGGAATATAAATGAAATTATCAATCAATTAATGTTAAAAATGAAAAGTTAGACGAAAAATAAATGACGAACGTACTAAAAATTCAACATAGAAGATATAAGTATTAATTGATTATAAAATCATCATGGAAGTGAGAGTCTTATGAAGAGGCTAAGAAATTTAAGTGTAATGATCCAATACGTTCAAGAAATAATATTTTTGTTCAATATTAATGATAAAGCAGATATATATATAGTCCCAGAAATGATGAGGTTTTCGAGACATACACTGCAAGGAAGAGGCGATGAAACCCTAGAGGGGGAGAGAGAGGAGCGGATCGGTGTCTGGTCTGAGATTTGTATGTCGGAAAACCGGTGATGGTTTTGTGCAGCAGTTTTTGGCGAAGAGTTTGAAAGGTAGGTGCAAATCTTGGATAGAGAGAGAGAGAGAGAGAGAGAGAGAAAGAGGAAGAGAGAGAAAGAGGAAGAGAGAGAGAGAGGAAAATGAGAGAGGAGAGTAATGGCAGAGTATTGAGAGGGTGCAATGAAATTAAATGGCGAGAGAGGGACACTTAATTATCCTACACGCTTATAGAGAGAGAGAGAGAATGAGAGAGCGAAGAGATATGTTACAATTTTTGTTTGTTTTAATCTTATAGATTGAGAAATTGATATATGTGTGTATATATATATATATATATATATATATATATGTTACTAGTTTTCTTTTCTTTGTTTGAGTTGTGAGGAATGACGGCTAACGGGCTAAAAGAGACCGACCCTTTCATTTGATATATCACTTAATAAAAACAACCAAATTAGTCAATAAGACGCTGCTTAGATAGCTGTTACCAAGAAAAAAAATAGTTACAAACTAATATTGTTCTTCATTTCATAATAAAATTAAATGCTAGGATCCAAATTTCACATAGATTACATTTTTAAACAAAAAACAACAATCTAATTATCTTGTTCGTAAATTTAAAGACTTATAAATTATATATATATATATATAATCATTATATTCCACAATAAGACTTCATTTTGCATGCCTAGAAAGATAGGAGTATATACGTTCAGGTCGTGAGAAAAGAAAAGAAAAATTAATTGCTTTATTGACCCGAGCATTTAATTGTTTATATTGTAGCGTGAAAAGTTGTTTAGATTATACAAATCACCCATCAACAAAGTTATAATTTTGTAAAAATTATGCATTCATATGTAGTTACGTACTCAATGTCTCGCGAAGATTTAAAAGGTTACTGCGTATTTACACTCTTTTTTGTTATTAAGTTTATACATACCTAGATTAATAAAAACGTTTTTCAAAAACAGTAACCCTTTAAATTTCTAATATTTATCCTAAATAATACTAGGAATGTATGTACAAACATATATAGATAAAGCTGTGCGTATATGATAGGGTGGCGAATAGTTTATTGGCATTAAATGTTAACACAGAGGCTGCATGGCTTAGGCCATTTACTGCTCTCATGCCTCTCTTGCACTTAACCTCCTCTTCTTTCGTACTCTCCTACTAAAACAAACCCAATAATTCAATGCCTAACTTTTTGTTTTCAGTTTTTCCTGCTACTTATATAAAATGAGTATATGAGTTCTTTCCAAAAAAAAAAAAAAAAAAAATTTAAACTAAAAGTTAGTTCATTGAACTGCTATATGTTATCCAAAATTTGTCTTATGGTCAACACTGAAAAATCGATACATAGAGCTATATGAGAATTATGATAAATAAATAACATATATGAGATATAAAGACAAATAAACTTTAAACCAAAAGCAAAAAGACGAATAAACATTTTCATTACCGTTAATGATTATTAACTCAATCGATAACATTCGTGAGAGGAGAAAAACATGACTTAAATAATAAACAAATGCGCATCTCCAAAATTCAAACACAAAGAAAAGAGGACTTGATGAAGGAAAGAAAATAACACAATAAGCAGAAACAGTTTTAAAATTTGAATCATCCTGAAAGCAGAAAGCGATCCAAATTAGTTAACGAAAGCACATCTCTTCCTGATCTCACCCTGCGTCCCGGTAAGAATCTCGACGAAACCAAGTTTGACCATTGATTCAGAGAAATCCTTGTCGAAGGAAGCCCCACTGGTTTCAACCTGCGTCTGAATGTAGTGTTTGGTCTCCACGTCATCGAGAAGTGTTGAATCAGATGTGAACAAACCCCTCTTCTGAGCCACAACGTTGAAGTAGTGAGAGTCAAACTTCTTGAAACTTCCTGGGTCCATCGCCACCATGGTACTCCTATCAGTTGGCTTGCATCTCTTCTTCAACTGCCTAACGTAGCTAGGGTTCATCGATGGGTCAAAGTCACCATTGCCAGTGAAGTTATGGATACGTCTGCTGATGAGACCGCAAGAAGATATTCCAATGGTGTGAGCCCCTGCTCAAGAAACCATATATTACAGTCAGCAGTTCATATCCTAAAAAGGTATATTAAAAAAAAAAAACAGTTAAAGATTTTAAAGATGTTTGTATGGAATTACCTGAGAGGACGACCAAGTCTTTAGTGTTAAGACCCTTGGCGAAGAAGTCCTGCTTCAATGCATTTACGTCGGCAAAAGGAGATGGTAAATTAACCTCGGAAAGTTTTGATACGCGTCCGTCCCTACGCCCCAATGGAACAGGCCACCATGGTCCTTTGATCTAACAAAAAAAAAATGAAGAAAACAATCAATCAAGTGACCAAAATAAGTTGGTACGTACACTAATGTAATCAAATGGTTTTGGAATGACGAGAAAATCAGCTGCATGCAAAATGTTACCACTGAAACAGCGTCTCTAGCGACCAAGGCAAGAACATCAGCGCAAGAAACGACACCAGGACACTTCCTCTCGAGGGCTGTCTTGGCAGCATCGACCACTTCGTAGCCTCTCACTGTCAAGTTGGGGATAGCGTCTCTTTCCGCATCCTTGTTTGGAGATTTCAGAAGAAGCGAAGCATCACATCCCTATATGGATTGATAATGTACACAAAAAAAAAGAGGTAGGGGTTAGTGCATTTTCTTATCCATATATGTTAGGATCCCACTCTGAAGGGAGAACACTACTATATAAAGGACGTACATCATAGATTAGTAAAACATCAATTTAAAATAAAAATCAACTTACTCTGACAAAACAGTCATGAAAATACATCCTCAGAAGCGCAGCAGCAAAACTTGGCCTGTGAGAAACGTATTGAAATGTGATACGGCGGACGATGGCTTCCGCTTGTGGACACTTAGAGCGATAGTAGTTGAGGTCAAGACCACCCTCATGTGGCTGTGCAAAGGAAAGACCAACAACGCCAAGAAGAACTACAAGGGCAAGAATATTCTTGATGAGCGCCATTGTTATCTCTCTTCTTTGTTGAGTATTCAGCTGAGTTTAGGGATGAAGAGAAAGATGAAAGTCTCAGGCTTTTTATAGATCATTCGAAGGTGTTTTGAAAATGTCCATTGTCATATGTCAGCATCGGATTTATGTGATATATACCCATTTGCATATATTCATCTGTTTTCTTTATTGGAGTTGAATAACAGAGGACGAGACCATGGCCTCCACGATCGCTCCGATTCTTGTTTGTAATCTTACTTTATAAAATGCCCAGGAATTGAAAACCTCAAAATATTGACTATTGACTTTTAGAAAGCAACCTCTGTTTTTCATTTGGAAAAAAAAAACTTAATATTTAAAATTTGCTAGAATATTATTCAAATTAAATTTGTTAAAAAAACTAAAATAATTTTTAGTACACTTTCTCCTTTGTGAAATAACGGTCGTTAATGGCTTAAATAGAACCGCTAACTAATGTTAATTTTAGTTAATTTTTGTTTTTGTAAAATTACCTCAACTAATTTTGTTTTGTTAAAAAACTACACGATAATTTACAATGTAAAATGCACAAAAGCTATATTGCAGGTTGATTCAGATTTTATTAATTTGAACTTCATTTTCAGCAAATTGAGGTTTGAGGATAAATTTGCAAAATATTTGCAGAAAACCAATAAAAATAACATATATGCATCGTGAAAATCTTGTTTACAATTGGTGTTATGCTATAATAAGTTTGCGATGTAGTAAATTACGCGTCTCACATATGATATCAAACATAAAATTCTATGTGTAAATAACTAAATATATCCATCCAAATAATTCTAATCAGAAAACCATTCTCGCTCATTTCAACGCCTTCTTGGTTCGGTCGGTTTAAGACCCAACCCAATCACCACCACTCCAAGTCTCCACCACACACTTTCTTTAATTTATGCGTGTCACTTTTACGTAGACACAATGTAATTTTTCTCTGTCTCATATTCTAATTTGCTCAAATCTCTTCGAAGGGACATGTTTCTTTTCATCATTTCATGAGATTGCTATTGATTCAGTTTTTTGTTTTTGCTTTTTTTTGGCTTTGTAATTGTCTTTTAGGTCGTGACTTCTTCCACAAGAAAAGCAGTACATCAAGCCATATGAGTTTCCAATTACAAAATTTAGCAACTTGGATGATTTTTTCTAAGAGAATTTAAGAACGTGGATTCCACATACGATGACGGTTTATTATTGTTTTTTTTTTGTCTCTTTTACTTAGAGAGATAAGTTCGACAAAACAAAGTTGTTTAATAAGCTTCTCAAAGTCAATATTTCAAATAGCAAAAGTGGATTTGAAGCTTTCTTAATTGTGGATAAATTTGAGTTTTCACAATTCTGGGAAATTTCATATTCAACCACCAACAGATATTAAAAAAGAAAAAAAAGATGATAGTGGAGGCCCTGTTCTTTCTCTGTTTTTTTTTTCAAACCTAATTAAGAAACAGAGGAATACTGCAAAAGGGTTTATCTGATTCTCATTTGACAATTTTCCATGGAAATGTTCAATGTCGATGGATGATCTATAAAATGCCTGAGAAAGTTACCTTCATCATCGCCCCCAAGCTCGGTCTGATCTTTCTTGGCTAATACTCAACAACGAAAACGAGCTAAGAAAGGAGAGATAGTAATGGGCTAACGGCGATCAAGAAACTTCTTGCCCTTGTCGTAATTTTTTATAACTGTTTTATTCAGAGTAAGCTACATTGACACACAGGTTGCTACTCCCAGATCTTATAATTCAACACAGATTTCTCTGACTCAATGCTACTCTAAGATGTCAGTCAATGTGGATAGCCTATTTCTATTAAAAAATATATAAATAGGCTGTATAAATTTCACTTGAGTTACGTCCTATATTTCGGATGTATATAATATAAAAGTCTGAAAGACTGAAACCAAGTTTGTGTGGTTTGATGCAAGTGTTAGGTATGTGGTTCGGTTCTGTTTTGATTCAAATTCAGTTTTCATCCGGGGAAAAAATAAAGAATTGGACTTATTAGTCATTTTTTTCGATAGCAGGTAAATCTGAAACTCAAGGAAAAATCACTTAAAACCAAAAGCAAAAAGAGAAATAAACATTTTCATTAACGTTAAGGGTTGTTACACAATTGATAACATTCGTGAAAGGAGAAAAAATGACTTAAATAATAAACAAATGCGCATCTCCACAATTCAAACACAAAGAACTTCTGTTGAAAAAGGACTTGATGAAGGAAATAAATGAACACAATAAGCAGAAAGCGTTTTAAAACTTGAATCATCCGGAAAGCAGAAATCGATCCAGATTAGTTAACGAAAGCGCATTTCTTCCTGATCTCACCCTGCGTCCCGGTAAGAATCTCGACGAAACCAAGTTTGAGCATTGATTCAGAGAAATCTTTGGCGAAGGAAGCCCCACGGGTTACGACCTGCTTCTGAATGTAGAGTTTGGTCTCCAAGTCATCGAGAAGTGTTGAATCAGATTTGAACAAACCCTTCTTCTGAGCCACAATGTTGAAGTAGTGAGAGTCAAACTTCTTGACACTGCCTGGATCCATCTCCACTATGGTCGTGGGAGTAGTTGGCTTGCATCTCTTTTTCAATTGCCTAACGTAGCTCGGGTTCATCGACGGGTCAAAGTCGCCTTTGCCAGTGAAGTTATGGATACGTCTGTTGATGAGACCGCAAGAAGATATTCCAATGGTGTGAGCCCCTACTCAAGAAACCATATATTATAGTCAGCTGTTCATTATATCATTAAAAGGTATATTAAAAAAAAAAAAAAAAGATTAAAGAATTCAAAGATGTTTGTATAGAATTACCTGAAAGGACGACCAAGTCTTTAGTGTTAAGACCCTTGGCAAAGAAGTCCTGCTTCAATGCATTTACGTCGGCAAAAGGAGATGGTAAATTAACCTCGGAAAGTTTTGATATGCGTCCGTCCCTACGCCCCAATGGAACAGGCCACCATGGTCCTTTGATCTAATACAAAAAAATGAAGAAAACAGTCAATCAAGTGACCAAAATAAGTAAGTTGGTACGTACACTAATGTAGCTAAATGGTTTTGGAAGGTTGAGAAAATAAGCTGCATGCAAAACATTACCACTAAAACAGCGTCTCTAGCGACCAAGGCAAGAACATCAGCGCAAGAAACAACACCAGGACACTTCCTCTCGAGGGCTGACTTGGCAGCATCGACCACTTCGTAGCCTCTCACTGTCAAGTTGGGGACAGCGTCTCTTTCCGCATCCTTGTTTGGAGATTTCAGAAGAAGGGAAGCATCACATCCCTATTCGGATTAATAATGTACACACAAAAAAAGGTAGGGGTTAGCGAAGTTTCGGATTAATAATGTATTAGTAAAACATCAAAATCTAAGAAAATTCAACTTACTCTGACAAAACAGTCATGAAAATACATTCTCAGAAGCGCAGCAGCAAGACTTGGCCTGCGAGAAACGTATTGAAATGTGACACGGCGGACAATGGCTTCCGCTTGTGGACACTTGAAGCGGTAGTAGTCGAGGTCAAGACCACCCTTCATATGTGGGTTCCTATGTCTATGTGGCGGCTTTGCAAAGGAAACTCCAACAACGCTAAGAAGAACCACTAGGACAAGAATGTTCTTGATGAGCGCCATTGTTGTCTCTCTTCTTTGTTGTGTATTAAGCTGAAGTTTAGGGATGAATAGAAAGAAGAAAGTCTCAGGCTTTTTATAGATCACTCGAGCGTGTTTTGAAAATTTCCATTAATGTCATATGGCAGCCTCTGATTTATGTAATGCCCATTTGCATATATTCATCTGCTTTCTTTGTTGGAGGTGAAGAACAGAGGATGAGACCATGGCCTCCACGATCGTTCCGATTCTTGTTTGAATCTTTTTTTTTTTTTTTAAATGCCCAGCAATAGAAAAACCTCAAAATATTGAAATGATCATTAACTTTTCTGCCTATCTTTTGCTCTTTGTAAAGGCTATTGACTTTTAGAAAACAAGCTCTGTTCTTCATTTCACTCTGAAAATTAAAAAAACAATCTTTACTTTGTTTGTCATGTGTGGAACACACGTTCAATTTCTTCGCCTGCATCAGTTTTTTTATTCCTAGTGTTCATATTCTAAAACTATTTTATCCCTCTGCCTCCAGCATCCTCATCCTCTTTAGTTTGCCCTTCAACTTTTATTTTGTCAATGGCCTATGTCATTTGCTATTTATTAAACTACCCGAGATCTTTCAATATTTATGAAAATTCACTTTAACTTATGTTATTTACCAAATGAAGCTTATCGTATGATATTTATAAAAATCCCCCGATGTTTTGGTTTTTATGAAACTGAGCTACATCTTTTTTTTTTTGTATAATACTATAAAAAATAACAGCATGCCTATTTTAAAATATATCACAACCAATTTTGTATAGTCAAACTTAATTTCATATTCTTAATGTTCGTAAATTTCACAGATATTGGTATATTACCCATCAGATAATTCCAGTCCTCCAATTTATCTGAGTCTTAACGTGAAAAGAAAAAAAAGAGCCAGATGAAAAGATGACGACATTTGACCGACTTTGAAAACTAAATTGGTCTGGTAATCAGACGAAAATCCCTTGAGCAGTTAACTTTTATTTATTTTAATGCCCTTTGCGGTATATTTATAATTTAATCCTATGCCGCAGTTGTCTGAAGTTCGAATCTGTTTTTCACTTCTTCTTATAATACAATGTTTTTAGTATTGATTCGCATGTTTCAAAAAAGGATGAGGCCCAAGATATAAGCAACAACGATTTAGGACAAAACAAAAATTCTAAATAAGAACATACGTTGTAAAGTTGGAATATATTTATAGTTTTATGATCTATCAACGTATGATGTTTTGGCATATGAAATCAGTATCGCTACCAAATCCCCTAATTGATCTTATATACTTCTATTACCTTAAGTAATTGTTAAAATATAAAACGACGATAATTATCTTGGAATGCTTTCTTGCCCGTTAGTAATTGTTCGTTGCGGTTCTCTTAGTTGTATACTTTTATTATTAGGGATTAGGTCAAGTACTGTAATTTTGTAACTTTATATATGGAGGCTATTGTTCAACTAGTATATTCATTGATAAAATTAGATATCATATATCTCGATTATATATAATTTTATTGTTGACTATGACATCATGACGCTAAATACAGTCAGTTAAATTTGGCTCGGATTTTATATGTTACTTACAACTTACTATAGCTCCATTTATGGACCAAACATTCACCCTCCTTTAGCATGCCTAATACTTATTTTCTCACTATAAGTAGATATAGTTAGTTAGGGGATTTTGAAATTCGCGTCTTAATAATTAGTGGTTAAAAATAGATTTATTTTGTACACAAAACAAAACCAAAAAATAGAAAATAGAGAAAACAGGAAATTAAATTGAATTCTCATAAACAAGAGCGAAGTGTTATGTAAAAACATCATTTGAAGACTAAATAAAATCATTGGATGCCAAAACAATTTCTCTAGTTTTACAACTCATTCTCTATTTCTATGATATATTCACAACAATAATTTTTTTTATTTAATATCTTAAAGACAACACTATATTGTTTCACACAACACTAATTTCTTTTTGCGTTTTGGCTTTAAGATATTATACAAGGATGCAACATAAGATATTCAAGTTAGTAAAGTAGTAAGAGTAAAGCCAAAATTATATTTATAAACATGAATTCAGAACTTACAAAAAAAATTATGTGTGACGCTGCTTATGAGTCGGAAATAACAAAAGTAAAATAAAAGGACAACTCATAAGAGCACATGTTAGTTAGCTTAGATGGACCCTCCTACATTATCAAACTGGCAAAATGTTCTCTCTCTTTTTTTCCGACAAAAAAGCAAAATTTTCTATATAAACCACTTTCAACGTCTCAATACACCACACAGTACACAGCCACACAGTGAACATAATCCTCCCCAGAAAAACATTGTGTCTAATAAAGCCATAAAAACAAAAGATGAATTGCTTGAGAACTATTGCTCTTTCACTCTCTCTGTTTCTTTTGGGATTGATCGGACCAATCCAAGCTCAACTGCAAATGAACTTCTATGCCAATACTTGTCCTAACGCCGAAAAGATTGTTCAAGATTTTGTTTCAAACCACGTTTCTAATGCTCCTTCTCTTGCGGCTGCCCTCTTGAGAATGCATTTCCACGACTGTTTTGTCAGGGTAAACTCTTTTTTTTTGCTCTCTTATATTATGAAACATTACTAATTGGCTAAGGAATTAATAATGAAGGATATATCCACATGTACATGTAGGGTTGTGATGGATCAGTGCTTATAAACTCGACGTCAGGAAACGCGGAGAAGGACGCAACTCCTAACCTAACGGTTAGAGGGTTTGGTTTCATCGACGCAATCAAATCTGTGCTTGAAGCTCAGTGCCCTGGAATCGTATCTTGCGCTGATATTATCGCTCTAGCATCTCGAGACGCAGTAGTTTTCACAGTAAGTGATCCGCATAATACTAATATTGTATAAATACAAATTTTAATATTTTCTCATCATACAAATTTGGTACGTTGTAGGGAGGGCCAACTTGGAGTGTACCAACAGGAAGAAGAGATGGAAGAATATCGAACGCATCAGAAGCATTAGCCAACATTCCTCCTCCCACCAGTAACTTCACCAATCTTCAGACACTCTTTGCAAACCAAGGACTTGATCTTAGGGACCTTGTCTTACTCTCCGGTAAAGCCTAAACCCATATATCACACATTGCTAAAAATTAGGTTGGATGGTTTCAAAAGCAAGTATCTTGTCTTGATGTTAAATGTAAATTACAAATGCAAACAGATTTCTGTTCGTATATGTTAACGTTTAATTTGCGTTAGTATTAACAATTTACAAAAGAAAATCTGTTACAAATTATATAAACCTACATTTCTAATATCATATAGTGTTACAACTTTAGTAAAACATTTTTTTTTTGTAACAAGGGTAATAGTAAAACATTTTAACCCTACGTTTCAAGATTAATATTGAAAAATGTGTTGTGCTATAACAGGGGCTCACACTATCGGTGTATCTCACTGCTCGTCTTTCACAAACCGTCTCTACAATTTCACTGGTCGTGGAGACCAAGATCCGGCCTTAGACAGCCAATACGCAGCCAATCTCAAGTCTAGGAAATGCCCTAGCCTCAACGATAACACGACCATCGTGGAAATGGATCCAGGGAGCCGTAAAACGTTTGATCTTAGTTACTACCAGCTCGTTCTCAAGCGTAGAGGTCTGTTTCAATCTGACTCTGCTCTAACCACTAACCCAACGACACTCCAAAACATAAACCAGATCTTGAAGGGTTCGGTGGAGAGTTTCTTTTCTGAGTTTGCCAAGTCGATGGAGAAAATGGGTCGGATCAATCTGAAGACTGGGTCAGCAGGAGTGGTTAGAAGGCAATGTTCCATTGCAAATAGTTAATGGGTAAAAATGTAATGTATGTGGGAGTTTGGGGGTATTAGTGAAAAGTAAACAAGGATGATGATGATGATGATTGTGATGTGATCTTTTGGAATTTGTGTGTGTATGGATTTGGTTATAGACTTCGTCAATAAAGAAATAAAAATATATTAGTTTTTCTTTTTCTTTTGATTTGTCTTGTACGAAGCATGACATTTTAGTTGGTTTGAGTACATTGCCAATTTGCCATCTGGTCAATAGAATTATCTCAAAACGAGAGAATCCGAAAGCCTTAAGAAATTCCTATGTGAAATGTATTATTATTATTACTATTATTATTGATGCATTTGACTGTTAAAAGAAAAATGCTGAAGATTGGAAAAAAAACAAGTTTTATTTTTATCATCATGAAAAAGTTTCCTCAACCGACATACAAAAGTAAAAGAGAACAAAAAAAAAAAAGAGAAAAGTAACGAACTGTAAAATATTATTGGGTTTGTAAAAAAAGAGAAAATCTCTGTGCTCCATTACAATATTTTCACCTTCTTCTTGCAAGAAGTATACCCGAAACTATAGCTGTCCCTGCAACTGCAATTGCCACTGATGATATTATCCTCTTCACGGTAAATACTGACTCGTCGCTCGGTATCTCCATTAGATCTTTCATCTGTAAATTCCATGAAATGGAGTAATCAACCACAATTCAGAAACAAAACAAGCTCATGAAATCAGAAACTGGTTAACGACAAGTTTCACAGCAGCAAACCGTTATAGGCTGCTTCCAATTCTTCTTGATTCCATTAATATGCCCTCTGCCGATAACTGCCACAACCGAACTGTGCTCACTCGCAACCCTCAGCAAAGACGATGCCATGTACCTGAGAATTTCATTTTTGTTGCCACCAATCAATCATTGGTCTCTCTATTGCCATTTCCGTTTCAGTTTTCAGATAACGAATCATGATAAGCCAAGCTTAACGATTCCGATAAACTGCATATAGAGATATTAGAGAATACTAACTGGTCTCGCTCATGCACAAGTGTATCCATGAGAGATGGAAATTCCTTGCTCATTTCTTGAATCACCAAAGTCACCATATCCACATTGTCCATTTCTTTCAGCTGAAAAGTCCATCGATAGATATACTAGTTATGACGAATGACATTAAATTACATGTGCAGAAAAGTAGGAGAACAATATATACAGAAAGACTTACCATTTTGTTCAGCTCTTCAGGGCTCGGCAAGAAGACAGCTTGAAACAGGAAGGAGTATAGAAACTTTATCTTGTGCCTTAGAGGCATCTTGGCCCATGTTCTTTTTAACGTAATCTGCTTCGGAAAAAAAAACAAAATCGAAATCAAGTAATTATATACTGGAACAATGTTAGAGATGCAACTCCATGTTATAAGATGCGTTGAAACTGTGGACGAACATATCACCTGTACAGGACGATCACCAAGTATCACCTTGCCGCCATATCTAAGGGCTTCTTCATATGCCACACGGAACTCAGAACCAGGAAAAACCTCAAGCTGACTGGCGATCTAACAGAAGGAAAGGATGTAAATTTTTGGTTCAGAAAATTAAGCTTCCATGAAAAATATCTTGATTGAGGGGACTTGCCTTTGCAAGAAACCATCCATAAAGTATTCCGAATGTGTTCTGTTTCTGCTTCCAACTTTCTATCATATCCGACATGGTTGGAACCTATAAAACAAAACATAGTAGCATTTTAGAAAAAGCAAAGCATAGCATATAAAGCAAGTGAAGTACATTCTATAGGCAAACTCTTCCAGCAGACAACACAGAGCTCATGGGAATCCTCTGTTTTATGATTAGTAAAGAAATTTTGGCAGACAGCGACAGCAACAATAATAATTTCTTGTACCAAAAGAAACAGCGATGCACTTTTTTCCAGAATCTAACACAATGATATACATATATGGCCATAAAATGCGTAGAAGTGAATCAAATAGGCAGGGAGAAGCAGAATCACAATTTGAAAAGCAAACCTTCAAAGTCTGAGGTTTGAGAATAGACAATCGGCTTGAACACAACTCCACGAAGACAACCTGTAATCATCGGCCACGGGCTTAGACCCAAACATAGACATAAAGACATCAAACTTCAGTCATCGGTGAACATTTAAAGAGAAGAACCTCTGGTTTCAAGATGCTGACTATTGCTTCGACTTCTCGACAGGATTCCTGTAACAAAAATTACGACGATTTACACGATTGTCCCAAGATAAATGATTGAACGCTATTGTATGACAATGTAATTAAAAACAAAGAGCTACGCGTTTTCTCAAGCCTATACAAGTAAACAAAAAGAAAACGTTCTATATCCAGGCTAGTTCAGCTAAGTTGCAACAAAAGGAAAATGGGAAGATGAAAACAGATCCTATGGATTCTCAAAACATTTTCATTGAAATCTAAAGCTGAGACTGAGAGCAAGTTCTAATCCATCCCAAATCTCCAAAACCATATATTCCTTAATTTAGCAACTTTGAAGAAGCTGGGAATGTCTAACCAAATCCTAGCCTAGCTCCATTTTCGGCAACTCTTCTGACACTAGCAAAAACACGGTCCCAACATTTTTACCCGCAATAGAAATGTCTACAGAAAAAAAGGTTTGATAGCTTTCTTGAATTTCACATGCAATCCAGCTTTCTCGAAAGATTACAACATCGATCAATCACTAATCCCTCTAAACCATTCGATACTTAGCAATCCTAGTTTAATTCCAATACATCTCCTTGGCAAATTTCGAAGCAAATAAAATTACCTTTGATACATGGGCAGTCCCGATCAAATACACATCACAAGATCCGCCTTTCCCCGTGGACTCGCACGTCAGAATCACAACGCTTTTCGCCAATTCCTCCGGCAGCTCCACCTTCGTCGTCTCCGATGAACACTCGCCACCGCCGAATCCATCGCCATCACCGCCAGCTGCATCGCCGCCGCTAACCACGGAATCGGAGTCTTTATAATCTTCCTCCGGCTCCGGCTCCGGCTCCGGCTCCGGCTCCGGCTCCGGCTCGTCGAACAGGTCCTCCTTCTGGACATTCACTATGCTGTCGCTTAACGACATATCGCCGGTAGGCCTGGAGTCTTCGATGTGAACGAAGTCCTCGCCAGAGTGAACCTCCGGCTCCGACGGCGATTGCGTCATGGAATCGAGGAGGGGATGGCAGATATGGTAATTTCGAGGATTCCGGAGGGCGAAAGTGTATAGATTGGGAATTTGGGATCACGCAAATGGTTTACTTACTCTACCATTGAAACAAGGCAAGGTATCATGGTGGGAAAGTCGTCTAATAAGCTAAGGTATATCGCTAATTAAACTCTTTTCATAAATTAGTTCCATTTACTTCTTAATTAACCATTTAATCTCCCCTTAACCGGTAAACCGGACTTGTACTTGGCCCGCGTCAATACGGTCGGTCACATTTACGTTTGTTTTTTTGCTTCTTCTTTCGGCTCATTATTTTTTTTCTTCCAAGCGGTTGGATAATACCAAACTATGTGGATTTAATATCTCTTTAAATACGAAATTTTATGAAAATCGTAGTTTCCGTTTTTCTATAAGAATGTTTACACTTGGTTCAGATTTTCTCACCTTTCGAGTAAGAGTGTGACTTGCCTTGTTCCGATTGTCTATACACGCCAGTCTACACTGCTATTTAAAAAACGCCAGCTTTATGAAGGGAAAGTGAGACTAAATCTTGGGTTCTTATCTTGCAATTGAAGTAAAATATCATTCTTATATTTTATATTTTAAAGAGAGAATAATTTAGCCACATTTTTGGATGACTATTCGGTAAATTTTTATTTATTTGACAAAGTGTTTCACCTACCATTCAAATATTATCTATCACTCTCGTACGTTAATTATAGATTTGACCACTTACCAGACAGGGATCATAGTACAATCATACATAATTTCTTGTTGCATATTCAAAGCTTCATTTCGATAGATATCTCTCATAAAACTATTTACTACAAATCTCAAAAGTTGAAAGGCAACAAGCCAATTAAGAGTTTAATATTTAGTATACCAAATAATTAAAATGTAAAACAAAAAACTAGTTTGCAAAGGTATGGCAATATATAAAAAAAAAAGGTATGATATAATTAGTTATGTTGCTACTAGGGATGTATATAGATGAGTTCATCCTCTTTGCACTCTCGAATTCCAATTTCCATTATATTTCCACCATTGGAAGAAGTAGGTAAAATATCACAACATTGTCTTCTGGGAGCCTTCAACTACCATGCACATCGAACAAATTAATTTCACTAAGATAAACTTAAAAATACATGAAAAAAACTATGACTTTCACGAAATACTACTTCTATGGTGTTAGTTTTTGAAATTTACCCTTTTTGTTTAATATTTCTATTTCAAACATTCAAAATTCAGTATTTGTAAATCCAAATGACAAAGTTCACTCAAGTTCAATACTAAAATTGAGATTTTTCTCAATTGTTATTAAACTTAATTTACATATATATAATTTGTTGTCAAAAAAAAAATTATGTCAAAAACTATCTGGATTGTCTTAAATTTCTCTTACAATTTAAATTCTCTAAAGAACTTCCAAGCAAATTTCTTATAGACATCTTCCAAGCATTTATCTTATACTCCTTGTAAATAATACGTACGTGATAGTCCCAGTTTTATTTATACCTAATTTTATAGTAAAAAACAAATTAGTTATAGGAGGAAGAAAAAAACTTTAGCAATTGACATATCAACAAAGAATTACTAATCTGGCAAATGATTTCACAAAGACCAAAATTCTAGTATTTAACCTATTTTCAGTATAAAGAACGAAACTTTTACTAAGAAGAAAAAAAAAATCCAAAAAGTAGAAAAGGTAGAATGAATTACTTGTCTGATATCGGGATCGAATCTTCTTGAAAACACTCTAATCTCTTGGATTTTTCGAGGTGATGAAATGGGATCGTACGTGCAGTTCTCATAAGCTTGCTTATACACACTTTGAATAGTCCCATCATCCTTAGTAGAAGAAACATGTTCCATGAAGAAAGTTACAGGTCTTTGGCAAGGATCATGATGAATATCTCTTGTGTTGAATGTGTACACACTTGATAATCCGCCGGAATGTTGCCATGGTCGGAACGTTTTTTGTGTTGGCAAAACATCCCGTAGAAACAAATGCCTACCCTCAATCTAACATTACAAACAACAAATTAATTTGATCCAATAACATTAAGTTATTAGACAATCATGTATCTAATTAGGACAGTACATTTTTACGGAACCAAAACTTTCTAACCGAGTAAGATTTTTTTTTTTAAAAAAAATCAAACCGAAATTTATTCTTCTGAGCCTACAAATCATCCCGGAAAAAAAACTCAAATTTGGGACATAATTATCTCAAAGCAAGAACTCGAATTTTCCTTGTAGCTATATGAATGTAAAAAAAAAAAAAAAAAAAGAAAGAAAATTGAGAACGATATTAACCTGAACAGCATAGCCCCAAGAGACAGAGATGGTCCAAGAGTACCAACGGTCGTAGCAAACGGAGAGTTGAAATATACGGAGAGGATCAAGTTCTACGGCGGAGAAGAGGTGGCGGACGGCGGAAAAAGTGGTTGAGTTTGGGAAAATTGGGTTTATGTGGGCCAAGTGGTGTAGAGACACCAATGGTCGCGTTGAATGTGACATCAATATTCCCAATGCATTTCCTCTCACATCAAACTGCTTAAAAAGACAAAAAAAAAATTATGATTTAATTAGTTTTTGAAAATTCTTGTAAATAATTAAAAAAAAAAAAAAATGAAAAACCTGATGGAAGCCAGGCTCATAAGACAACCCAACTCCGAGCTCAAGAACACAAGCATGAATCCTAGAGTCACCTCCGTACAAATGCGGATACCGTTCGATACAAGAATCCAAATTCTTAGCTAAGATGTTAGCCAACGAGCTGCTTAAAGCGAACCCTCCACCGCCAAACGCCATGTCGTGTCCGAACATCGAGTTCTGGTAATAAATTTCTGAGCTTGCTCCGATGTAATACCATGATGTGTGGTCGTATTTGGAGAGCGTTCTTGCAAGATTTTCCGGGATGAATATCGTGTCGTCGTCTCCAAATACATACCATCTTACCTCCTCCGAGGAGGTGTTGAACATCCTTACGGTTTCTAAAACGCACCGTGCGATTCGAATTGCGTTTCTGTCACCGCCTCTCCAAGTGTACCTGTAGAGAATATTAAATGAATATAAGTATATATATTAGTATTATCATTTTATATGCTCTAGTAGAATCTCTGACACGTCGGAATTTATATAGGAGTATTTTATTTATTCTTTAATACTGTTGTGTATTTAATATGTATAATTTACATTTTATTAAACCAGTAGGTTTTAGAGAATAATAAAATTAAAGAATAAATGCCACAAGTATATATGGTTATTTTACAAGTTTTTTATGGTTCATTTCGAAAATAGTATCACGTCAATTCTGTTTTACTCACAAAAACAACTTAAATTCTCTTACTATATTAGTTTCACACAACAACAAAAAAAATGTAGGCGTTACAACCGATATTGATCAAAATAATAACGCCACAAAATCTACCTTCTTTATTTCGTGAATAAAAAAGTTAAACTTTCAAGGAAGCAATTATTTTCAAGATTGATGCAGAATCCATCAAATATCTCAATAGATATAATTGATGATGAATTCTGAGTTGAACTTAGTTACCTGAACCGGGAAGTATCTTGGGAAACACAAACTGGAGGAAGAAGATCAGAATCTGTGTGGTTCTCAGACGAGGACAATGGCTGGTCAACAAAGACGCAGCCTCTCATTCTCTGAGCATCCCACCAGAGCTTAACGTAGTCTCTACGTGCAAGCCAAGATTTCTTGCTCGAGCCGATCCCAAAGACGATGTGATCAATCTTTGTTAAGCTAACTTGAGAAGGTTGATCTTGAGAAGATGAGAAGTAGGCATTAATGGAGTCTTTAGATTGAAGCCTTGATACCGAGACCGACGCGAGGAAGTAGACCGAGGAAATCAAAACAGATAGTAGTATGCAATTTATCATACGGGTCGAGATAATTGACGAAGAAGAGGAAGAATGGGTTTTCGATACGGGTCGAAAAAGACACATTTCCTTAGGAGTATATATTAAGAAGGATAATTTTAGTATATATATGACCTTTATATATAAATAAATGAATGGGAAGATCTCAAAAGGTATATGTATATATGGCACGACGGTGGTTATATTAAAGTCGTGATCACGGTGGCTATATCCGGTTGTAGCGGCGGCGATAGAGGAAGGTTTTATAGTAATGGAGTAATGTAAAAATGGTTTTTAATGTAAGGAATTATTGCGGCCTAACTATTTAATAACTTTAAGTTGTGATTAGGCACGGAAGCTAAGGCGTAGAGAAAAAAAGTAGCTTATTAGATTATTTGTTTTTTTTCCTTAGTTTAGAAATTTTAAATTGAGTGTGGGAGTCTTTTTGGACTTGTACGTCAGTTGTTCTCCCTTTTTGATTTTTCTCACTTCACAAATTAATCTCAGTTAACGATATTTTGTATCTAATGGAATTCAGTTTTAATAACAGATTTTTTAGTTCTTGTTATCTGTTAGATTGACGGTGATATAATAAAATATTAGATATTTGTTCCACTAGTCCGCCCGGTAAAGACTTCGATTTGATTTATTATTATTGTTGGGGGTGTTTTTTTCTATAATATTTCTAATTTAGATGTTAGCACATAATATTACGAAATATTGAAAAGTGACGAAACAAGCAACGTTTAGTAACGTAAATTTGCTGCCCGCAACATGTGCTATGTCACAAGATCCGAGCCATTGGGGGTATAAACATGTGTTCTTGTTTACTTTGGGGTATGTTGGCTTACTCACAGATCAATCTCACTTGATAGAGAACAAAACTTGAAACTCATGACAATTGTATTGATAAATATCAGAATCTTTTTCGGAAACACCTCTAGCTTCAAGAAAGCAAGAATTCAAAGAAGTTTATCCTGATTCCTGAGCACAGCAAGAACATCTAAGACAAGAAATCACATTAATTAATCATCATTCATCAGACCTATAACTGTGAACTTATATCCTACAAACCAAAAATAATCAGCAAAATTAATTTTTAGATAAATGTAAGCGCGAATTATGCCCAAAATTGCTGAACATTATATGGGACAGGCTCGTCCTTGTTAGTACCTTCTTGTTAGGTCAACACCACCGGGTTGTTCAGAATCATTCTCTTCAATTTGTCAATATCAGAGTTTCAGAACTAGAAAAATATTATTTAATCAACCATTCAAGAGAAACCTCAGATGAGAATGTGAGTTTCACTGAGATCCTGGGATGTGTAGAGACTTTTAAAATTTCTTTTTGGGTTACTATAATTTGAACCAACAAAAAAAAGTTTCAAGAAATTGTTCAATGAAAAGAAGTTGACCAAGAAAAAAAAAAGCTAAATAAAAAGAAAAGAAAAAAAAATGTAAATAATTATACTTATATCAAAAAATTAAAACAGAATTTGTTTCTGTGTCTAATTGGGTTATATCCAATAAATTGTCGGAATTTAGAATGATGAAAAAAAAAACTCTCTACCTAGATTCAAAATATGTTCGTATTTCTCTCCAACTTTGTATATGCATCATTATTTTTTGATAAAATAATTTAATATTAGAAAAATAAAACCCCAAAAATGTGTCTATATTATTTATTAAAAAAATTATCTTGAATAGGATCCAAGACCAATAGATGTTTTTGACCGTGCTATAATATTTTTAAAATCCTCGGCAAAATAAAGTCAAAATATCATGGAACCATTACGATGATGATCATATGATTGCAACTATCTTTTTAGGTCATGATTCTATTAGTCTTTGTTATTATTCGCTCGTGGGTCATAATCATATTCTGCACCAGCTTTCGTAAATCTTCCTTTCATTCGTCTCTTCGTATCAGCTGTAGATTTTCGAGATTCATATCTAATTTGCTTCCCAAACCTGCATTTGTTATAATCTTGAGATTGTAAGTATACGTTGACACAGTTTCATGTAATTAACTACACGTAAAAATTGATATATTTCAGGAGATTTAATAATAATAATAATAATACCTACTTGCGTTTCTTCTTCTTTGCGAAATATCTCTTCACCGCCTCTAGTCGTTCTTGCGGAGTATATACATGAGAAGAACGTCTTTGATCCTCCCATGGTAACATAGCATCGGTCAGAATCAACTGTGATGGTCCACAGTCAAGTTGAACAAGAGCGTTAGGGAATGTTCCAATAATATTATTATTATTGGTCTCTTCCTTTGCCTTTGAGCCAATCATTTGATTTTTACTGTAATCTTCACAACTTGCATTAGCCAAAGCATCATTGTTGTAATCTTTATGTATAACCGATGACATACCCGATGATGAAGATGATATAATCTATAACAAACAAAAATAAAAATAAATAAACAAGTCAAACCATAAAGACACTTATGACATTAATATGCGAAAGACATATATATATATATATATATATATATATATATATTGATGTTTGTTAATACCTCGGTTGTGGTCTCTGCACTGTGTTTCGTTATTTCATCGTTTAGTTGTCCGGTGAGGATCAATTCTTCCATGGGGAAATATTCTTTTAGGCCTAATACTGCCTCGTCGACGTCAAAAGAGTTCAGCAAAACGTTCTCTATATCTTTAATTTCGTAACAATTGAAGCCAAAACATGAACTATCCTGCGTAAAGTGACACACAAGACACATCGGATCGAAATAAGCTAGCGCACAAATTTACCGTCAAAATAATCAGATCCCACATTAACTATAAGTATACCTTAGGAATGTCCAAATACTCGGGCTGAATCATTTGCACTTGTTGATCCCTATATTTCTTTGTATAATTGTCAAAATTTTGGAAAATTCCAGAAGATGATGATGAATCCCCATTATTGAGAGGTAATGAAACAAAGGGGAATCCCCAGTTGCGATCAATGAAAGAAGATGACGAAGAGGAGGAAGAGGAATCAAGATCAAGATCTGGTGGACAGCCATAACCCGAAATATTACTAGAAGTGTTACAAAGAAGAAAACGTGACGTGACATTGGCGTTTGAAACGCACATTTGGCATAGGAACAATCCTTGGTCAAGGCATTGGACAACCGCGGTCTGCGAAACACAATTGTTGCACAGCAGAAACCGCGAGTGATCGGGACTATCCATAGTCACAGGGTGTAACCTCAGGTCACATTGAAAACAAACCCTAGCCAAATGAGTCTTACAATAACCAATGGCTCTTCGCATATTGCAATGATCGCACATTGGTGATCCCATTATTTGCATTTCTTGGAAAGAAAAAAAAAAGAATAAAAAAATGATATACGATCAACGTTTTTTCAAAATGTAGTAATTGGAGATTGTGCTATTCGACAAAATAAACACTTTATTACTTTCTCAGCGTGTGTTTCTTAATTTATAGGTAACGTGCTCAGGATTGCACTGAGAGAGATGTAACACGTGGCAAATGTGGATGGTGTGGTACAACCGAACAAAGCATTTAGATCGGGATTTTCAGTTTGCTTGATAGGGTTTTTGGGTGGCAGATAAGGTAAATAAGTTGTCCGTCATGACTCTTTGCCGACGAAAAATACGAATCTATCAGCGACAATTTCGTTTTTTCAAGTTTAAAAATGAGATTTGTTATAAGGATCTTAACTTTTGGAGTCTAACTATATATAATTCAAACAGTATTTAATTTTACATTTTGTTCTTTTTGATCTCATCTTTAATTCTTTATCCATTACGTACTAAAGCATAAATATTTTTAGTTTTACTATCGTTAAAAATGTAATCTGAAATTTTGTCATTTGAAACTTTCGTCAAAACCTATCCTTTACTATGAATTGAGAATTAACTGTTCCAAGAAGTGTGTGTATGTCGTAATCACATTCACTGTCACAATCGCTTTTAAAAATACGACATTATTTTGTAAAATATTTTGGATTGAAACCCGGAAATCAAACCATTTTTTTTTACTGAAATATTATAGTATATGCTATTGGAAAATATTCAATTTATGCAACACTACTATTCCTGAATTTGATTCATTTAAATATACATATATATATATATATATATATATATGTCACGATGTATGTTTTACTACTCACTTTTTAGTTGGAAATACAATATTCCTAGAGACATATTTAGATATATAAATGTAGGACAAAAATTGGTGCAATTTTATTCATCTTCTACTCGCTATAGAGTAAAAACATGAACAGTACAATATGTTAAATGCTGCAAACAAATCTATTTATTTTTAAAAATTTGTATACGAACATTTCAGAAACAACAACTTTTTTTAGCGATAACATTCGATACGTAAAAAACGATGGAGACAATGGCATGAAGGAAACACACTTTGCCTCCTAAAGAGAGAACATGTTTGTTTGTGAATCCACATTTTGATCTCGACTCTCTGTTCGACCAAATCCCCATCGCAAGAGCCCCTGCTCCCACCAGTCCTACGATCCTGTTGTCCACCATTATCCGATCCACAAATAGCACATTTAAATTTCGTAGCAAAAAAAAAAAATCAGTCAAGACTATAATATAAATAACAATAGTTATCGGGTTGGATATGCTGTCAAATCTGAATCTTGAAAAAACTATGTAATGATTATGACATCTATAGTTACTTGTAAGAGTATTTAAATTTTAATTACCAAGTGAGACAAAAGCAGGCTACGTTGATGTATCCAGTGATCTTAGGTACGCCGGCGAATGCTTTGGCCATATTGGAGATACTGCATCCGATCATGTTGGCAATGAGATGAGCTGATATCAAACACACAAGTGCTACTATCCCTAACACAAAAGCTGTTTGGCTTGGAGCTTTACACTCGAGCAGCCACACCCTCGTGTGCTTCACCTGCCTCATGGACAAAACAAAAATGCAACCATTATCATCATTTTTTTATTATTATGTAATGAAGAAAAAGAAAAAAAAAAATATATATATATATATATATATATGTACATCTTGTTGGGCGGCTTCGGCTTGCAATCCCATGAAACCAGCGGCGATATCTAGTCCCACGATCAAAAGAAGACAAACAACTATTACAACACTTACGCATCCTTTCTTCCCCTCATTTTTCCCATCTGCCATTTTCTTAATTATTTGATTTGAAATTCACTTTGGAAACACACTAGATAGAGGCTAAAAGGAAAACGGTGAATCAAGAAGATTAGAGATCGTATTCTTTGTTGAATTTGAGAATGTATTGTGTGAAGGGAGCAAGAAAGGTACTCATTTATGAGAAAAATGAATTAATATAAAGCCTATGGTTGGATTAGATTTTAGCCTACGTGGAAGATGACTATGTATATTATTACAATATCTCCTTTATTTATGATAAAGTGTCGATATTTGTTTTATAATTTTATGACACGTGGATAATTATACATAAGTTATAAGATCCTTATACATTTTTCTAATACTAATCTATCATTTCGTGGCACTTGTCCAATATCTCTATAATTAAAATGAATTATAAATAAACAATATATCAAAGTAAAGTAAAAAATCAATAATAATCTACTAAAAATTATACTTATGGAAGATATGACTATACAAAATCAAATCAAATCATTTTTCACTTTTTCTATAAAATTTAGTATTGATTACAAAATCTAATACATACTTTTTCAAGATAAAAAATAATAAACATCTGTCAATACAAAAATGTTATGAATCCATTAATAATCATGAAAATTAATATACTAATAAAAATTATTAGATAATATCACTAATAAAATGCATGTGTGATATATATAAAATTAGTTTACTGGTTTGTGTATTTCAACTGATTTGAAAATTCATGAATGATTTGATTTTTTTCTTCTTTGTAGGATCATTGAATTTCAATGCCAAACAAGTATATATATGAAAATCATAAATGTGAACCTCAACTAGTTTTATTTTGAGATACGTTCAAAATAACAAATTTCACCATCACATTTGATCATTAATTTGATCACTAGTTCTACAAGAACACCAAATAGGATGTTTGAATTATAATTAAATCTTTGACATTGCACGCAGGTAAAGAAGAACACATCTCAATACATGAATGGAGAAGGAGCAAATCCCGGCGATGCTATACGGTATATTATTGTGTTTCTCCTGCATGCAAACAAAAGTTATTTTTCTCCTAATTATATATATATATATATATTGACTACAAATATATATTGTGGTATACACATATATATATATATTATATATATTGGAAATGCAAACAATACAGTTTCGGTTTATTTGGATTCCGTAAGCTCGGGTGTCAACATTTGTAATATGTTCAAAAAAAAATTAAAAAATTGGGAAAAAATGAATCAAATTACCAGGCTCTCTTCAATGTCGTGTCTCTGTGGGAGAACGATGTCGTTTCTCGGGCTAAAGATTTTCCAAGGGAGAGATTAGTCCTTCGACGACGACGATCACTCTTTCCGGCGAAGACGGTGGATGAATCTTCCGAAATGGCAGAGAGAGACGGTCGCCATCTCCGGCCTACGTCGATCCTCCTCCGCTCTGGACAAAGCGGCGCGTGTCGAGAGATCGTCGTCATACGCGCGTGTGGTTCAATCGCGGTGGAAGATGACAATTCGTCTGGATCTGCTGGAGACGACCGATAACACTGGCGGATTAGAGTGAATAACATTTTAACTATCTCCAAGTTGTTTTTTTCAATCCCGCTTATTAGACGACGAAGAGACTCTACATACACGTGTATATATACATGTGTGTATGTGTATAAGCAAAAATCCGAAACTGAGTAAGTTTGTAATGCTAATTTAATGCCGAAGATTATATTTGCTTAATTTCGATTCTTTTCCATACGATTACGATTTCTTTATAATAAAAATCGTAACACGTTTCAGTTTTGGCCGAGTTCTATTTTATCCAAAAGTCCACGTGCTAAACAATGTTTAGCTGTCAACTTCCAAAACGTATTATTCTATTTTTTGAAAAAAACAAAAAATTTCCGAGTTATCCATTGCGATTAAAGGATAATGATTCCTTTTTTGTAATTTATCCATCGTAATTTATGATATTTTAGCTAATAAGTGATTTTTTCGATCTCTCAAAATCTCCAATATATATTATAGGCGATTTATATATCATCTCAATACAATGAAAAAAAAAATCTGGAAAAAAATTTCTAAAAACTGAACCTGTTTCCCTATTTTTCTTTTGGCAGAGGCAAATTTACACTCTTTTTACAAAAACAGGAAACAGTAAGTATAAAAAAAAATCTTTTTGGTGAAACAAGTTAAATTCTAAATCAATATTTATTATGAACAATCTCGTATTAACAAAGCTGCCTATAGGTGGTATATGATGGTTGTCCATTATAAACCCATTTTAGCTAGGAGTTATCAGTTATGGGCCATGATTTGAAGCCAAGTGTTAGATTGCATCTTGGGGTGCAAAAAACCCGTTGCGATAAAGTCCATACAGATGTGTATGTGGATGTATCTAGCATTGAAGACTCCTTCGATTATTAGAAATTTAGAATCGTTGGACTCGAGTCATCTATCATCATAAGGACTAAGGAGGTTGACATTATTTATATGTGAATTGAAACAAAAAAAAAAAACAACTACAAGTCATCTCTCTTGTTTTTAATTAAGTAGACAAGAGAGCTCAATTTGGAGAAGCAGTGGGCTTCAACTTTGTCCTTTTTTCCTCTAGTGGTTTTTTTTTTTTTTTGCTAAAGGGTTTGATTTTGTCCTCTTGTTACTCAGTGGGTAAATGAGAGTGCTCTGTTTACATCCCTAGGGAGCACCCAGGTTGCGTATTTGTATACCATGGGGAGAAAAGAGTGAATAATGTGAATTATTAATTCATGAAGTATACATATGATTTTGTTCTGAACATATTTTACGCTTGAGAGTGATGACCTTAAGTTTTGAAAATGTTAAAAAAAAAACAAAAATACATGCAAGTTTTCGAGGTTACTAATAGTACCAAATGCTCTTTTTTTCCCCTGTAATTTTCTCTAAATTTTTTTGTACATATTAAAAAAAATATATATGTTATAATACACTTTATAACATTATCTTAACGATAAATTGTAACTAAAACTGGAATCTTGTTTACAAAGTAAAAAATTCTAAATCAATATTATTTATTAGGAAACATCTCGGTCGTACGTATTAACAAAACTATAAGTGTAATGGTAGGCCAATTTTAAGCCCATTTAGCTAAGAGTGACATAATACCGGCACCGGCAAGAAGAGAGATATGTGCCATGATTTGAAGGCTAGTGTTAGATTGCATCTTGGGGTGCATAAAATCCGCTGCAAGAAAGTCTACTAGAGACATGTAGATGAGGATGCCTGCAGATGCAGCGTTAAGGACTCCTTGCACTATCAAAGCCGTCGGGCTCGACTCATCATATGAGGTTGCAATTCCCATTCCCACCGCTATTCCGATCGGTGTTGTTATGGAGAAGAAGATTGACATTATTGTAATTGACATACAGTTGAAATTTCCCTGCAATCAGTTGAGAATCATTCTAAGTGATTAACATGTGTTCTTCCCGAATGTAGTTCTAAATAATAACTCAGTAACAATATAAGTAAAACATATTAAGCTATGTGTTTTGGTCAAGTTTTGTTCATTTAGGTGATAATTGTTTTTGTAACTTAGCGATGATATAAATATCAAAATCTGTATGTAAAAAAAGTCAAATGTGTGTATAACAAAGAGTTGAAAAGATAAAGCAATCACTGTTTGAAAGTTGCAAGTGGATCGGAGGAGAGTCAAATAAAGCCGCAAGGATGGACGACACACAATAACAACAACATTTTACCTCAAGTCAACAGATAATATCAAAGAATACTTCCAACAACAAACAAATTATCAATGAATACTATATATTCATGTTACATGTATATAGTATATCTTAATTAATGATTATATATTATTATATATTAAAAAGAACAAGATATGGAGGAAAAAAACCGAAGAAGTCGTTAAATGTACCTGAGCGATGCAACCACCAAGGCCAAGACCTTCGAAGCATTGATGAAACATTAAAGCAGCAAAGAGAGCTTTGGCAGTGTCTGGATTTTGTGACGCTCCCAGTGATATTCCTATTACCACTGAGTGTACTATTATTCCCACCTCCAACACCTGTTTTAATTTTTCATTGTAAAATCAATTAATTAGCTTTAATTTTATGTATTAAAAACATTAAGCTGCATGAGACATAAAAAAGCTAGGAATCTATGGAAACCCATGCGAGAATTACGTAAAGTGTTGGAAAAGGGAACCAAACTCATGTGGCTTCATATGGACCCATCAATTACTATTGTTACTCATTATTTTATGCTAAGATTCATACACACGAAAAGATTGCATCTTGTGATCTTGATCTAATTTCTGTTTTTTCCGACATTTAGTTGACTTCACTTTTATTTAAAACTTCTATTAAAGGGCACAAACCGCATTAAAAAGTTATTTTCTGGAAATAAGTATATATTAAGAGTAAAAGCCGATTTCCATGACTCTTATCTTTTGGGGACCCTATATACATACTAGTATGTGGCCAAATTTCTCCAAAGAATCTCTTTATCCCAGGACCAAAAAACTATGCACTAAAATTTAAAAACTCATAATATAATATAGTATTTTTATCTTCATATAAACAGTATACAAAAAGTATAAACGAAGAATAATCAGTAAATAAAATTTTAAAAAAATATAATTCGAACCTTCTTTTATAAAAAATTTATATACGAAAATAGAAACAAGAACAAAGGAATTAATAATTACCTGGGCCACAACTCGGGTCCGGTGAAGCTGAACCTCGGATTCGACGGCTACAATCCCGTGCGTGTGACCATGAGCATGCACGTGCAACCCGAGTTCGTCTCCACCGCCACCGCTCTGTTCTTCACCGTCACCGATTCTCTTAGACGTCTTGAAATGCGATCTCTGAAAATATGACGTGGCAAAAGAGTCAACGGAGAGCGTCAGAATCGCTGCGACCATAGCTATAAACCCAGTGAACGGAAACTCCCAAGCTTTTCCTTTCAGACAAGGTGACGTCAGCTTCTCGTAACCTTCAGGCAACACGTGCATAAACCCCGTCGCGAGGATTACGCCGGCGGCGAAGGCTTTCGTCACGAAGAAGAAATTCGTCTCCGGTCTTAACGACGGAAAGAAGTTTCCTAATAACGGAAAGAGAACGCCCATAACTCCAGCGGCGAGAACGGAAGGTATGGCGGCGATCTTGTATTTCTTAGCTCCGGCATTGTTTTCTTCGTCTTCTTCGTGCGAACACTCGCATTTACACTCGCCGGCGGATACGGTGATGACGAGGAGGGAGACGAATAAGAAGAAGAGTAAGATCTTGACGTTTTGTGTGATTTTCATCGTATTTATTAGGGTTTTTCAAAGGTGTTGAACTCAGTCCCTTGATGATGACGACGAGAAGAAATTACTGAAGTAGGGAAATTAAAGGGGTAAAGAGATCATGCATATTGTCTATATATCTCAAAATGTGTATATATACAAATAGATATGTCCTAACAAGTGATATTCTAATGGATGACTTATTTATTTGAGAAACTGTAAAATATAGAATAGAGTATCTTTATAGACATTTTGTCTTTATATCTTTATACACTTTAATATGGTGTATATATATATATATACATATTGTTAACAAATTGCTTTTTTTATGTTGAAACTCATATATGGTTAACTCTATAATTTGAAACAGGACAAAGGTTAAAATAATATTTACAAAAAAAAAAACCTCAGCTCCAGAATTTCATTTGTGATCTATGATTAAATAAATTTTGTGACAAAGTTTTAGTTTTTTGTCACCAAAAAGTTTAGTCGTTATAGAATCATTTTTTCGCTAAACGAACGAACATCTAATCATGTATTAGCTCTTTAATTAATTTATCTTCATTTTTAAAACATCTTACTAGTTCTTTGTCTTATAAAGATTTTAATAGGTCATAATAATTCTCGAAGATGGCTATAAATTACCTTACCAAAATTTTTGGGTGACTCCTTTTTAAACATAAAATAAGCACCGATTATATTCGCAATCATTGATTCATCAAGAGTTCATGACCAATGGCCCATGTAATATGTGTTAGATGATTAACTAAGAATTTTTACGACAAATCTATTATAAAATTAAGGAACAAGGGGGGAACTGAAAATTGTACAAACCGAACTACTTTAGAGGGAGAATAAAAGAAAACACGAATCTTTACGGATTAGATTTGTAAGTGAGAGCGTCAAAAAAATTGTTGTGAGAAAGACAACGTTCAGACATGCTACGTGTAACTATCAAACTGTTTTACTCGTGAATAGCTTAAATACAATTAAAGCTAACAAATATTATAAAATAAAGAGCTTTACTCTTTTCACCTCTAAATTATGTCGAGAGAATGTCGACATAAAATGTCCGGAACTATCTAAAACACAAGTTGACTACTCTCTTTGCTTTGGCACATGAGAAGTCAAACGTCTCAAACCTCTAATAACGTCGATATTATTACTCTATCTTCGCGATTTCTTTTCCATTTGTTTTCTCATTTTCGGACTTTCACATTTCTTGATTAGTATTTAAATAACTCCCTCTAAATCTTTCAATCTTGTTTCCTTGGAGTGTACGCAACTTAAAAATAAAAAAAGATATTGCAAAAATCATAATAGCGAAATCTTTATTAAAGCAAATTCATCAAGAAAGTGTGTTAAAAAATTATCCATTAAATGACACTACATCAACTGTTTGATTATTATTTTTTTGTTACATTAGATTAATTTTAAACTAACTTTTTATGTTATAACTTATTTTCAAATATTAAAAACACTAATATAAATAAAGTTATACTGAAATTATTAAGTAATTAACGTTTATTTTTTTGTATATGTAAGTTTGTTTTTTGTATGTTAGCAACTTAGCATATATAGAACATACGATATAGATTTGTGAGCTGTTTTATATCATTATATCAATCATATTTATCTCAAATATTTGGTCTTTAAATTTATAGAGACGTTGTGTTTCGTTGTGAGTGCTAGAAACTGGCCAGTGTCATCGAGATTATTTGTGTTTATACAATTATACTGTTAGTAATTTCAACTAGGTAATGACTTATTGTAAGTATACTATAAATTATTTATAATGGATGTTTTGAGGATTAAGCAGGTCAGGTCAGGTTACCGAGGTGAATTTGCACAATTGACAATAAAAATTATAAAACTAGTTATTTGCCCTCAATTTTGTGACACTACTACGTATGCTTATTGCATCCGTGCGATCTGGAAAGTAGCACCATCCAATACTCAAATCTTAGAATCTACGAAGTCCAACGTAACATTTTTTTTTTCTATAAAGTCCAACGTAACCGATCACACAATTCGACCAAATCCACATGTATATATTCAGTATTTGAAATTAAAATCACAAAAAGCTCAGAAAAGCCACATGAGATAATTTCACCCACGAACTCTCGAATTTGCAACTTCGTTAGTTTTGTAGCAGTAGATTTACTATTTGACGAAATTGAATTATTACATTTATGATGTGTAGATATTTTTCTTGTGGATCTCATCTAATATGCTAAAAGCCTTTTACAAAGAAAGAAAGAGTACTGATTTGATTTGAGGGACATTTCCTACCAATAAAAACGATAATATCCATTCAATACTTTCCCATAATTTATTTCATTTTTCAAAAAAATTTAGGCGATTTTGCCTCAAAAAGGAAAAAAAAAATCTTGTAACCAGTCAATATAGTTAGTTATACACAATAATTAAATTTTTTGGTCAAATAGTAATGGTCATTTACCCATTTAACCAAACGATTTTCTTGAAACTTTTTATACTAATTTATTAAGCAATACTGAAGTCTGAAGAGAACAAAACCTTTCTTCATTAATTTAATTTTTTTGTAGAGTTGTAAAATGGTCCATACCGAATGAGTTTGATTCTTGAAGGAAAAATCAAAATGACTTTGATTCTTCGTACAAGTTGGTTTTACATCACCGAAGACTTCCTGTAACATCGACCTGGAGTCTTTTAGTACGTTGTTTTAGTAGAGTTGAATCACAATAATTAATATAGGATTTGTTACCCAAAAAGAAAAAAAAATACAGTATCAATATAGGACCCTCTTCCTAGTTTCTGACGTAACCAATATTTATTTTGTATACCAATATTTATTTTGTATCTTCTGGTTGTTGGTACTTGAGGAATATGACAACAAATTAATGAATTATTTATCCCCAAGTTCAGCCAACAAAAGAAAAAAAAATGGCATCAGTAAAGATAAGACTGTCCACATAACAAATGCCTTCAAAATTGAAGATATTTTACTATATGCTTTGACTTGTACAAGTATCTAACTATAAGTACTTGCATTTGCATTTGATCCGTTTTAAAACGACTAAGTGCGTTGCAAATAACCAAAAAATCAACTAAACACGAATACTTTCTCTACTTCAAAATAATGGATCTTTACGTTTTTTTTTCACATATTTTTTTTCGCTTTTAAATAATAAAATATTGTATATTTATCTGAACACAATTCAACCAATGTTAAAATAAATTTGCAAAATACAAAGTTATAAAATATAAAATTTATTAAATTTAACATTAAAAGTTGAAAACATCATAAATTTTGAAAACAACTATTTCTCCTAAAATTGCTATATATACAATTGTTTCCCATACTGTCATAAAATTGAATAATATGAGATTGAAACGGATGGGGCATTGTTTTGTTAAATGGGTAAATGTCAACCATTCTAAACTTGCACTTATGCTACACGAGACAATTGGCATATATGAATGCCCAACCCTATGTAAAGAAAGCCGTCGGATGATTAATGCATGGGCCACACAAAGAATCATATTGACTTTTCGTCAAAGACTTGCATTATTAATTAATTCGGGATCAAATTCAAAGTTTGAAAATGAGTTTCAACGACTTTTTGTTTTGCTCAAAGTACGACCAGTTAGCAAATGCCCATGTCAATTCCACAATTCACGACCAAAAAACTCTAATTAAGAATCGTGGATTAAAATGTGCGAAAGATTCCAAATTACAGTCAGTGCGTATATATGTATGTACATAGAAATTGGTATAGATTGGTATACGTTGAGACAAACGGAAAAAAATGCAAAAATAATACTTCACTCAATTTTCAATTGCGTGATTACAAAAAAAAAATAAAAATATATATAGTCATGAACAAACTAATATTACGGATATGACCACAGAGGAACAAACCACACACGAAGAACATGGGTGATCCAAAACCCTTTACGAAATACGACAAAAAAATTAACCAAAAATGAAATACTGGTTTGTTTTAAATTAAATTTTAGAAGAAAAACAACAAAAAATTAATAAAAGGGGTATCAAAAGGAATCTGTGTAATATAAAAGATCGCACAAACCTTTTTTTTTTAAAATCTCTTCTCTCTAACTAAGTCATTTGAGAAGCATTTTACTGCTAAGGCATAAAAAGAACGAATATTAGTAGTAACCAACTAACCACTAGGCACTAATAACCTGTTGAGTAATAACATATAACTTAGTTCCTCTAGTTGCTTTTTATCGCCTTTGCATCTTTTGCAGCATTGGTTTGCTCTTCAATCTCATCATAGTACTCTTCTTCTTCATCGTCTTCGTAGCTGTCAACAATGTCATGCTCGAAATATTCTTCATAAAACTGTTCATCTGTGTCTTCATGCTGACCGTTTTGACCGTTCTCGAGCAATTCTTTTGACTCTTGTCGCATTAACTTCTCTTGGATTCGGTCTCTGATGGCAGTTCCCTAATATATATGTATACAAGTTACTTTATGACACTCGGAAATCCCGAGAAAACAATAAAGCAAGCTCAAAAAGAGGATTCGATTAGGTTTGTTGGTTTCTTCAGAGTTTAAACTTACCATCTTATGGCAGCCCTCTTCAAACATTTCAAGAAATCCAGCTACCCAACGATCTGCGTTCTCCACCCACTCATTACGGAGCATTTTCACAGTTTGGATCTGAAAGAATTAAAATTGGTTTCGAAACCACATCAACACTTAGAACAATCTTTAAACAAAAAGGAGATAATCGCAGGAACGAGAATTTAGAGAGAGGTTAGTTATTCTATGTGGCTTTAACCACATCGTTCAAGTTGGATATCAGAAAGCTCCACCACAAGACAAGATGCAGTTATAATGCGTGGACTTAAACACAGACGCGATGGATATATAGAAACATCAATGGATACACTCAGTTAAATGTCTCCAGCATATCAGATAAAAAAAAAAAAAACTCAACTCGGAATTCCAATTTTTCATGCATTTTAAATGAGTCTGATTTTCAAAAGATTGCACATAGATATCCAACGACGTTGTCTCAGGAACTAAGATAACCACGTAACCTTTAACACTCAAAACAACGGACTCAGGATGATCAATCTAACAAAGAAAAGGTGAGAAAATACATACCTTTTCCCCAACTTTCTCTTGTTGTTCTTTGACCTTCTCCTGAAGCTTCTTCAGCCTCATATTAACTCTTAGTCTCTTTTCCTGTTGCAAGTAAAAATATCCAAAGTTGACCCCTTCGAAGAGAAACTCTCATAACAACAAGATGAAGAAGTCGAGAAATGATGGCATGCCTTCACAAAGCTAACTCCAAGATCTTCCCTTGAATATCCCCTATCAAGGTTACGCATGACATACTGGTTATAATCTTTCACTATTCTCATTATTATATCCGAAGTAGATATCCCTTCAGTTCGCTTAGTCTCCTTAAACCTCCCAACTTTTTTGACCTGCAATGGATACTCAGTCAAAACAGAGATCGACTATCACACATAATGGCCCAACAGAAAAAATGGAGTATGAACATCGACTCAAGACTCACGAATTCATAGACATCTTTTCCAGCTCCACTGGCATCAGCATACCTGTGAACAAAATTTATTTCAAATAAGGCTAAGGTAAGTAGACAATGAGAACAAATTTTGTTCTTTCGAAAAAAAAAAATATCCTGCTTCTCTCATAATAACAATAACTTATCCATCATTTTCAAAATTTTATTTCTACAAGAAAATAACGCAAAGGATGTGGCTTCTTACGGGAGAGCATCGTGAGCCACATACGCAATCCGGTGCTTGTCAAGAAACTCTTGGTTGATCACCCATGGTGCATCAGGGATAACTTCATCCACCCATCTGTATGATAAAACGGATGTAATTTAGGCTTAAATTAGATACCATCACCATCTATAGTACCAACACCAGTAAACATTAAACAAAAATTACTTGCAATGACGAAGAGATTCATATCGCTCTTGTTCATTCATTACAGTCTTTCCCTTGTACTTGTGAGTAGTATCGTCATTGCAACATCCAACAAGAAGGTAAGTGTTTGGAAACCTAATTAGCCAACAAAAGAAGCCAAATCAGTGCACAAACGTAAGAACATACCCTACTGAAACAATTCCATTTACCATAATGAAACAAAATCGAAATTGAAGCACAGAACACTCGTTAAAAATATAAGAATTCAGAACTATTAAAAGGAAGAATTCACTATAACCAATGCCGTATGCATTACATGCTCTGGACTAAAGTCACAATCAGTATTAATTCGAATAAATTTGGGAAAAGAACACTGCGTGAGATACTATGAACATGACTCCGCAAGCAAATCCTGAAAAATGAGGAAATCTTCGCCGAAGAGAGAGAGAAGCACTAACGATTTCTTAGCCTGTTCGAGAGATCGAGCGTGACCGAAATGGAACAGATCGTAGATCCCATCTGCGTAGACACGGACGGGAGGATTAGCTGGAGGCGAACTCTCGGTAACGGCGGGAGCGACGGAGGTGGCAAAGGCGGTGGAACGACCGTCTCCGTTGGAATCGCCGGCAACGTTAGTCATATCCTCCGATAGATTGCAAAACACGCCCGCCTGGGAAAACGGGAAATTTACAAAGGTGCCTAAAGAGTCCCTCTTTATTCTCTTGAGCAGTATTTCCCCGAGGAATATGCGCATGTGAAGAAGGTGCAATTGCAACTTATGTTTTTTAAAATTGAACCGAACCGGTTGGTCCGATATATCGAATTAAAGGTTACATATTTACTCTTGGTTTAGCAACAAAATCTACCAAAGAGTCCAAAGAATTACTTGGTAAAAAAAAAACAGTCAGCATGAAGACACAGACGAACAATTCTAAAATTAATAAATAAAATCAAAAGATTATACGTGTGGTATAAGTTTCTTTGGTTGAAATTAGTTTTTATTGATTTATTTGTTTCCTTTAAAGATCGGAAAATTGTAACCACTGGTCTCCATCAATAAAAGAAGTGCTAATGAATTGAAAAACTTGAGTCTCATTAAGCTTCTGAACATACGCTGCCCTCTTCGAGATCTCGGCTCCTGGACCCGAACAATTGTACTCTCCGTAAAATATTGTCCTAAACCCCAACAACAACAACAAAAAAAAACATGTCTCTTATTATCAGTACTAATTAAACATTCTTTAAAAAAGAAAATAAAAATTATTTGAAATTGTAGAATAGAAATTGTGCTTACGCATCCCTAGAGGGATCGTTGAAGTTGTTCCAGCCTTCGGGCGCGATAACATCGGTCATGGAAGTGGAAACAAAGACAACACGTGAGTAAGGCCTCCAGGCACGTCCAAGCCACACGTGACCAGTGCCGCCTATTGAGCAGTTGACGAAAGAGAAGCCACTGTTCTCGTCCTTTGAGTTACGGCCGTTAGCAGTCACGGCTCCGTTGACCGCCTTTGACCCTGGGCTCAGTTGGTTCGCCATTGATATTATTTGACAGTCCTACTAGAGGAAAACTTATCATATATAGCCGAACCAAATCTTAACACGAACCTAAACCGAAAAAATGTGGTTTGATCACTTTCGTATTTTTATGTCCAAATAAGAAAGTCCTAGATGCCCTAGTTGTACTTGTATGTACCTTTTTTTGGCTCATTAGTATTTGTTTATAATTATTAACGTCGATATATATATATATGCATGAAATCCACTAAACTCTAAAACGAATAATCTAGCCATCTAGGTCATGTCCCTTGTAACATAATGTACATGGTGAGAATGTAAATATGTATGCAAACCTGGTAGAGAGATTTGGCGTTGCCGAAGATGAAATCAATAGAGCCTTGGATGTAGCAATCCTTGAAGTAATGACGACCTCGATCGTCATGAAGAGTGTCTTGAGCTCCAAAGAAACCACATCCCACAAACGCCGATTCATCTCCTGCTATTCTTATCGCCACCGCTTGAGCTCCTACGTCTCCTGGCTTCGGTATCGGAGCTACGTTCTGTCACAACATTTTTTTAAAAAATGCTAACAGTTACTAATTAGCCCTGTTTTGTTTCTATATAGGCATCTTAAATTATTAAAGAAAAAAAAGTAACAGGCATCTCCAGTTGATTTGAATAAACACCTTTTGTTCTAGGCATTTTATATGAGTATGTTAATTGCTTTTAACGAAATTAAATTACCATGAAACTAATGTTCTTAGCGATGAACTGAGATCCAAAGACTTGGACCGAGGCACAGTAAAAAGTGCCATTAGCCGAGTATGCCGTATCGTTCCACGCTATGGCCGTAGTCTCGAATCCTTGTCCTTGCAACGTTATGTTTGGTTTAGTCTTCGGAATCACCACTTTTTCACTGCCACATAATAATTCTACTTTATTTACTTAATGTATATTATTAGAAACCTGATAACTAGATAACATGGAGTTGGCCAAAAAAAATATAATAGTTACTATATATGAAAACATACTAGTACATGCCGGAGTTGATCCAAATGACGTTCCTTCTCTGACTAAAATTTCCGATTGCATCCACGGCTGATTGCACCGTCGTGAAATTGCAGCAGCCGTTCTTATCCACGCAAAGATAGGACGTCACGTTAGTGTCCGGTGGAGGTATGTTTTTTGGAAAATCGTCGCATATTGATACTTTTTTTTTAGTATCGGATGGTTTATGACGGTGGTGATGATGGTGATGATGATGGCTGCAAACAACACTTATAGCTGAACATGATATTGCTTTAATACCATGTAAAATATCGAAAGGATTGTGCATAAAGGCTTTAGGATGTGTGTTAAAGAGAGTTTTGGATGCGAAAATTGCTATTATGGCAATGGCTACAGATAGAATCAATGAGATTTTTCTAGATTTCATTTTTTTGCATAAATGATATTTAGAAAAACAAAAGAAGATTTGGAAAATTTTGGTTGGTTGTTTTTGACGGATTTGAGAGGGAAGGAGCTTAAGGAATAGGAGAATGCAAAAGTAGACATTTATTTATACGAAACAGAAGGTAAACATGAAATTGCATGAAGTGTAAGGATTTGTTGGAATGCCTTGCAAATTACCCTTTCCTAATCTTTGCTTTCTTCAAATTTAAAACAATCTCGATCGACCTACCAAAAAGGCTCATAACTTCCACAAGAAAGATTAGTAAAAATAAATCATATTTTTGTATTCCATCATTTTAATTTGTATTTTTGGGGATTTAATTATCGATGTTATAATACCTACTTATCTCAAATGTATAAATCTAAGGAAATTAAAGGACCAGGACGACGACTAGGAATTTTTCTGTTCTTCCATAATTCCGGAAAATATGGTATTATTAGTTGTAGTATTTTTGGAACTGTATGTTATTCATTTAATTATTTTTTATAGTAACACATAAAATAGTATTGTTATGCAACTATGATTACTGCCGTGCCGAAAAAAATGTAGTTAATTATTTTAAAAGTGCATCTAGAATTATTTTAGATAGTATATTTTGAATGATATTGAAAAAAAAAAAATCTCATGCGGGGTAATACTAATGGAGTATTTAGTGGAGTATACTAATGTTATTACAATGATATTGATAAAAGTACAAAAAAGCAAATTCGGAATAATACTAATGGAGTATTTAATAAAGTCGGTATCGGACCATCGAACTATACTCGGGAAAACCAAAATGCGGGGGGTAGAATGGGAATTTAGATAAATTATCCGCCGGAGTTGTCTTTCAAAATACAAAGAGAGACCTTTAATTGCTTGTCCACTGTATATAAAAGAGACTTTTTTTGTTTTTTATCTCTCTCTCCCCGTTGACATCTCTTCATCTTCTTTCTTGTCTTTATGCATTTTCGTACTTGTAAATTTTCCCATTTGGGAGGAAATTTGGAATATTTAAGATAAAATCCAAAAAGTAGAAACAGAGAGAAGGAAACAGAGAGAAGGAAACAGAGTCATCAGTTCCAAGTAAGCATATCAAATCCACCTTCTTCTCTCTCTCTTTTTTTTTCCCCCCGTGGAGTTGTTATATGATCTGGTCATTTATATTTCGATTCTATTGCTTTTCTTTTCCTTGACTTGATCGATCCATACTTATTATCTATCATCTATATACCTTAGAAGAATTAGTTATGATGTTGCGCTTCTTCTTTCTCCTTTCTTTGAAATGATTTCGTTTTTTTTTTTTTTTTTGGGTGGACTTGTGATCGGTCCAAGTCGTCTCTCTGTTTTTGATTATCGGGAATTTAACTATATTTGATAAATTTCGATGGCGAAAGTTTAGTGATCGCGATAAATTCGACTTACGTCTTCAGTCGATCAATTGATCGATCATCTTCAAGTAGTAATTCCGACTCAAGTCTATTCTTTTGTGGTAAAATGTAAAATGTAAAGACTCAAGTCTATTCTGTTTTGTGTGTAATGACTTTTTTTTGTCATCTGAATTTCAATTAAATAACCCATAAACAGGGTAAATCCAAACAGAATGTTCTCTCAAAACAGAGATATAGGAATGGCTATAGAGCCTAAAGCAGAAACAGAACTCCTAAACAAACGGAGTAAAAGCAATAAGCGAAGATGATCTGTTTTGTGTGTAATGACTTTAAAAGTCGTATTTGATTAAATCGACATTTTTTGCAGAAAACCCTTTTCCTTAACATTGGATCGTAATATTTAAAATTAAATGTGGTAAATTATTTCTTTCAAGAATTAGGCTTTCTTTACCTTTCAAGTTTCAACTTTGAAGAGATGTCTTTGTCTATGGATAGCGTCTAGAAAACTAGGTTAATGATTACAATTTCTTAATTCCATCGAAAATTCTTTGGTTATCTCATCTCAAGCCCGATTAAGCCTCATTTAATGCATAAATGATGAAATTTGTCGATTTGATAAGACGTTTGGATCTTCCACGCAGTTTGTAACCGTGTGATCTTCTTTGTTTTGTGTTTTAAGTTTTAACCAAACTTGACAGAATAATTTAAAATGTTGAATTTGGATCAATTCTCTGTCCAGTCTTTATTTTTCTTGTTTAAATAATATACTTTTGTCATCACTCTGCATCTGGTCGCCATCTTATCATTCTTCTCTTATTAGTTTAATTAAAATTTTATTTATAACCGGCTTTGTGGTTTTCTTATATCTTTGTTGAATTTTATTGTATTCTTAACTTACCAGGACAACAGAAAAAGAGTAATTAAGTTTGATTGCAAATTCTGTTTGGAGTTTGGTCACATTATAACTTGTATATTCGATTATAAACCAGAATATACTCTAGTAATATACGGACATTGACCATTATTAAGGATTTCTCAAAATCAAATCTTCTCATTTGTTAGTTTCTTTAATTATATCTTAGAGAACGTTGTTGGCAATAATAAATCTACCATTGAATTGAATGTCTTTTTGATAATAAAATGGGACAAGAAATGATGTATGCCTCTCGACGGTCGCTAAGAGATGATCTTATCTTCCTTGTTATTTTATACTTATAATTTGTGGGACTTTGTTTTCTCTTTCTTACAAGTTAGAACTTTCTTTTTCTTTTCTCTTTTTTTTTTTTTTTTTTAAATGAAACTTTTGCGGTTGGAATGTTCAACTGAACTTGATCATATGTCTTGTTGATGCAAGAAACAGAACTCAGAAAACATGGTGATTAATACGATACATTGACGTGTGACATCTCGTTCATGTAAACAAAATATACTTACTAGTACCATTTTAAAGGCTTGATTTTCATCGGTTGCAGAAAAAAAGGTTAAAGGAATTGCTTGATTATAGTTATGGAAGAAGCAACAAAAGTGAGTTCTGAGGTCCCTGTAGTGAAAGATGCGCCTGAGGATTTTAAGACGGCCGATGTTTCTGCTAAGGTAATGATCTGTTTGCTCATATGCTTTGTGAATTCTTCTTCCCTTGTAACTCGAAGATGAAATTTTTGCAAAAAATGTTTCTTAATATCATTGACTTTTAGTATGACTGATGACATTGCAAAGGAAGATTTTAGTTCTAAACATGGCTTTAAGTAGGATCCAATCTATCAAGTTATCCTTGCTAGTTCTCGTAGGAGATAAAGTAGCGTGACGGTTTATTACAGGATGTGTATGGAGAAATGAGAAAGGAAGATAAAGTAATGGAGAAAGAAGAGGAGGATACTACATTTGATGGTGGATTTGTAAAAGTTGAGAAAGAAGGGATTCACACTAAGGATGAAGAGAAAACAGAGAAGCAGGTTCCAATCGAAAGAAGCTCAAGCATTTCACAAAGAGAACATCATGAATCGCAAGAAAATTCGAAAGAACTGGAGCTTGAACTGGAAAAGGTAACGATGCAGTTGAAACGGTATGAATCCGAGAATACCCTTTTGAAAGACGAGCTTGTTTCTAAGAATGTGAGACTAGGAGAAACCGAAAAGAAGCATGAAGAGCTCGAACTTGTTAAACAGAAGCTGCAAGAGCAAATCGCTGAAGGTGAAGAGAGAAATATATCACAGTTGAAGTCTTCGGAAGATTCTTTGCAGTTGCATGAGAAGTTGACCAAAGTGTTGAAAGAAAAAGAAGTTCTTGAGACATCTGTCGCAGAGATCACTAGTAATGCAGCAAAGACCAAGGAGTTCTGCGACGAACTTGAAGAGAAACTGAAGATCTCAGATGAAAAATTCTCCAAAACAGATGCTCTTCTATCTCAAGCTTTGTCCAAAAACTCTGATCTTGAGCAGAAATTGAAAAATCTGGAGGAATTTTCTGAGGAAGTATCTCAACTAAAATCTGCTCTGATAGTGGCTGAAGAGGAGGGAAAAAATTCGTCTAGACAGATGCAGGAATACCAAGAACAGGTCACAAAACTGGAATCGTCTTTGAACCAATCATCGGCGAGAATCTCAGAGCTTGAAGAAGATTTGGTAATTGCTCTGCAGAAAGGTGCAGAGCATGAAGATCTTGGAAATGCGAGTACTCAGCGCAGCGTTGAGCTAGAAGGTTTGCTCCAAGCATCACAGTCAAAATTAGAGAAAGCAGAGGAAAAATTGAAAGACTTGGAAGCATTCCAAGCGAAAAACTCTAGTCTCGAAGCTTCTTTAAGTGTAGCAATGGAGAAAGAGAGGGACTTGTCAGAGAATCTAAATGCTGTGATGAACGAGAAGAAAGTGTTGGATGATACAGTGAATGGATATAGTGTGAAGGTAACTGAGTCTGAGAATCTATTAAGAGTTCTCAGTAGTGAATTGGATTTGGCACGAGGAAAATTAGAGAGTATTGGAAATGATATGAAATCTTCTGGAGTAAGGGAAAGTGAAGCGATGGAGAAGCTGAAATCCGCAGAAGAGAGACTTGAGAAGCAAGCAAGAGAAATAAATGAGGCTATTACAAGAAGCATAGAGCTGGAAGCTTTGCATAAACACTCAGAGGTTAGAATTCAAAAGACAATGGAGGAATTCAGTAGCAGAGATACAGAGGCCAAGTCACTGGCTGAGAAATCAAAAGATCTCGAGGAGAGAATAAGATTATATGAAGAGAAGTTGGCTGAAGCATCTGCTCACTCGTTTTCTTTGAAAGAAGAACTTGAATTGTCGACACTGAAGAATGAGTTCCTAGCAGATACAAATAACGAGCTCAAGATCAAGATTCAAGAACTTGAAGGATTTCTGGATTTTGAGAAGGAAACCGCAGCTAGACAGACTGAAGAAGCAACCAAGAGGTTTAATCAGAGAGACATAGAAGCTAATGACTTGATTACTAAGTTGAAATCCCATGAGAACCTAATCGAGGAGCATAAAAGGCAAGTTCTTGAAGCATCTGGAGTTGCTGATACAAGAAAAATGGAGCTTGAAGAGGCTCTATCTAAACTCAAGGCTTTCGAAGCTACAATCAAAGAGCTTGAGAAAGAAAATGGATCTTTGGCTGAGGTAAATTTAAAGCTGAACCAGAAACTAGCCGATCATGGTTCAGAGACCAGCGATTTTCAGGCAATGTTCTCTGCTTTAGAGGCTGAGAAAGACCAAACAGCAAAAGAGCTTCAGGCTTCAAAGACAACCATAGAAGAAGTAACAAATCAGCTTACTTCTGAAGGAGAAAGATTACGATCACAGGTAAACACACATTCTCAGAATTTAAATGAAGTATTGATAAACCATCTTAAGAAAACTTGACACTGTTCTCTGTTTTAGATGTCTTCCCTGGCAGAAGAAAATAACCAAGTCAATGAGATATATCAGAGCACAAAGAATGAACTCGTAAAGCTTCAAGAACAACTCCAAGTAGAGAAAACTAAGTCCGATGCTATGGTATCTGAAATCAAGAATCTCAGTGCCGTGGCTGCTGAAAAGTTGGTGTTGGAGTCAAACTTTGAAGAAGTAGAAAAACAATTGAAAAAAGCCGAAGCTCAGTTGAAAGAAGAGGTAACAATAATTCAGTATAACATTTTTGGAATACTTTTTCACTAGTTGATGATGTTGGGTTTTTTTCTGCCAGGTGGAAAAAGTTGCAGAATTGACCTCAAAATTGCATGAGCATGATGAACAGAGAGAAGCGGTTTCTCAGAAGCATTTGGAATTGGAAGCTACTTTAAAGAAATCACAAGAAGAGCTTGAAGCAAAGAAAAGTAAGATCGTTCATCTGGAGTCACTGGTCAAAGATCTTGAACAGAAAGTGCAGCTTGCAGATTCTAAATCTAAGGTTAGTCATATATACAAGACCGAGTTTCCGTTAGCTAACCTGTTTCTTTAGTATACAATTGTCGGGAATTCTCTGTTTATGTCGAAACCAAACTTGCAGGAAACCGAATCTATGGCAAAAGAGGAAATAGAAGTTAAATCTCGAGACATTGGGTTATCTTTTTCAACTCCAAAGCAACAAAAGAGCAAGAAGATGCCAGATGCTTCTCCTTCGCTTTCGTCTTCTTCAGGAAATGTTACGATTCAGAAAGCTGAAACATGGCATCTCATGACATTGAAGACCGTCCTTGCAGTGGCTCTTGTGTCTGTCATTATAGGTATCATTCTTGGGAAAAAGTACTAAACTTTTATGGTATGATTGTTCTTTTTATATATGAAAGATTTCTTGTGGTGGGGGGTTTAGCAGAACTTAACAAGATTTGTTTGATTGTTTCTGGGTCTAGTGCTTTTGTTTTCATTTCTTGTTTGCCAAGCAAGGACTAATGTTATTGCATTATCAACACAATCTGATAAATTCCACTTTGTTGAAATGGATCATTGAAAGTGAAATGGAAAATCCATTGATAAACCTTCCACGCTGGATACCGTACTGAAATTAAAAATTAAATCAATTAAAATAGAGAGAAAAAAAAGGAAAGATTCAAGAAAATGGAAATAAAGCGTAAAACTATATATCGAGAGATATAAGCAACGATATTCACAAGGACTAATGTTTCGGCTTATAAATAGGCATCTCTCAGTTTCAACTAACTCACAAAATCCACAACAGCCATCAGAATATCAAAGGGCTATCAAATCAAACTCTTATTTTTTTCTTCACCGTAAACCCTAAAACCATGGCGATTAAAAACACTCTTCCTTCTCCTTTTGAATTGAAACTAAAACATCGACTGGAACAAAAACCTGAAGCAAAAGATTTCACAGTCGGTGTTAATGCCAAGATCTTCCGACAAGGGTGTTCTACTCCGTTCGAAGAGATCTTCTTCTCCTCCGCTGTTCAAGATTTCATCTGGGAAGACGAAGATTGTCCAGAGAAAGTAGCACTCTACGAATTACTTGTCGATTCTGGAATAACCGAATTCGAGGCTCAGTTTCTGCTTATTGACATTATTTTGTACGTTTGTGAAAAAACACGTACGGTTGATGAGGAGTACAAAGGACTTCTCTCGTTGACGGTCGAAGTTACCCTACCAAAGGAACCGGTCGAGGAGCTTAACCATGTCGGTTCGGAGCAAACTCAACCCCAAAAACCAATAGCGACGACGAAGATGAGAGAGCAGCGGAGGCGTTGGTTAAAACCAAAACAAAAAATACAAAAAGCCACGTACAAAATCGGAGCTGATGGCGTCTCACTGGTCCTTGTAAAGCATTGAACCATGTGTCCTCAATTGAAAACCCGCCGATCCGATGCATCCCTTCGGATCATCCAAGGTTACAAAAGATAGCTAGGGTTTGTTACTTGGAAGACGAGCAATAACTTTTAGGGTTTTTTTTTTTTTTTTTTAATTGGTTAACAATTTTGGATTTTGTCTTCCCAATTCGATTGTATGTTGTTAACCTAACCTAATGTAAATAGAGTAAAACAGAGAACAATTGCTATTATTCCAGGTTTCTTATTTTTTTAAGTTGTAATAATTAGACTCATCATCTATCGTTATAGTTGCACAAATCAATAGAAGGAAAAAAAACGCGTAATTCTGTGGAAGTAAAGCTTACTTTTATGAATGCTTCCATTCCCTTAACACCTAGTCACCTACATTGATGATTGAGCACAACACCACCACCAGAAAACGAGCAAAAAACGACAGCGTTTCTTCTTCCAAATTGCCTTTTTTCTTTCTTTTTTTTGTTTCTCTTAAATTGATAAAAGGCAAAACCGAAGTCAACGAGAATCGCGTGGTGATGATATTCACGAGTCAATCTCGGATATCAAATATTTGGTGTGGCTCCACCTTTATTCTCCATGTATTTGATGTCACTATTACTACTTATCGGACGGCTTAATACGTCATCATTTAGTTATTGTCTTTTGATATGTTGCTCAAAAAGGTAAAAGTATATATCCAATAAGAATCTCGATTATATATTTATAAGGTTCATTAGTTCATAAAGCAACCAAATTGTCTAATTTTATATATTATCCCTTTGATTGAAGATACAAAACTGAGGGCAAGATAAATGAATTTAAAATACAAGAGATTCAAAGATAAAATATAAAACTAATATGGTTCGGAAAAAAATAACCCATAAGCCTTCGAATAAAAACCCAACAAGTCTTACAAGGATTTCACAAACCAATAATATAATATTTTATACAATAAGGCTGAAGAGAATAATTCACATCACATTCACACAAGTCGTCGTAAATAAAACCATTCCAATGTTATTGTAACTCCTTAGAAGCAGATGTCCAGGGCACAACAGCAACACATGGCCGCAAGACTACCAAAACAAAAACAAAAATCCAAATATGAAAGATCAAAAGTTATAAAGGGACCCATCGGTCCATAGTGATATAGAAAGCATAGTTTCGTAATAATTTACTTACCAGCCTTTGAAGAAGCCGTCACCCTTAGACTTGGTCTCGGCTTTAACAGGAGCCACTGAACCGTGACTCGGGTCGCTCGTCGGGTAACCGATCGGTGGTTGCGGTCCGCCGGTTGAAATCGGTGGTGGAGGGTTAGCTCCTACGTTACATAATATATCATCAGTAAAAAAAAACATAATAACTATATATTTTGTTTTTGGTCAGTTAAAGGACTATCGTACTATCTACACTTTACAAATCTTCTTCTTTAATTTAAAAGACAAGAGTAAAAAAAAGTTTTTTAAAAAAAAGACAAGAAAAGTAAACAGAGGAATTAGCTTACCTGCAGATTGGTTGTGATTGTTGTACTGGCTCATCTTAGAACGATTAGTGTAACGAAATTTGATCTAAGGCAAGATGTTATGTGTATGTGTATTGATGTTTTTTTAATGGATCAAGAATGGTTTAAATCTTTGGATATCTTTACAAATGCGTGTGTATGTAATATATATAGGAAGAAGAGATAAAGGAGAAAGTAGGTCGGTTTTCTTTTTGAGGACCGCGTGGAGGATAGAACATTAACGTCGCCAGAATATAGACCAAATTACTATTTATTTTAAAATAGTATAGAATTAATTAATTATTAATTATTAGTGAGTCCATCAAATTCTGATTTAAATATAAATGAGATATTTGTGTAAACTGTAAAGTAATGTGGACAAATCCACGATGAAAACCGCGCTACGACACGTATGATATTCTCACTTCTCACATGGTCGAGAGTTCGAGACCGTGTTTTGTTGAATTTTCAGAAAAAGTCATGAAGCTTCTTTTCTTCTTGCTTCGTTGGATCACATGAAAATGAAATAAATTACTACCAAACTATTTAACCAAAGATTTAGTTGGTTTAAGCTTTCATAAGTTAACTAAATTAACAGACAGTGCAACGAATTCCAATAAACGTTGCGAGCCAAAACGATAACTATGGAAAAAAAAGAGGAACAATTTACTACTAAATCTTACATGCATTAATGCTGGATAAGCAAGGAAAATATAATCTTTTTAACATATAAAATCTCCACGACTTAATTTTTTAAAAGAATGTAAGTGTGATAATAATTTTGGTCACAAAAGTAAATATTTTACTTTCTTTTAGTAAAATAACAACAGAGTTTTAATGAAAATCAAATTGTAATGAAAAACCTTTAACAAAAATAAAACAAATGAAATATATCATGTTAAGGAAATAATTTGGTTCTCCACGACTCCACCCATAAACGCAATTGTCAATCGCGATTCACACGTCATCTTAGTTGATTTTTCTAAGACTTATTATTAATCTTACAGCTCAGTTTTCTTCACAAAAATGGATGTCAAAGTATTTTTCTTCTGTTTTCACGGAAATAATTTGATTCTCCACCCAAATACGCAACAGTAATAAATCGCGACCCACACGTCATCTTATGATTTTTTCGGATACTTATAAAGCTTTCCTTTAAATAATTTATTTCGGATAGTTATAAAAATAAAAACCATGCAACATCTGCAAAATTGTATATCTTCGTCACCAAAAAAAAATGAAAGGGAGAAATCATCATCCAAAAACAAAAGTATATATTCCCATGAGATCCAGTTAATCAAAACCCAAATACTCTCTTTCGTTTACACAATTGCATTTGCAGCCTCTTTCAACTAAAATTTGCTAAACAAGTATATTCTCTCTCCCCCAAAGACTCAAGCAGCATTAAGAGCTTCAAGCTGTTTCTTCAGATCTTCAAGGTCATCTTCCTCCTCTGTCTCTCCAGGCCCTATAGCTATTGCTTTCTCATACTCATCTGCCACTGGAAGCTCCCGAGTAAGCCCTTCGGGCAATGTATCTATACAACACATATCGATTCAGATAAGTGTCATTAAAAGAAGAAGACGACTTAAATTTTACACATTTTCACATTAATAGTACAGAGAGTCCCAAAATAAAAATACCTGAGCTTGAGGAAGCTTTTGTAGTATCCTTCTCATTTTCATCGTCGACAACACTTGTAAAAAGGACATGAGATACATATCAGATTTCTTGTTTGCAAATATGGTTGGAAAGGAGAAAAATATGATCCAAATTGTACAAATTTGATTTCTAAATATTTAGCTGAGTTGTTACCTTATGTTCCACTCATTATCATCATGGAGTGGACCATCATCGATAGCTGTTAACGCATCGGCTTCCATCTTAGCTTTAGCAGCAGCGTCCCTTGCTGGTTTTGCAAGCATGTATTCTTTCTGCATTTTGAGATTTCCCATTTTTTCACCAGAACATGGAAACAAAAACGAGCTGAGAGAGCTTTCAGTTGATTTTACTCAAGTTACCTGCCGTTCTAGACAAGCCACATTCGAGCATTGTGGATTCGGTCTCATTTGCATGGTTGGGAAAAAATCCTTCAGAGAATTGTAACCCTGTGGCATCAAGTAGCAGGCATCAAACGAGTAAACTTTAAATGATTTATATGATAATGATTCCGTGATGAACCATGTGAGGAGCACTGAAGAAAGCCAAGACTTCTTACCAAGTATGGTGAAACTTCACCAAAATTTAGTAAGAACTTGAGAGAGTTTTGAACCAAAAGCCCCGCAACAACACCCTGAATTGTCATGACAATCATGCAATTCTTAGAACATAGACAGAACTTAAATAAACAAAAGCATTAGCTGCTATATGATAACTAGTTAAGATAGTGTTGTTCAACCGTACTGTATGGTGCTAAGAAATTACCATAGTAGTAGGCAGAGATGCAGCACAGACCCCTTCCCGCTTGAGTGTCCGTTCATCAATTCCAGATGCCACGACCTACCACAGAAATAAAGATATTATTTAGCGGAGCTGCAAGTGGATCATAAAATCCTTAAATTTACCAGTGTTCCACTTATAGCATTCCTCAAGCATTAAGGCAGAATATCGTTGGTTAATAGTTTTACCAGTGATACAAGTAGAAAAAGAACATACCAGAGGAGGTGCACAAGCAAAACAAGCAGTTTCTCCAGGAACCAGAAGCTGTATGTGACCTGAAACAGCATCTTCCGAAACACCTGCACAAAATATCATATTCTTTGTTAGCCTATAGACAGATTGACAAGTCCTGTGTGCACACAAATAAAACTATTTGATATATATAAAAAAACAAAATTAACTGAATCTATAATGGTCGGAAACTTAGTTTCAATGTTTTTATTTGTTTTGGATATATAACCATAACTCATTAATGGATGACTGATCCATCAGTACAAGAAAACTGTGAGCAGACAAGAGTGCAGCAAAACATGACAATCCATTTGGGTGTAAGAGCCACAGAGATACGCAGGTTGATAGGTAGTTCACATTGTAGACAGATTCATGCCACAAGAAACTAAGAAGTACATATAATAATAAGCTTTTCATTTTGTTTACCTGACTCCATCCACGTCTGACTTAACTCATTGCATGCCTAGACATCAAACGATAAACTAAAATCAGAAGCCAATCTAGAAACTTAGTAAATCTTCTCATTCACAAGCATAATCAAACGGTATAACTAATGAAATCATGTATACACTGCAAGATCAAAATGACTGACGGTGAAGTAAGGAATTGAATTTGTAACAAAAAAGCCCTTTTAAGAGAAAGAAGTAATGGCTACCTGGTTGACAGCCATCCTTGCTTCATAATTATCGACACAACTCAAAACAAGATCAACACCAGTGCCCTCCTTGCTAGGACAAAATGACTTGTTCTTCAAGCTCGACGTGAAGGTTTCAAAGCCTTGCACTGTTGTTATGTTCATTGTGAAACTCTTGAAAAAAAGGTAAATAGAAATAGCATGAAATTATGAGTTAAGGAATACTGTTAGTGTGAAAGTAATAGTTCTCAGCAGAAAAGGGCAGAAATAATAAAGTATCCAGAAAGAGCCAAAAGAAACAAACATCATACATCAAAGATCTCCACTTAATAAGTAATGACATAAAACCGGAAGCACCCGTGTGGGCACAATCTATTAATCTCCTAGTAAGCATGATGTCAATGATCATTAAACTAGCACCAGATGTGTTTGACCTCCATCAAATAAGAGATCAAGTAGAAAACCTACCTCAAGCACAACGTCAGGGTTTATTTCTGCAAGGGTCTGGACAGCAGCATCAGTCTTTGTCATACCAACCTACGGTCACCATTATTCGGATATCAGCATCAAGTCCTCGACCAGGCAAGAAAGAGTTCAAGTGCATAGGACAGACAAGAAAAAATGAATACAAAAGATATATTGCAAATTCAATGAGAATTAACTACCTGATCAGGTCGGAAAAACAGCCTATTCATGTTAGCTAGTTCCACAGTGTCATAGTCATACAACAAAAGACGACCAATACCACATCTAGTCAACATTTCAGCAGCAACACTTCCAACCCCACCAATTCCCTGTCATGTAAAAGTTTTCCAATAACTATAGCTAAGAACAAAATTGTATAGCTTTGGAGAGGAAAGTTAAGTTTGAAAAACAAAATAGATAGATACATACAACTATGGCGACTGAAAACTCTCTTATTCTCTCGTAATTATCCACAATACCCATGCGCTGAAGTGCCATCAGCCTACTGTAAGGATTACTATCTACCACTTCCGAACTTAGTTCCTGCAATAGAGGTCCCCTTGAGATCAGAACATTTTACATTGGTTATATATATTCAACTTAAAATTAGAAGAGAATAATGCAGACCTTGACTTTGGAGCGCCGATGAGGATTACATTTAGACAGAGTCGCTAGATTTTCGACATGTGATCGCAGCTGCAGAGTATACGAGAAAATTCGATAAGAGAGGCGCATTGTTATCTTCAGAAGAATTCATGAAACTAGACCCAAAAACATAAGCAATGCAAGAGCAAAGTTTGACATTTTACAAATATGCAGCAAGGAAAGCGAAAATGCACATCAAGAGAAATGCAATTAGGAGAACCCAGAGCCAGATCAATACAAGGACAACTTCAACTTGTAACACCTTGTAACACCAATGCATGTGAAAAATGAGCTCTTTCGAATTTAAGGAAGAAAAAAAAAACAGATTTAGAACGGAAATCAGAATCCATTAAAACGTTTCCACGCCACTGAAAAGAGATCGCAATTTGAGTGTCTTAATTCTCGAGGAATAACCAGAATTGGAAGAAACCCTCTACTAAACATCTCACAAGAGTAACAAAAAAGGAAGAGAGCAGAAGTAAAATCCAAACACCTTGTGGATCGGAGCCGGATCGGAGAGAGATTTCTCGAGAACATCAAGATCATCGAGCATTGCTTTAAATTCAACCTCCATTTCAGCTCTACTAGGATAAAAACGAAGAGCTGAAAGGGATATGGAAGATCGGACTAAGAATCTGCGATGCTGTTTTGAGAAATCGAATTTGGAAGAGAAACTGGAAGTGTACAAACAATACAAAGGGTTAAAAAGACAAGAAAACGTATTTAATTTTCACGAAGGAAAGAACAAAAAGTTGACCGAGAAAAGAAGGAAAGAACATAAAAAAAAAAAAAACTTATCCGGTCTTCTGGGCCCTCAACTTAGCCCATCAGATCTTTCTAATCGGCCCATGAAAGAAACAGGTCTATTGTTGTACAAGTAAACATAATATCGCACAAATCAAATAAAATGTTTTGTTGTTTTGATAAGAGATGCATTGGTAGAAAAAAACAAATTTTTAAACTTTACTAAACTAAATCACGGTTTATAAGTTACTTTTCATAGAATTGATATCTGAACACCAGAGAATTCACGATTAAGGCTTCAAAGAGTGTTTACAACATCATAAAAGAAAAGAAAAAAACTTTTGAGCTTAAGCCATTTTCCAAGTACCATTAAACGCCATTGTTTCCCAACAAACGATGATAAACATCTTGAAACTGAGAAACCAAGAACTTCGGAAAAGATGTCTCCTTGTCCAAACACTCCTCATCCTTGTCTCTCCAAAACTTAAGGATAAGAAGATTCTCTTCCTCTGTTGATCTCTGAACCACGATTCTCGACGCATAACCTTTCTTTCTCATCATCAGACAGATCTCTGAAGGCAGATTTGAAGTTGATGTCACCAAGTAGAACCAACCTTCTCTGAAAGCAAAACATCAACAACAGGCAAGATTTTATCGATAACAGACCGGCCCTTTTCCCCTCCACACCAAGCAGAGGCAATACCTTCCTTTCCAACTTCAGATTCCGGTGTGGGAACATGAGGCGGATTCACCACCATCACATCGACTGAGCCAGCAAATGTTTTCTCTATACCATAAGGGATATCAGTGCAGATAACATGAGCATCAACTCCATGTGCTTTTAGAGTTTCACGTGTTACCCTCGAAGCTATCGGGTTTGTGTCGGTGGCTAGATAATGAGCTGAAGGAACTTCATTTCTGAGAAGAAGAATAAGTGAAGTTATGACATAGCCACTTCCACAACCAATCTCCATACAAATCCTAGGGTTGTGCTCAATCAGGTTGGTTCGATCAGCGAGCAGTGCATCAACTAGAGCAAATGAATCATCAGATGGTTCGTAGACCTCAGGATGTGAGCTTACAAGCCCGATATCAGCAGTTTTTGATGTCATCTTGCAAATGACTGGCCACAAAATGAAACCATAGGGTAGTTAAAAAGCTGAAAAACTTTGAGATTAATGTGTAATCAATTATAACATAACAACTATTTATCCAATGATCCGGAACTAAGTGGCAAATGGTGATACATTAGTCTGGAAGGATTAGCATCAGAAAATAAGTGAGCTTAGCAGACCTTGAATCAGAACGTTTTACAGAGATTTAGACAAAGTCGCCAGATTTTCAACATGTGCAGAGACCAAGAGCATTTCCAAAAAACTTGAGGAGAAATCATTATACTATATCCAAAAAACAGATAAGCAATGCAATAAAGAAAGCTTTTTGACATTCTACGAATATGCAGCAAAGAAACCCGAAACTCTCATCAAGATAAATGTAGATTCAGACAATCCAATGATAGCCATATCGACACAAGTAAACTCGTAAAACACCAATGCATGTGAAATGTCAATTCTTTCGAGCTTAAGAAGAAACAGAGTTAAACCGAAATCATGAATCATAATCGAGGAATAAACAGGACTGGGAAGAAATCATCCACAAGTAACTAACTCATAAGAAAAAAGGAAAAAAGAAGCAAAACCCTAGAACCTTGTGGATGAGAGCAGTAGCCGCGTATAGAGAGTTCTCGAGAAGACAAAGATCATCGAGCAGTGCTTACAAGTAAGACTCCAATTCAGAGCCGAAAGGGATATGAAAGACCGGACTGCGAATCTGCGACGTTTGATTTTTAGGAAAATGGAACTGACTAGACACATGCCGCGTGAGAATCTGGGTTTTATAGTAAAAGGTTTCAGTGATTCACCAAAGATTAAAGATATGAACAAGAAATCGGTTTGCCAAACAACCAGGTAAACCGGCGATATGTACCTATTACCGGTTTTCCCGTCCCAGTTTGTTTCCACGTAGTTGGAATTCGCCACATCCAACAAAACGGGAACCTGATTTTCGTCGCACACCGTTAACATAGTAGAAGCCAAGACATATATACTTTTTTCATTCTCTTGTTATCTGTATCGTTCAACAACCTATCATTTCAATCTCCAAACAAATTCATAAGCATGAAATCTCAAGCCTCGATGCACAAATGAGCAAAAAAAGATCCCCGATTGTATTTGCAGTAAAGAGAATCATATGACATGTACCCTAAGATTGCTACGACATTTAATGAGGAACAGAGATTATGTAATCCTTGTGTACAGTCAAAACCGTAAACTTAAAACTTGGAACTTTGAATCAAATTCATGACATTTCAACTAAAAACCCACTAAATCAGCATTAAAGAGCTCATCAAAATACAAGGCGACATTATGCATCATCAGATCAGACCTGAATCAATCCGTCTTTGGATCCGGCATGGGAACAACCCAGAACCACCAGCAGATTCCGACGACGGTGAGACTATCGGCGTACTTGAAAGCGGCGAAGAAAGGAATCGCGGTCGCCATTGCGCAAAAACGGACCTCATTTCGTCTTCTCTACGAGCAAAATCTGAAGCTCAGAGATTTTGATACTCATCTGAAAAATCTCATCTTGAAATACTCTAGTTCTCTTTTTATTTTGATTAAACTTAAAAATACTCGTCGTTTTAGTTTCCCTAAAAACGGCATAACATGCAATATTGATGTCGTTTACTATATAAAATACTCGTTGTTTATTGGTTTTAAAAGAAAAAGAAAAAAAAAATCTCAGTCAAAAGTCAGAGAGCGTGACTCCACGCGCATAAATAGCCATATCCCATTCCTACTCGCAGCAGGTGCGCGTTGCGCGCGTTAGGCCTACTTCGTGGGTTATTATAGTCCATCAATTTTGCTCTATTTTGGCCAAAATTTAAAAAATGAGCGAGTAGGTTGCGTTTTACTTTATATTAGATTGTCGTTTTGGGGCTTATTTTGAGCAATTTTAAGCATTTAGGAGCATGTCTCCTATATTTCACAGCCCGTCAAATTAACGCTGTGATACATTCATTATTAAAATCATTTGATATTATGTCACCGCCCGTCAAATTAACTCCAATGATACATAAATATTATTTATATCATTATATGTTATATGCGTTTTGTTTGTTATCGGGTTGCGTTTCGTTTTGCAGAGAAATTAGTCATCGGCCGAGATGCATCTCTGGTTCGTCGGCGAAGAGAACGCCGGCTATTAGGAAATGGGCGGTTGGCGGAGTCACTGAATTGCTCCGGCTCGCTTTCGTCACTGAATTTCTCCAGCTCGCTTTGTCCCCTTTTTCCTCCATCCCTACAAATAAGGATAAGGTAATCTCGAAAGCTTTCAATTGTTGGTGTTTGCTTTCGTGAAAGATCGTTTCGGAGATTACAGCTCGAGATGTTGATGATGTGATTGGGCATTTTGACATCAGATTATGGAAATGCATATTTTTTCGTTTGACTTGATCAAGTCTTTAGATTCTGAAAACTGTTTGTTATTCAAGCCTATCTGATTTCGTTTTCTAAAAATTATAACAACTATCAAGTTCATTGAATATGCGGAGGTTCACCATAGCTAAGCTCATTATTCATTGAGAAACCAAGCTCAGACCATTCAGTTAGTTTTCTTTTATGCAAATTTTGCTTCTTTCTTATTTTTTGTTTTTGGCTGGATTAGGTAGTCCAAACTACCTCCTAGGTTTGATGTAGACAAGGATCAAGAGATTTGAACCCTTCACCTTCCTAAGAGCTGCGCAGTAAAAGAACTTAAACGTCAAGCAAATGGCAATGTGTTAAAAAAAGCTGCCTATCTTGAAGCTTGCATTGAGCTGCACAGAGTTGGAGCTCTGACTGATAATCCTCTACTTAATAAGAATGAAGCCAGACTCTCCAATATATTTTTTCTGGGCACCAGAACTGAGCTTGAAGAAGATGCAATTGGGAGCACAGGCTTCCGGTTGGAAGATCATTTTGGTACAATAGCTGTGACATTGAGTCATGTGGGAGCGTATTATTTTACACAAGAGGAGTTATTTTTGCTCATTTTTGTGTATCAGCTATATATCACATTTAAATTCATATTAATCTCGCTTTTTTTATGTGTAGGTCTTTTTGTGTAGAAAGTTTCAGATAGCTCTTTTACGACTTCTTTTGGATCACAGTATGAAAAATTTGATTGAATGGATTGCATCTCAGAGACGGGGTAGCACTTGATTATCTACTGGTTCCGTCCACTCATGAGCATGAAACATCTCTTATCAATTGGGAGCTGATTAGATCCTTGAATTTAACTTGTCATAATGCTTGGGAAAGGCACATTCGGTTAGGAAAAAGACTAACCGACTTCTAAAGATAAGTTATTCAGAAAGAAAGAAAAAATGTCTGAAGATAGAGTGGGACTTCATTAGTCAAATGCTTAACATTTGCGTCTATATGTGTTTAGTACTTGAATTTCAAGATATCTATCTTTTTTTTGTTAATTACGATATATATAAACAGAAGATAGTGTCATTTATACGTTTGTATTTCAATTTACCTATATATAATTTACAAACGCGCTGACATCCCGACATTTTCAATTAAAAAAATTAACAATTTGACCGTAACCAGCTTGCTGCACAGGGATTGGCTGGGTCCATCACAAAACTGTAGTTATATTGCAATCAGGCACTATTCAGAGGGTTTGAAAATGATCTTGAATCGGACATTGTCTTATGACAAGATCTACGATGGAGTTTTATGGTGAGTTTGATGTTCACACTCGACAACTTTCAAAACTTCAAGAATCATGTGATTTGAATCTTGATATTGTCTATAAATTAATGGAGCTTTTGTCGATAAGTTTTTGCATGTCCCTACAAAAGCAACAACACCAAAGTGACAGAGATTGAAAGAGAGATAGATACCCGGCCCAAGGAAAACAACCACCCATTCTCATTTTATCAGATTCCCCTTGTGATAAATCCAATAAAACTATATGATCAATCAAAATAATACCAAAATAGAAATTGATCCCAAAGTACCCTTCCAAGGAAAATGACAACTTGTAGGGCTAAAAGTTGTTGTACGCTCTATCTGACACCCTGATACCATTTTTATTTACACACCAAACAATGATTAGAGCATAAGGGCCTTTAGTATTACCAACATTTATAACTTCTTATATTATTTTCAAACTAGTATGTATATCAATGTTTGTATAAATATATTCGCGGGTATGTGATATGTCACTCATCAGTCCCCACTTTTGGCGGGGCTCTCATTTTCATTGATAGAAATTGATCAAATCTAAGTATCATTGTTGGTTAAAGAAAGCAAATACTCAATATTCAATGATATTGGATCTTTTTAAGGCAATATATAAATATACTGTATATGGATTCATTCTAAAAATCTTTTTCGGCTCTTCCAAGACCAAGAGAGATTGATTTGGTGGCAAATCATCAAGGATCATTTAACATTAGAGTCTACAGTTTGAAGATAGACTTACCGAACAATTCTTGTCAGAGACAAGATTTAACGGTCCAAAAGATCAAATAAAAAAAAAAGGAAAGAACAAATATTAGTTAGGATGAGAAATGAGAAGTGAAGTGACTCAGTGTACTTGGCACAAACATGATCACTCGGCTTTGAGTCATGAGATGGCCATTTAAGGTAGTCGAAGACATTGCCTCCTCGTGAGTTCTTGCTGCATTGGCAAGGACATTAATTGATTCTTCTGCTTTTGCAATTTTTAGGGTATGTTATTTTCTTGAGTTCTTAATATGAAATGAAGAAATTGCATCCACGAAATCCTTTATCACAAAAAATTGCATCCACGACTTTTTTTGTTGTTGTCACTGTATACAGAAAAGTGGAAATACTAACAGATAAAAGTTACACTATTTTGCGCTCTAATTATTGAAGTGTAAGTATATACTTTTCCACATTATTGAAGCATTATATAGTTTTCCAAAATATATACAGTACAAGAGAAGATTAATATACAGAAATGAACTATATACGTACTGATTTTAATAAGTCTAGCTACACTATACAATCCAAAATATAGTGTACTAACATAAAAATTATTATATAACATATTTATATATAAATATAGATAATGTGGAAAACATATAAATATCTCCCCCTCTGTATTTGTTTTTTGCAACTTGTATTTAAATTTATCTCCTCCTATAAATTCAAAACAAATTAACAAATAGTTTTAGAGCTAGGCTTCCTCAATTTTCGGGTAATGGGTACCATTTAGATCCACCATTTCAACAGAGACTATAGACAAAAAGAAAGAATTAATTAAAATTTCTAATTTATTTATTTTTATGTAAACGAGTTTTTATTTTTTGTATTAGATTGTTAATTGTGATGTTACAGTAATCTACTATCAACTACCCCATCGATTTTATTTTCAATATACTAAAAACTTCTACTTAGTTGTTTTTTAATCGTCATTTCCTACTGAGTAAACATCCATAAAAATGTTTAAAATATTTGGTAACTTAAAAAACCTTTAACAAAAAAATAAATGGTAACATAAGATTAGAGTTAAAGGAAATGCTTTTTCAATATGATTAGTTTTTTTTTTAGATTACTAGATATCAGTGTATTTAATTATAACAAAATTTCACATTTTGTAAATTTGTATATTTCATCCGAAATAACTAGGTACAATGAAGATTAGATATAAATTGGTCTTAACATTTACAGCAAGTCACGATGCATGGTGTAAACATATATAAATTAAATACATGGTGCTAACATCTTCTTATATAAAGTCACACATGCATATGAATATATGATATATAGTATTACATACTATCAAACAAACTAAGCCACCTCGCTAATCCACTTGCTCAATACATTTTCTCCCAAGTCTCTCTCTTAAAAAAAAACACAATGCCAAGAATCATGTGGAAAAGCTTTCATCTTTGCTTCCCATCAAATCTCATCAAGCCCTCCTCATCTCCCGCCGCCGCCTCAGACGATCCTAGCCGTCCATCCATTCTTCTCATCAACAACTTCAACCTCCTCTACGACGATTCTACCGTCGCCGGCCGCCGCATATCCAAGCGTCTCAACGACGTCGTTCCTTCCTCCTCCACCACCTTCACCGCTTCCACCTCCACCGCCGCTAATTCTTCCTCCTCCTCCACGAGCTACGATGAATCCGATAATTACGGTTTTGCCCCTGACGACTCTCCTCCTCCGGACTTAACCGCCGTTCTCGCCTCCCGTCGCTTCTTCTTCTCTTCCCCTGGCCGCTCCAACTCAATCACCGACTCGCCAGATCTTATTCGCTCCTGCGATAATAATCACGATACTGCCACTACTACTACTACTACTGCTAGGCTTCTCACTGGAGGAACTGCCGTGAAACAGTACGTGCAATCTCCTGATCCTTACAACGATTTCCGGCGATCAATGCAGGAGATGCTTGACGCCGTTACAGACGCCGGAGATCTTCGCCGTTACGAGTTCTTGCACGAGCTGTTACTCAGTTACCTTTCCTTAAATGCAGCAGATACACATAAGTTTATTATCAAAGCTTTCGCGGACATTCTCGTCTCTCTCTTATCGGACGGTCACCGGATAAGCTGACGTGGCATTTATATGTAGAAATATCTTATCTCGTGTTTTTGGGATTAACGCTTTAATTAGGACCAAGAACAAAAAAACTATGCTAAATTGCTAATGTAATTATTGTGTAATGATACGAGAAAATCGAGGGAAGCGTGGGGTTTTGTCTCGATCGCATGCAGTTTATATTGCTTTTTATTTTGTTTTTTTTTTACTTACCTTTTTAAATAAATGATAAATCGGGGACAGATCACAGATGTATGGTAAAACTTGGTTGAGAAACAAAAAAAAAAAAAAAAAAAAAACTTGGTTGAGAAATCATAGTTCTTTTATTTCTAAGCCAAATTAAGTATTCTTTTGTCATTTTTGAAGTTGCATTTTATAAAAACACATTGCAGAAACGCCTGAATAAATTTAAGCGACGGAAACTCATATAAATTCAGAGTAATAAATTATTATTATTTTTTTTTCTCATTAGTGAATCTTGCGGAAAGGTAAAATACAGGAACAAAAACTACGAGTTTAGAAAATCAAAAGAAAAAAAAATGTAATAGTTTGAAAAAAATGTAATTAGTAAAAGCGGAAATAACATTCCACTTATACAATTATCTAACTGGTATGATATATGATTGTTTCAAAAGTACTTTGTCTTTTGGGGAGACTACCAAAAAAACGTCTGGCTCAGTGCCATGACAAACAAAGAAAGCTATGTCGACTGGCAATTGGTACTAGTTCTTCTTCTTTTTTCGTAACGTATCAGATTTATAGAATCTAAATTGTATATTGACTTTCTTCTACTTTTCTTGGTGTTCTCACGTTACATTCACGTCGAAACAAATTATATAGAATCTCAAAATTGTATATGATAAGTCTTACATCGAATTATTTTATTTTTGTTCAGGATTTTTTCGGCCAGATTAAGTATCATGAATTTATCAACATGTTGGTTTTTTTATGCTATTATTCAAAAACATTATTCATAGCAATTTTTGTCTGTTTTAGAGTTAAGAAACATAGTATACCCTTATTTTGAAAGCTAATGGTGCACGTTATTTTGAAATATTGGTGCACGTTAAGCTCTCTGTGTTTAAACATTTATTCATGGAAAATATAGTAATCAACAAAAATCGGAGCTGAGAATCGGCTTGTACGAGACAAAACAACTTGGTCAGACGTAGTCAAATTCACTGTAGATTCGAAACTTTTAGTTATATATAAATTTATTGTATGATTTTTTTTTTATTAATAATGCAAATTTTGAAGCGACCGAGGCAAACTAAGTGCTTCCAAATACGTTATATGAATAGTGAAACTTGAACTTGGTTTGATCAATGTTGGACAAGGTTGAGTAGATGGCAAAGTGACTCCAATACACAAAGCTTAAGGCATCAAGAAACTCTGTTCTCGCATACCCTATTAGTAAATCAAGGCGTGGATTGTGTTGTATCATTAGATATTATAAACACCTATTAAGTGAAAAGAGAGTAAATACTTTATCCATAATAGACTAAGATTTGGATGTATCTAAATATAAAGTTGAATGGTGTAAGTAATGATACATCGACAAGAAAATAGAGATATACATACACACCCATGAATAAGAACATCAATTTTAAAATCTTAACCTCATTTAATATTTGAAAGAAAAAAAAGCCACATTCACTTCATTCTTAAGAACTTTATAGATCCAAAAGGACCAAAACTCATTAAGCACATCAAAACATTGCCTAATTAGGGAAGGTGACAGACTAAATAATAGATTAATCATAGGTAGTGATTCAATTTCAATTAATATTGAGATCTGTTGTTTCCCATGAAATTTTACACATTACACAAGGTGAGACAAAAACAAAATAGGTGAATCCTAAGAGACGGATGTTGGCTGAAGCCTCTATATTAAAAAAACTAGTAAAATTGCACGTTATGAGTATTTAGGTGACCTAGCTGGCTAGCCAAACTAATCAAAGTAAATAAGTCTATAAGAAATTTACTTTCTAGCTAGAGCTTATAAATAATAAATTATTATAATCATACGAAAAAGAACAAAGATTGCCTCACCGCTCTCAAGTCTCGGTTGAGTATATATATTGACGACTATTATCTGCCAGTTTTGCAAATAAATCAAACAAACGATAGTTATTATTCACTAAAAAAAACTTGCATGTGATGTGTGATTTGAAAATATATCATGCTATTTGTTGCCATATTGATTTGGTTTAGTTTGACTGAAGAGATCAAATGTGGATAAACTTTTTTTTTGTCATTATCAAATGTGGTGTAATAGGAAAAAGTTAATGAAACTGTTATACATTTTTGTTGGTTCGTTAGACTTGTCTACATATATGAGCGCTACATATTGTCTAGGTCATAGGCATGTATGTGCATAAAACTATAAATATGTAACATTTTGATGGCTTCAATTAAGATCACTAACATTATATTTCAAACAAACATACAGTTTAACTAAGTGTCTAATCGTATACCACCTTTGTAAGTTGGTATTAATTAAAATAGTGCCTTCTTTTCTGCCGCTTGTCTCCAATATATGGACATGTGTGTGTATGTGCACATGTCTTTGAGAGAGATATAAGTCCAGATAGAGTCGAGTCATGTTTTACTTTTATATATTGCCTATATAGATTATTATTTATTCATCAGACGAATTAAAAGAATACATATGGTTGATTGAAACATGTGATATTGCATATGCTATATATATGCAAGCGAATATAAAGTTTTCTTTCTTAAACCTTAACCAATAATTTTTGGCTCATTAATCAAGTTCGGTGTCTCGCTAATATTGTTACCCTTAATCTAATCATCTTAAAATGTGATCATGATCCAAGCAATTGGAGTATATATGTATTCTCTTACAACAGTTGATGAAATATTATTTTATTATCAAAAATCAATACAATATAAGATGCAATATATTGATAAGTTATTAAATTATTAAATTGAATGCACAATGATGGTCAAGAAGCTGGAATAGCTCAGTTGGTTAGAGCGTGTGGCTGTTAACCACAAGGTCGGAGGTTCGACCCCTCCTTCTAGCGCTAATTTAGTTTTTTTTTTAATATCTTGAACTAGGAGGGCAAATTCGTCATTTAGGCAAGCAACACGAACCATCCAATTTCATCTCTCTCTCCCACACTCTCTCCTCCTTGACACAACGACTTCCTGCCTCCGGTGTATCCCTCGCCGTCAAGGTGACGATATCTTCGACGAAAGTCAAGGAACAACTCTTCTGCGATAAAGCATACGAATCTTCTTGTTCTTATCATCAGTCCTGAAGAAGATTCATGGGTTTCCTTGTAGCCGCCATGAATCTTTCTCCTACCTTGATGCATCATCAGCTAGTGAAATCGAAGCATGGATGTAAAAGTATCATTTTTTTTTTTTGCTCATTATTTTCTATGAACTGAAGTATTTTTGGGTTCAAGGTGAATCAATCAAATCTCTTGAATTAATCAATTGGAATGATTTCAAGTTCTCTAAGATTACGAATTTTGGGTTAGTGTATGTATGGCTCTGTGTTATTAACTGTTGCAATAAAACAGGTGAAAAGCTTCAAGAGAGACCAACTCTGTTTGCTCGTCGTGGATTCTTGAGCTGTGTTGGTGCTTCGTTTCTGGCCACACTTGAGTTATCGGGATTACAAGCTCAGGCAGAGGAAAAGGATGAAGGAGAAGGAGTTGTTGGGGCCTTCAAGTCTTTGTTTGATCCTAACGAGAGAACAAAATCTGGCAAAGAGCTACCAAAAGCTTACTTGAAATCTGCAAGAGAGGTAGTGAAAACGATGAGGGAGTCATTGAAAGAAAACCCAAAAGACAATGCAAAGTTTAGGAGAAGTGCTGATGCTGCCAAGGAATCGATTCGTGATTATTTGAGCAATTGGAGAGGACAGAAGAGCGTAGCTGGAGAAGTACATCGCTTCCTTTTTTGTTTTTTTTTTTTGTTTGACAGGTTTGATGAATGAATGTTGATTGAACCAATTGAGATATGTTTCAGGAATCTTACGCGGAGCTGGAGAAAGTAATCAGGGCTTTGGCCACATTTTACTCAAAGGCAGGTCCTTCTGCACCTCTTCCTGATGAGGTTAAGGCTGAGATCTTGGATGATCTTAATAGGGCTCAAGAGTTTTTGTGACAGCATTCGAATGTGGAACTTGTTTCAATTTTTAGCCTCCAAGTTCGATATCCGACTGTCTCTGGCAACATATTTTGATCCTGCAGTGTAAACATTTTTGTATGTATTCTCAATGATGTATGTTTGAAAGCAACAGCTGATATGAAAGAACTCTGATATGCTGAAACTGAAATGGCAAAAATGACTATTGGCACTTTTTTTTATATAATACAATGTTGTGAATCCCTCCACTGATTCTCGGTTAACACTTAACAAGAATAAATACAAGTAGAGACAACAACACCACACTAATCAAGTTGAATACCCGGGCCTTAAAGATATATAACAATTCCACTGGTTATATAACATAATGTGTAAAATTTTCTTCTTGATTGAAAAAAGAATCTTATCGATACAATATTTTGTTTCACATAGTCACAGATGTCTTCTAATTAACTAAAATTAATTCAAAAAAAAATATCATAAAAACAAGGGGTATTTTAAATATGTTTTATTGGATTTATGTCTAATAGTTTGGAATAAATTTATCAATATAACTAAATTTCAATTTCAAAATATATCAGAAAAAAATATATATTAACAAAGACCCATAGGCGAGAGTGTTTGGGCAGAAGACGCAAATAATAATTTATTTTCTGTGTCTATCTCCGAATTCATGGCATCCTTATGTACGACAACATAGTCACCTGAAGCTGCAGCGGCTATGACGTTTTCTTGAGGGAGCAGTGGTTTCTGTAACATGTCTATTCCAGGGAACACCAATGTGTTGAGGGACCTCATCTCTTTCCTTACTGAATCATCAAGAGGACTGAATCCAAAATTACCAGTCCACGCATGCAAGAAGTCTGGAATTGCAGGGATTACCAATTTCTCAACCTTGAGGGAACGCATGGCCTTCATAAAAACAAAACAAATCACAAGTTAAAAAACTTGGAACCACCTTTCGGCATATGGTTCCCCACAAACAATGATTATATAGTTTAACTAGCTTTACCGATTCAATTGCATCAAAAAGCCGACGACACATTCCTTGACGCCTATATATATGCCTCGTTCCGATAAATGGCATCTCCGCCAGTTGCATTCCATGGAACCTATCAAGGCAACAAAATATTAAACCTTGGAAGGCCCTCGAACACAACGTCGATGGAACAACTAGTACTTAAAACGCAAGCACTCATTACGCCCACATTTCTAAGCAACTGAAAAATCTAAAGCTGATGAATAGCATTTCTTAATCACAGCTGGTTAAATGGCCTGCTTGTTTTTATCAGTAACCAATGTGAGCAGAAAGAAGATAAACAAGTTGAGAACCAGATGACTCACAGTTGTAGCAAAGAGGGTGACAAACGAATCAGTACAAATAAACGACTTTTATGTAGCTAAAAAAACTATTAAGGCGAAAGGAAAATGCAAAAGTTCCAAATGTGTCCCATGACTCCACATTAGTGACAATCAATTTCCAATGAATTCCAGACAACGTTAGATAAGTTTGATGATATAATACTCGGCGGACAATACCTGAGAGATGCCGCGGATATAATTTCATCTCCTCTCTCTAGGATAGCAGTGTAGAAGCCAGTGTAATTTATCCGGTTGAAATTGGATCTGCACAGAGAAGGCAGTCAACATTTGGAATCAAGCATAGACAGCAACGAGCAACCATGTTTATAAGCGGTTAAATTTCCACGCACGTGTAGCTCAGAAAAAAAGTTGCAAATATACATATATAACCCCATATTCTTTGTACTCAAAAATCAAACTACTATCAACAGCTAAGTGTCAAACTTGTTAAGACACAAACACTAGCCTTTGCTTCAGTATACCAACAATATCTTGTTGACAATTTTATGTCTACTACAGCTGACATGTTAATCTATCAGATCCTACTAGATACCAAGCTTATATATAAATTCCATATCAAAAGGAGTTGAAGACATCATAATTATTCAGCATAAGTAATAAATGACAGACTAAACACAAAACTTACCCGCAATTGTAAAGCACATTGCGAATTAGATTTATCCCACTTCTTCTGTCAATTATGGGCAAAAAACATTCATCCATGATAGACAGACCGACGGCTAGCTTTGAATTATTTTCAATCCTTTGTGCCGACAACTGAGCGTTTGAATTTGAATCAGTATCCACCCTATGTATAAGAGACCATGAGTAGCCGCCTTCGATTTCATTTTTGACACCAAGATACTTCTGTAACTTTTTGAAGAGCTGTAGAACAATGAAAGCTAAATTTAACGATATGGCTATAAGAAAGAGACTAATAAAGACCAAAGACTCGCATTGACATTAAATATTACTGAAGCCAATCAGCATTTGCCCATCGTATAAATACAGAAATTCTCTCTCTCAGGAAATTGATGATATAAAAAGGAACACCAGGAGAATTTAACCTTTGCTGATGATATTACATATATGAGAGTTTCGAATGATGCACAATCGTAACAGACAATGAGGATTTTGTTGACCAATAAAAAAACAAAAAATGAGGTTTTAAGAAAAATAACCACAAAATACTTTTATTACGCATGAAGCTAATAGATTGTGACCTTGTGCTTTGACATATATATGTTCATAATTGCTCTCTATCAATAAGAAGAAAACAGACTAAACATTAAGACAACAAAACTGCTGAGGAGAGTAAAGACGTCAATATACCTCTACACACTTGGGCCCACAAAACAAAGAAGCTGAACCAAAAGATTGAACACTCTGAGCTTCCAGCTTACTCATGCATGATTGGTGATCTACAAAAACGATTATAAAACTTAACTGAGAACACCATTGTTCATCAAACGGATAATCAAGCTCAATGAAAGAAAATCGCACATCTTCTCTCACACATGTTGCATGAAAGTAATGATAACTGATTTTCTTCCTCGCCACTAGAATCCACGGCAGCATCACAAAACTTGCATGTGCAATTTGGACAGTGCCAATCACCCAGAGGAAGCACCTACAATCAAAGCATGATACAAGTACGTGAATACACACAAGAAACCCAAGAACATAGAAAGCTGAATTCCAAATCCAAAAAATGGAAAGAAATATTAAGGTCTAAACAGGTAAGACTTCGCGGCAATTCATACCTCCATACCTAGGCAGGTTTGATGGTATGTTGATGGGCAACCATCACAGCAAATCAAATCTCCACCATCGCCACAAATACCACAGGTATCATCATTTGGATCATCACCATCAGTGTCCACGTGATGGAAACCAAGATTCTCAGCATCTTTTTGCATGTTCCACGCTCTGATTTGGCAATGAAGAAGAGAGCTGCCAGATTCCAAGTAAATATTTTGGAAAGGCTGACATGACTTGCTCCCAGCATGGATCTCAAACCTGGAAAGTGTGAGGATTTTACTGCAGCAAACACAATGAATCCCCGCTCTTGTTATCCATCCCTCCAGCATCACCTTTGTACATTGATGGTTCATGTATTGCACTTTTTCTCTTGGTTGGACAACTCCACATTCAATCAACCAAGAGAGCAATGTCCTTTTTCCAGAGTATGGATTGAACCCGTCGATCGCTGGGTTCTTTTTATCCTCAGAACTACGCACCTTCAAAGTACATCTTACAATTTTTTTGCTTTTTCTTCCATGTAAGTAATGTGAATCTGACCCAGAGGATGGCCTTGCATCATTGTAGTACGGCAATCTTTTACTTTTCGAGTGTAATTCATCTCGCGCTCTTTTTTTCGATTTCCCAGTCAGCTTTACGAATGAACCCATCCTCTCTTCACGGGTATCACTGTCCACTCCTTCATCTCCATTACTTTCCAATTCATCCTCGCTACAACTGGAATCCTTTTTCCATTTCTTGAACATCTCAGCCCGTGTCTTCTTCACCTTCCTTGCTAAATTATTCACAATATCCTCTGATACTAAGGCAACTGCAGCAGAATCCTTCCTAGAAATAGCATCAATTTCTTCGTCCTTTAACTGCTTCAGAAGTGCATCATACGCTTTTATTATTGACCAATATGCTGTTCCTGAGGGGTTTACATATACAGCATCCAGGTAACTTTGATTCCTCCTAGGTCTATAGTCTATCGTCCATCCTGCATCAGTAAGCATTCCCTTAATTCGCTCACGTAATCTTTGCTTCTCTGTTCCACCACCACGCCGTCCTCTTCTTTCTTCCCTCACATCAGGTTTCATCGGTTCAGAACAGGTTGGTTTCGATTTGATATTGATTTCCTTCTTGGATTTCTGGCATACCGGTCTCCTCCTTTTCGATTTCCTCGACACGTCGCTCTCTTCTGACTCTGAATCAATGTCTATATTATTTGATTTCTTAAAGTTTGATTTGGTATTGTTTACCTTCACCTTCAGAACACCGTTTCTCCCTTGCACCCTTATTGGTTCATCAGAATCAGATTCACTAATCAACTTCTCCTGTGAACTCATACTACTTGCGCCATTTACGCACGGTTTTTTTCTCCTAACAAATACACCATCCCTGCCTGATCCAGACCCTTCCCTAACAACTCTTCTGGGTGCAAAAGAGCTTCTTCCGCTAACACCAACACTACCATTATCAAAACGTTTCCTCATCAAATTTGGACTATCAAACCCATCGTATTCGTCAAACTCATAAACATCTAACTTGTTCATCTTCAACAAACTGCCTGATGCCTCTTTGTTCTTCCTCACAAACCCATTTCCACCATGCTCAGCCCCATCCTTCTTCCGAGCAAAGCTCTCTTTCGAGCTACCTTTAGATCCAAGGGTTTTGCGGTCAACGCTTTTAGGTGGAGGTTTCATAAACTCATCACTTGATTCAGAATCACTAACAACTACTTTGGATCTCTTCTTCTGAAAATTCCGCCTCGTTCCACTAGAAGATACAGTCCAGCCAAGCCCATCGCTCTTTTCCTTTGATCTCAAGCAACTCGAAGAGCTCCGGGGAGTCTTCGCAACAATCCGTGACCGCTCACCCGACCCACCACCCCGTTCCATAAACGATCACTACGCAAATCCGAAAGTAAGCACCTTTAACTCTAATCCCGTTTACAAATCTGATACCAAATCAATAAAAATAACCTGAATCGATAAAACGGATACTCGATAAACATCAATTAGCACCCCAAATCACCGGATCCGGGGTGAGAAAAGATTAAGTCCCGATCCTATCCAAAAAACAGGAGAAATGAATGTATCGGTGAAAGATGCTTAAGAATCGAACGCAGCGAGCTTGTTAGCTTCGAGATTCCACTGTCGCCGGTTTCCTCTGCCGCCGACAATGTAACTCCGCCGCTAGAGAGAGGAAGGAGAGGGGGCGCAACGGAGCGGTGCAAAAGATTAGGAAACGAAAAGGAAAATTTATTTTCCATACGGATATATATTTATAGGTATCCACGCTTTATCGAAAATGAATCCTATAGTTTTGTGATTTGATCAATTAGCCCCCTCTAGTGAGAAATCGAACTCAATACAAAAGGGAACTGTTTCGAATTTCGACTCTTGCCTCGGAAAGAGGTAAGCCATTTGTCGGAAAATTTTGACAAAACAAAAATTAGGTTCATGACCTAATATACAACCAAAGCCCAAAAGTAATTAAAAAAAAAACTATGGGCTTTATAGTTTCATTAATATCTATCATGTGTTCAGATTGGTCGGCAAAAATATAAAAAAAAACTCTGATGTGTTCATTTCGTTAATATAACGACAATTTCGGTACAACTTCTGATGACTACCTTAAATTTGTTAAATTTTCATTCAAACCAAAAAAATTGTTTTCGACCTTTTGGTTGTACATTATTTCCAATTTTACCAGGTCATAAACCGTACTCTTAAATTTAATGCGCAAAAATGTTCAAATGTATGATGAAGTAAAAATAAAAATCCTCATGAGTTTTTTCATGTAAAGCAAAGCAAAAAGGAGAAAGGTCTATCACTTGATTAAATCTCTAAGATATTGTTTCATCAATTAAAGAGATATAAAAATGTGAAATGATGAAACAGTTCGAATGGTTATCATTTATCAAACGCCACTAACTCAGTGAAATTATCATTGTTTCTTGTCACTGCCCGATTTCAAAATTTGAAATTAGCGAGTAGAACAAAAAGGAGAAAACGAAATCGAGTTTTAAGGAGGTTTGGTAACAAAGAAAGAAATGTTTAGTAAGAGAAGAAGAGGAACTATGAGACTTTGGGGGGCTCACGTGAGTTGTTGTTGACATATTGCGTCAGAGCAACAAAATTATAGTATTTCCAAAAGTCGCTAAGTCAATTATTACTGTAATAATAATGTCACCACTGTTTCTTATCTATATTGTCATTTTCTTCTCAGAAAATCAGAATTCAGGAATATTTGTCGGTCTTCGTTACGAAAACACAACTAATTAAGTTTTGATTTATGTTTCCTTACTTACCATCAGAAAATCATTGAGTGAAGTTTATTTTCTTAAGTAATCATCGAGTGAATTAGACAACGAATAATCGGAGATATATGGTTTGTATACTGATGAAAGCGAGGGCTAAAGAATAATAATAAAAAAAAAAAACTGACGATCAAAAGGGTCAACTAAGCATGTAAATTAATTTGAATTAAAGGTTACTAACTTACTATGGTCATTTAAAGATATAACCAATCTTAATGTTTACTTAAATACAATGAGTGTGTTATAAATGAACAAATAAACATAATCATAGTGACTTTCATGCGATTAATGATGAAAAGTTTGAACGTAACTCAAAGTCGTCTCATTGTATATTGATAACAAGTTACCGACCCATTTTGTATTTAATACTAATTCTTTCTTCCAAAAATATAGGCACATTAGTCTCAAACGGAATAGACATGGAAACTAACAGGATCACTCACGATAAAAAAGTTAGTTTTTATTAGAATTAAGTAAATTGCTTTTATTGTCATTAAACAGAGAGTTTGATGTATATGTGTACTAATAATCACATTCAACTATTTGTTCACGGGCTTCTTCTTCATCTTCATTTCTTACAGCTTTTCAACTCTGTATGCCCCTGTTTTCTTATTAGCTTTTTCAAAATGAAGTTAGTAAAGTTTTGATCAAAAGTACGACTTTTATTTCTTTTTTAAAAGAAAAATATGTCATATATGTTTTTGAAAACACGGGATAATATTGGTTAAAAATATATTTTTGTTTATTAATTGAAAAAAAAACAATTACATCTTCCAATAAATGTTGCGGGTGTGACCAAATTGACATTTGATTATTTGAGACAGTTGAGTTGGATGATCTCAAATTATACTAGTTATCAAATTAATATAAATATTTTATACTTTCTATATCATCATTTTTAATACGCTTTTAAATTTCAGAGACGATAAAATCAATCAAAATATATATTGATGTGAATTCTCATGGCCGATATGAATAGAATAATTATTTAAAAAACGAAAAAAATACAAGGCCACTACCTTCTCCTTAAACTCTTGAAGGTACACCTTTATTGATACGAATATTTGATTTGCTGCTGCTGGCTGTCGAAGACAGAGCCTTTTGAGATGTCGTTTACACTTCCTGCTAATGAACCTTTGTATTCTTATCAAATATCACCAAACTTTAATCTTTTTAATTTGGAACGTTGTAGAATTATACTCTATTTTAATTATTAATTCAGTGTACAAACTGTCCGTGCCGTGCTAGAACAGTTTCACAAACATAATTCATTTGCTTAAATGTCTACTGATCTCTAATTCCCATTTTTATACATTATCAAAACAGAGTGATGATAACAAGATCAAATAAGCTTGACCGTTTGATTAGAGCTATCAGCTATAGAAGTTGAAATTTTAAGCTATTCCTTCTTTATTAAAACAGAATTCAGAAAACAAGCTATGATGTGTCGAGTTTAGAATAAGTGAAGATTTTGTTTTTCTCGCTTAATAAGATTATAGCATGTACAAAATAAAATCAATAGTACTTCATTACAAGCCATTGTAGAATCAACGTGAATGTAAGTGGGTTTTTTTGGTTGCTACATGGATGTCACACACATGAGTTAATCTTTATATATTTGAAAACCGAGACCAGTCAACCGCTAGATTACTGAAGCGTCGAGTTACTCGAGTATATAAGTTAACATAATTTATTTGTTATTCGATACCGGTAGCTCAACTGGTGTACTAGCAACCAAAACAAACTAGCGATCAATTTTGTCCATAACGTTAAGAAACAATATTTATGTCTCACCAGTCGATAAACATGTGACTTTAATTAGTAATAATATCATATCAATTGCCGAATAGCACTGATTTTTTTTCTTTATTATCCATTACTAACTCTCTAGTAAAATGGAATGGGCAAAACAAGTTAGGTTTTCGTTATTAAAAGAGGAAACACGGTTGCGAACTGGCCGATCTTTTTGTGGCAGCAGGAATAATAGGTGAAAAGCAAAGAAAAATCATTCGGTTACAAATGACATAGAGCTTAAAATGTTATCTACAATAAGAGATTATGCCAATTTTATCAATCCTTTTTATATAAAAAGTTATTCCAAATACCGTCTATAAACCATCCTTACTGATGCTCAATTTCCACCTGTTTGGAACAATATTTTAAAATGCTTGCCTCCTACTTATTGGAACAGTTTTTCAAAACAAAAACTAAAAAGAATCACTCTCTCAATTTCGATAATATTTTTTTTTTTGTTTCAAACAAAATGCGACCGTATGTAGCCAATTGACACTTTAAAAATTATTCAATCTAATTAGAAACAACTTTTTACTATCTAATTTCACTTAAAATATATTATATCAATAACGGATATGATAAATGTTTTAATAACCTTCTTAGGTGTGAAATATCATAATTCATAACCCTATTACTTACTGGAGTTTTGCACATTACTTCAAAGGAGTATAACTGTAGTAAAATTTAATTAGTCCGATGTTTGCCTTTTGTTTTTTTTTTCTTTGTCGTTGTTTGTTGTTTCTTTAGAGAGGTTAAAGTGGTGGCATTTAATTTCTTTAAATGTCAAGTGTAATCTTAAATATGCGTATTTTTTTACTTAATAAACTAAAAATTAAGTAGTAAAAGTCAAGTGTAATCTTAAATATGCGTATTTACTACACCGGGGAGGCGGGGACAAAAGAGCTGGGAATTAAATCCGATTCATAGCACGAGAGATACCTGCCCAATCAACCTATTTATTAACCGTTTCATGTTTCCTATATATATAGGTGTTTAACAGTGTATCAGATATCAAAGGGATAAAAAAAAAGATATTTGTAGATTTCTTCCCCTTTCTAGTTTTAGTTTTTACCATCTTCATCTAAACAATGATGTTATATATTTTGATGCAAGACGATATTCATCAGAATTAGCGTGTATTTGAAACGACGTTCCCTTAAATATTGATGTAAGATGCAATTTTATTATGTTACACTTAACGACATAACACAACTGTTATGGAGTAATTGGAATTGCTCGGATTCGACATATTTGTTTAAAACCTAACAAGAAATATGTTTGTTGTTTTGTCAAAAAAAAAAAAACGTTTGTTGTAGACTTGTAGTCTTGTAGTATATAAGAAATGAATAATATGTTTGTTGCAGACTTATAGTAGACGTAAAAAAAAAAGAAAAGAATACATACATGTTTCTTGTACGAATAATAAGATTCATAAATTTCAAGCGGAAAAAGATAGATTGATGTGATCAATCTTATTGCTTTTACAAACTATTGAAAGTTCAACGAGTTTTAAGTAAAGACGAATCCTTGTAATAATGCCTGTTCCAACGGGCAGCTGTTAAAAACTCTTGACGCCGTTTGACCTCATTTTTCTTCTTCTTCCCTACTTTTTTAAAAATATTTTCTTTCTCATTCCTAGGTTTATTCATGTTCTTCCTCTTACAAGGATAAAATTAATAATATTAAATCAGTAATATTATTTTAAGAATTCACTTTTTTTTTCCTGTTGACAAACAATCTTTTTACTAGTTTAAGTAATCTAGCAATAAAATATTCAAGACGTGACCTTGACCGAGTAGTGTTAACGGCGTCAGCTCCCGTTATCTCATTCCCAAAATATATACAAGGGAATCTCTTTCTCTCTCTCACCATTCAATCACTTGCATTTTTTTCAAAATCTCCTTTTTCCCACTCTCTCTCTCTCTCTATCTCTCGCTTGAAGAACAAGCTTGGAATATTTGTTGCAACGGGCTAATAATCAATATCTTTCGCTAATAAAGAAGAAAAATAGAGATATCTTTGGGATTGATATCTCGAAATGGGAAAGAAAGAGCAGAAGGATCATTCGACAGTAGAGAGCAACGACAAAGTCGAAGCTGTTCTTCATCTCCTTCGTAAACATTCTCCTCTCACTCTTAAACAGGTTTGTTTACTAACTAATTATCTCACTGAACTTTCCATTAATCTAATAGATTTTATTTTTTTGATATTAAAGTTTTGATTTTAATTTGTTATTGTCGGGTTAATATATTGCAGGAGAAGTTCTGTAACAGAGCTTGTGTCGGTAGATTCTTGAGGACTAAAGGAGACAATGTGAAGAAAGCAGCTAAACAGTTAAGGTCTTGCCTTTCATGGAGATCTTCTCTTGGCATCGGTATAATCTCTCTCTTAAATTTTACATGTATCTGTATACATGTTTTAGATGTATATATATATATATGTATATGGATGCACGTATATTTGCAGCTTTATATCTATATATATATTCCTTGTATTTTTGTTCTTTACACGATATTCTTGTGTGCTAATATACACGTATTTTTTTATTCGTGTACGAACACGCGTATCGTACGTTACATTTTAAGCTTTATTCGATAAACGGACTAAAGTTTTAAAATAATCAAACGAAAGGATGATAGACTGGTTAGTGGTTATAGTTTTGATATTTGTATTTCTTTTGTGTAATTACAAAACAGACGTTTGTTTTTTCTTTGAAAGAAATTAGAAAGCAGACGTTTCGTTGCTTTTCTCGGGTTTTGATGTGTCCCATGTTTGAACATCGAGCGTTAAAGTGAATATCCACTCATTATGACACCCACTTATTTTTAACCTCTTCTATTTAATTTTTTCAAGATTCTGTTTTGCCTTTTTCTTTTTAAAATTATCATATATTATTATCTTATAATAATTACAGATAGCTTGATCGCCGATGAGTTCACGGCGGAGCTTGCTGAAGGTCTTGCTTACGTTGCTGGTCTTGACGACGAGTGTAGACCCGTTTTGGTAACTTAATGTTTCTCCCCTTTTTTTCTTCTTTCGATAAATTTCTTTATACAAACAAAAAACATATACATATTAATACTTTGTTTTCTCTGAAGGTTTTCCGCATTAAACAAGATTATCAGAAGTTACATACGCAGAAACAGTAAGTATAAATGACCCATACATAATATGATATTAAAACATATGAAGCAAATACAAAAACTTAATTTATAATTTCTTAAAATTTAAATAGGTTGATTCGTTTGGTGGTATTTACATTGGAGGTGGCAATCTCAACTATGTCAAGGAACGTCGAAGAGTTTGTCATCCTTTTCGATGCTAGTAAGTTCTGATGATCTTTTGCTATAGAAACTCCATTATCATTTTTTTATTAATATGGAAAAAAGGTTTTTTCAAAAGTGAAAATTTTCAAAATATAGGCAACTGTTGTTTATTTTGTCTTATTAACCTCAATGGAAATATTGTCACGGTGAGTGAAAACAAAACATAAAATGTCTATTTTACCAAAAGGGAGTTTGGTAAAAATAGGGGACCGGAATATGTCGGAACTCCGGCAGGAAAGTGGGAGAGATAACGATCTCTAAAAGTCCGTAGTGTCCCTGTTGAGTCACGGTCACACACTCTCAATTATTAAGGGTATTATTGGCATTTACTTATGTCAAGCTTCTACAGCAGTTGCAGTACTTCTCAACTCTGATAGTACCCCTTTAGCTTTTCATTAAATGTTCCTCTTTTGATCCTCTGCAACTCCTCAGTACAAATTCCTTTTCTTAATTTCATTTCGTCGTTTTTTTGTTCTCTTATTAATAGTAGCGATTTTTTTTATACGCTTGTTTTTCACATTTACGGTCAAGTGGTATTCACCTAAATTATTAGTCTTTATAACGACGAATTCAGTTATTTATTTTGTCCACCCGTAAATTAAATGATATGCAAATATTAATATCTCCCACGTTTTTGAAATCGCAGGCTTCTTCAAATCAGCATCAGCTTTCGTGAACATACTCGTGACTACACTCAAAATAGTTGCAGAGTATTATCCTTGTCGCCTTTTCAAAACATTCGTCATCGACCCTCCTTCTCTTTTCTCGTACCTTTGGAAGGTAATTAATTTGCCATATATTTCTTTTGGTGTAAGCATAATGCGATGGATTTTAATATAGTTGCAGATAATTTTATACAAATGTACATAATGCGATGAATTTTTAAACTCACAATATTTTTTTATAAATGATAGACAATTTGAATTTACTTATGCTCAAGTCAAAGTGTTAGTTCACCTATCTAAAGGTAGTATAACTCAAGACTTTTTGAGTTCAAGTCAGAAATACTAATCCTCTACGCTCACGTGTAGGGTGTTCGTGCATTCGTGGATCTATCAACGGCCACGATGATTGTATCGATGCTAGATTTCCAAGACTCGTTTGACTACGACGACTTCTCTTCTGCATACCCATCACGAGTCTCCTCCCTCCGATTCGACACGTCATCGATAAAATCAGCGGACAAGATCGGCTCTTGCGCATCCTCTAGGTTCGCCTTCACCGTATCCCGCGACGGTCTCGATACGGTCAAACCATGGTGCCTCACGCTGACCGACACGTCATCATCCAAACTAGGACCCACTGGCGCGTACATCTCACCGCTAAACGCGCGTTCTTTCTCCTTCGCGTCGCCGGCGGCTAGAAGCGAGCCGTTTGGTGGGCCCAGGAGGAGCTTTTTCGCTTCCACGCCGATGCCAGCTAGGACGACAGACCGTCACTCTATCGGTACCCTCCGTGACCCGCGGATACCCCGCCCGTCTTTCTTCCAATCGCCGGCGATTTTCTTCCGGCGAGAGTCACACGTCAGCAAAAGTGAGAAACCGCGAGATTCGTTTGTTCCTTTCCTCAAGTTCTATCGTAGACCGTACGATGAGATGACTTATAGGTCAAAGATGCGGCCCCCACTCGGTGGTCTCGTCTCTATTGTTTCTTCCCAGATTAGACGCCGCCACGTGTCTTTATCACAACGGTTCTAACTTATGAAAATCATCACCTCTTGAAGTTGAAGTAGTATATAACTTTTGTCATTTTGTCATGAAAGTTTTCCATTGTTGTTTGTTATTTCTATCATCACAGTTCGTCAGATGTATTTCTAATAATTTTGATCAATTGTTTATTTATTCAGCATTTTCTATTGGTTTGATTTCAAATGTGTAATGTGTTCCGCGATTTGATTAAGTAGTATACTTTGAAATTTGAATGATTTGTATCAAGTTAACTAGTTGAACTTTAACACCTTTAGTAGCTTTTTAATAGATGATAATTTAATTAATAATTACCATGGGCACATTTCGGGATAAGCATGCAAAAAAAAAAAGTCTTCGGGTTGGATAAATCTTTCTTTAAAAAAGTGGGGAAGAAAGAAGAAGAAAAGACAACGTGGTCGTGACGGAGAATGGGTCATCGGGAAAATTCAAACGAGAACATGCGATGTTGCTGTTTTTTCTTTATTTGTTAGAGGATTCATACAAGTACCTACATGTGACCCCATTATTTCCTAATCATAAAAATCAAAAAAAAAAAGCAAACCGTTGACAAAACAATTGATGACGATTGGGAAAATTAAAACACTTCTTATAGTAGTAAAAAAAAGGAAAAGAAAGTGTAAACAGTTAAAGTTGTTTCTTTTGTTTTAGCTAACAGACAAAGATATCTTTGAAGTTTTAAAATGCATTCACTCACCTCACCTACTTTAGTTATTTAGTCAGAGTTAATTCCAATGGAGGAGGACCTCGTAAAAAACTTTGAGCTATGAAAAAAAAGAAGCTTTGAGTACGTAATTTGTAGATACATACTTTTTTGTAGATATATACTTAAAAGATTTCTTTTTCTTTGTCAAAACAGTTTAAGTTTAACACAAAAGAAAAGACATACATAAGCCATGAGAATTATGGGTTTGACATTACCTTACTCAGCGAGTGTCAACAACATTTGTTAGGAGTATGTGTCAACTTAGTAAATATATAATGTTATAATTGATTGAAAAGGTCAAGGTGGACTTTCTTTTGTTTTATAGCGGTTGTGTGTATATGCATAGTCTTGCGTTAGAATATAAGGTTTATTGTTGTAAGCAAAATTATATTATTAATCTTAGTAAGAAATATTTTATATATGCATAGAGAAATGAGTTAATATGTCTTGGAGCAATTGTCGCCATTGCATCAAGGTTTATACAAAATCACATTTGTGAAGTGAGATGACGTAACTTGGGTTAGGCTTTTTCTATTTGGATTTACGTCTATAAATTTTATCCAAATATACTTTTATTTTGTCGATAAGGCCAATTAATTGGCCCTTTCTTGCATAATTTTCGGGGTAATTTTCTTTTTGTTTAACTGTTGATATCCGTGTCTTCTTCGCATGGGAAAAATAATTTAAAGACAGATGATCAGATTTTTTTGGTTACCCTCTCGACTTTTATTCTTTGTCGGTTTCTGCAGTAATGAGTTCTCATTTGTCCCTTTCGTTTGTTACTTTTTGTAGTAAAATTCGTCTTTTAAACGAAACTATAATTAAGTGAAGTTCTTAGCCAAAATTTTAAAAACTTAAGTAAATTTCTTAGCCATTATACAGGATTTTAGCTTTCGGACGAACCCTTTTTTTGGGTCGACATCACTACTATGTCATTGGTTAAATGTTGATTAACTTTATTTGTCTATGAGACAGAAGTGAGAATAATCTGCATCTGAAAATAAATGTCCAATGCTGGATCTTGCATCATCTAGAAACTTGGAATCCAAGTAATTTAAGGAACATTAAATTGCGACTTTATTAAGACCCTAGTTTCTTCTCGATTTAACAAGCTCATGGTCTTGGCAAATTCGAAAAAAATGAACTCTTTTGGATGCATCTTAATCTTCGTGTTGTTAGTTAATTTTATTTATTGACAACCAAAAAATCTTAAATTTAAGAGACTGTGAACTACACTAATCTTTATCTCCTACCTTAAGCGAGATTGTTAATAATTTTTTTGTGTGTATAAAATAATCCCAGTTCTGTTACTTTTACGTACGGTATTAATTACAATTGTTAAAAAAAAGTGAATTCATCATGATAACATCTAAAACCACCGTTAGATTCAGCTATAATCCATTGATAACTATTTGTACGTGGACCATACCGTATACGGTATATCGGTATATTCCATATCTGATCACTGATCAGAGTCAACTATATAACATACACCAAAATAAAAGTCAACAGATCAACCGTTCCAAATCTATGGGTACGTTTGGTTCATTTGTCTTATCCACGATCCATAAGGGTGATTCGATAACTTAGTAAGGAGTTTTTTTTAATGTAGAGGTTATAAAAACGAAAACGATTGCGTGACGTGAGAGCAGTATGGAAAAACTAACTATGGAAAAACTTGTGTAGAAAACTAGAATTTGTCTTAATTCCATATCCTTACTCTAGTTAGAACTTCCTTTCAACTTTCATTTTTTTTTCTACGTTTTTCTTTCTATCTGGACACATTTGTCTTGTTCTCAGATAAGAAGAAACATATGAACCACAATCATATGGAACTATGAAAAAAAAAAAACCAAAGTTAGAAAAGATAAATAAATTTCTTAACTACTTAGATCTCTTTGAGCTCAGCGACGACTTCTTGGTCAAGGCATCTAGTTCTTCTTCTTGCTGCTTTTTGAGGTATCTCTGTGCAGTTGCAGTCACAATCTGGCCGAAGAAATTCAAAAGCATCAGCCACACGACCCCATTCCACACCGATGCAAAAGAAAGATCCCATTTCTTGACCTGAATCAACAAAACAGTCATCCAAAAACCTCAAAATGCAGAACAATGCTAAAAGGTAATGGCCTAAGGAAAGAGATGAAAAAGTATGTTACATTGATATCAGAAGTTACTGGAGGCGAAGCAACCAAGTACTTGTCTTTCATTAAGCGGAGTTTTGCTGTGAGCTCAGGCAATGCGGAAGCAAAACCAGGCACAAAGCTCAGAATATATATCACCTCATTCTCTAGCCAGTCAAGAAGTTGATTATTACAGACGCATATGATAAAAACTGTCTGCAAAAGAAATAATATTGACTTTGAGATCAACCACTAAGGATGAGAGGGCAGTGACACAAAACAATAGTATTATGGAAACGCTCACACAAACCTGTATATGTGTCTTGATGATTGCTTTTCCAATCAACGTCGCAAGGAAAAACTCCCAAAAGGGTTTCTCGAATTGTCCACACATGATTCCAGCAAGGTCGAATAATGGGTTAGGAACCTGAATATAAGGCAGAATGCAATTTCGATAAGCGCATCATAGGTTTTATGGAATTTAAAAGAGATGCACAAATGTCGCTGTAAGCCTTGAAATGTTCAGAAGGCGCATCTAAAACGTACCGAAGCAAGAATCAGAATTGTGAAGAAGTTGAGGTATTGTGAGTGTGATAATAACCAGCCTTTGATCTGATCTACGCGTTTAGCAATGAATCCATTATCTTCACCAGAAGATGTTTCCAATTCTTTCATTTTGCCACCGGAAAGACTTGCTGCACAGAGCCAGAGCATTAGCAATTATTACTGTCTCTGTTCGATACAGCTCAAACTCAAGAAGCTCCTAAAACCGGATCCATAATATCTATGTTGACAATAAACTACAAACATCAAGTAAGTTTTGAGTTATCTTTGAGTTTCTTTTTTTTCAGATTGAATTTTTCACCTGCCCTTGAGATGAAGTAAGGAGGGAGTTCTCCTAAAGCTGTTCCTAAACCCCAAAGAATGGCTTCTATTTGAACCTGAGGCAATATGCTGCTAAGAGGAACTCCTGAAGAAAAAACTGGGGAGCCAAACTCGTGGCAAGGTTTATCAAGCCACGAAGGACTTTTCTTCAACTGAATTGTGTCATAAACAGCACTTTTCAGATCAACCCGCCCGCATGTCATTGCTTTTATGGTAAACAAAGCAATATGAGGACCCAAATAAAGAACAAATGTATGCAAACCAGATCCTGAAATCAGCAATCAAAGAGAAAAGAAGATCATGTTAGCATTCACCAAAACATTTCAGCATGTGATAAAAAAAAAACCGGAAATAAGAAACTGATACAGAATTGCCTCGTGAGTGTGAAAGATATTCTTACCAAGACCAATTGATGATGCAACACCTAAAAAAATCCACCACAGTCCAAACCTGACGTAGTCAGACAGTTCTTCAAGGTGCTGCACGTGGAAAGAATTACGAGATATTACCATTTTCTTCATCTAAATAGATAAAACTAAGGAAACTCATGACTTAAAGCTGCACACAGGAACAGTCTGAATCTGTTTACCTTGACATGTGGGCCATCTAAGGTCACAAGAATAGCTGAGAATGCCACAAGAATGGTACTAAAGAGCAAAAGCCAGCCAACATTTGCAAGAAGGTAGGAGGCAGATCTTCTAACATATAGAAAAACAGCAACAACAAAGAATGTAAATGTTTTGAATGGTTGTGAGGTCAATGTCAGTTTCTCTAGATCCTGTTGATGCTTTTGACGCAAACCTGCAAAAAAAAAAAACCCATAGAGCTAATTTAATCGCTAAAGGTTAAAGGAGCTACATATATCGTTTAAGACAAAACACTCAAACTCTATAAATCAAATCAAACACCAATTCACTTGTGTCTAATCATATCAATCGGATAATCAGGCGTATGCATCGATTAAAGACAATGTAGCAATTACAAAAGAAGGGAAAACAACTAAAAGTTTCAAATTTTAAAAGAAGGGCACCTGAGATGGCAGGATTTCTAGAAGAAGCACGTTTTCCAGAACCCATCTTTCTTTCGCATGCTACGAATCAATCAAACCCGAGGACTGATTATGCAACTGAGTCTGGTCTCTGATTCTACGAGATGTATGCGAAAGATAATCAGATGAGGATTGGTGAGAAGATGAACATTGATTTATTATTATTTTTTTTCCGATGGGTTTGGGAATTGGGTCGATCAGTCTCGATCTCGTTGAGAAAAAAAGTACATATCTTTGGCTTCTCCTATGTTAACGGTGTGCGACCAAAATCAGGTTCTCGTTTTGTTGGATGTGACGAAACAATCTGGGACGGGAAAACCGGTAATAGGTACATATCGCCGGTTTAATGGTTATTTGACAAACCGATTTCTAGAAGAGCAATCGAAGACCAAAATAGAGCAAAATTGATGGACTATAACCCACGAATTAGGCAACGCGCACTTGGTGCGAGTGGGATAACACGCTCTGACTTTTTGTTTTATTTTCCATTCGCACGAGAATATCACGTGACCTCTCTCTCTCTCCATCTTTTGTCAAACTCTCTGTTAAAGACAAGTCCAAGAGCGGCCCAAAGATTGGAATCGTGAATTCTGATCAAATTGATCCAGATTTTACGTTCAAAAGCTTAAAACCCTATAATTAATTAATTTTTTGACTTTGCCTTCTTCGAGGTCCAATTTTTTGCAGCTGTCTCTTCTTTCGACTTTCATCCAATTCCAAATGCAGCTCCTTCGACTTCGAGTATGAGCGACGGCCCTTAGCTTAAACCATTGTCGTTTCATGGGGGAGGAAAGAAATTACCATAGTTGAGATCTTCGGAAATTGATCGCTGGAGATTGTACGTTTTCTCTCTTCCTTCTCCTCCTCGGAATATATGGATTTCGTGTGCCTGATGTGCACTTTCTGCCTCACTGAGAAATGGAAGCTCGTTTTTTTTTTGTTTTAAACTAATAATTTTGTTCATTCGTTTGGATTTGGATATTTTCTTGGGTTAAAAAAAAATTAACATGTGTTTTGGATCACAATGCAGAATATCATATCACAGTTCGTCGTGTTTTAGATTGTGTATAATGTGTATCCGGAAGACTAATATTTGCCCTGAAACTTCAAAACATTTCATTTTCACCATTTCGTGGTTTAATTTTGAAGAAATTCATTATTGAGCTAATACGAAGCTTGATAGTGTCTATGATTTATTGGACAATGAAGCAAATTGTAAGCTAGTAGCCCTCTCAAGCTTTATGTGAACTGAACTATATGCCTTATTGAATAGCTTAAACAGTGTGAATTAGTGTATTATACTATTATGTGTGAGTGTGATTCTCTTCTATGTTTTGCATGTTGTTCGTATTCAAGTTTCCGATCTTATATCATGGACTCCATGGACACTGATACTCCTGATCAAAGTAACAGAGATGCACCGGTTCGCCTTCTGCTGAGGCCAGTGAGGCCAATGGAATCTGGTGTAGGTTTACCTTATGCTCCTGAAAATTGGCCTAAGCCCGGAGATATTTGGAGTTGGAAGGTAGGACCGAGAGTAGGCGGTAGAGGCACCTTTAAGGATAGGTACTTATATCCTCCTAAGCATCTCCCGGGTTTAGATACTGAAATGACGCGGAGAGGTAACGCCTTTAGGAGCAGGCTCTCACTTGAACGCTACATTCGTCGAGCCTTCCCTAAAGCAGATGTTCGCAAGTTCTTTGCTTCTTTCACCTGGACTATACCCAGTACAGATGGTCAGGTTCATTCAACTCTACATCTCTACACCTATGTTATATGCTATACTCAGAAGTCAGAATATATACAATTTCCAACAGGACTTTTTCCCCTCCCTTTCTTTATGGATGTTTTTTGGACATCCAGAACTCCTGTTATCTCTTATTGCTTGTATTTTGTTTCTACAATTTTTGAACTATATGAATCACTTTTTAACATTCTGAACGAAAAGCTGTTTTCTTGGCATTGTGATATTCTTTTCTGTTTGATAGGCATGAGTCAGAAGCAGTGTCTAGTGCCAGTGTATAGCTCAGATGAAGATCCAATGCATGAGAACGGTTTTGATAATGTGGTTTGTAAGGCTGGTAATGACAAATGCAGGAGCTTGATGCCACCAAGTGACACCAAACCTTTACCCGCAATGCCTTGTAACATTTGTTGTAGTGAACCTAGTTTCTGCTCTGATTGCTGTTGCATCCTTTGCTGCAAATCAATAAGCTTAGAGCATGAAGGTTATAGCTATGTCAAATGTGAAGCTGTGGTTTCCGAAGGTTATATATGTGGACATGTTGCTCATATTAACTGTGCTCTTCGAGCTTACGTGGCCGGAACCATTGGAGGTAGCATTGGGTTGGATGCTGAATACTACTGCAGGCGATGTGACGCCAGAAAGGACTTAGTTCCACATGTTAGCAGGTTCCTCGAAATATGTCAGACTGTAGAATATCAAGGCGACGTGGAAAAGATCTTGAATCTCGGTATTTGTATCCTGCGAGGCTCACGAAGAGACAATGCTAAGGAACTGCTGAATTGTATCGAATCAACGGTCATCAAGGTACGATGTACTGTGTAAGATGTAGAGTATTTACTGGATTTTCCTGAAACTTAAAAGCCTAATCTTTTGCAGCTTAAATGCGGCACGAGCTTGGAAAATCTTTGGAATGATGATGCACCAACCATATGGTCAGGTAATATCCCTCATCACACGATCTTTTGCTTTGTGATTGTGTGTGGAAGATGATTTAATGTTCATTATACCATGTCATCTTCGTTTTGGCTGTAGATTTCTCTGACATTGGAGAATCTAAAGGCAATGATACATTGCAAAGCCTACAAGACGTGACACCGATCGAGCCCATGCCATTCAATCATGAGGCTGAGATGCACAAACTCGAGGAAGAAATCCGTGACGTTCTAAAGGGGCTGAGAGGGGCTCAGGAATCTGAGTATCAAATTGCAGAAGCCAGACTTTATGCTCAAAAAGAATGTCTCGATGATCTGTATAGGCAACTTGAGAAGGAGAAGTCAGAGCTATCGAGGTGTGGATCAGGTACTGATGCAGATAGCTTGATGACTAATGTGGTGAAGAGACTGGATCAGATTAGAAGAGAAGTCACAAAGCTTAAGGAAATGGAAGAAGTAGCTAAGGGATTTGGCAGGACACCTAGAGGAATTCTTGAGGAGTACTTTCATCTAAACATCGAGGAGTAAAAATCTATTAAGCAAAGCAACAATTACAACTGTACATTCGTTATTACTTGTAACATTTGTCTGCTAAGTTCTTTTGAATTCTTCTTCGTGTATCAGAGTTTTGCCTGACCATTATTCACAATCACCTTGCTTACAGTTCATAGAAAGGTACCATGAAGATCTTAAAAGCTTCAGTAACCATATTCTTACTAAATAATCATTCATAAAATGGGATTCAAAATGACAATTTGGAATTGAATCTTGGAGCAGCTTACAGAAACCCAGAAAAACTCATCGTGATAATCATCGAGTAAACATGCATTATTCTTTCGTCTTGCCTATGCAAGTTCGTACTGAGGAGTATTATTAGTGGAAGCTTCACGGTTTTTAAGCCTTCTTTGTCTTCGAAGAGCTCTTTTCTGTTTGCGAGTTTGCGTTTTGCCTGAAGCCTTCAGATTAAGTGATGCAGCCTTCGCACCAGTTGACGAGCTCTCCGTTGGTTCTGAATCACCAAATACAAAGTCAAGAGCATCTTCTTCTTCCACCATTTCGCCACCCGAATTTCCCTGAAACCAAGATTTTCAATTATATTATTGGAAAACCGGTTCTTATCCAGACAGATGCCACTCATTTGCAGAGGTTTTTTGGAATTAACAACTAAGATACGATAGTACTCACAGAGCTGTTCTGGAGCACTGGTTCGGTCTTTGAAGCATCAGATCCATGTGAAGTGCTTCGACTGCGAGGGTTTGGTAAGCCATTGTAGGTTCTCTGAGGTTTGGCTTCATTTACATCATCATCATAAGAAGAGGCAATTTCTGTGAAAGTGCTTCGTCTACGCCAGTGCAATCGAGGTTTGTCTCCTTGATCACTGTAAATAGCTTCAGGGTAGAAATGCTTGCACATAAGCTGCCATCTCCAATCTTCACCTCTATTGGACCTGATTAAGCTGTAGTTTGGCAAAACGTCAGCAAAGTCAAGAACAGAAGAATCAAGCGCAGATATTGCATTATATAAAAAGATCCATCAAAGGTAAGAATCTGCTTGATGTTAAAGAAGAAATCAATAAGACCACAAGTCTCGAGATCGGATGCTTACACATTCACAAGCTCTTTCTGCATTCGAGTTGCATCTTGCCTAAGGATATGGTCAAGGCATGAAACTGCAGTTGTAGAGCTTGCCCGATCCCAAGCAAAAGCAAAAGCCGCCATAGCCGCTCCTGCGTGTCGATTTGAAACATTCAAAACAAAGTTGGTAATAAAACATGTAATCAAAGTCGAAAAACAAAGAGAGGTGGAGAAATCGTTATTCATTTCCAAAATACTCACCACCTGTAATAGAAAGCCTCATCATTTTCAACCGTTTCGCCACTGAAAGAAAGCACACAGAGACGCATCAAATCAGAAGAGGAAACGAAAGCTAACTCTTACAGATTTGGGTTAAGACTAAAATTTTCTCCTCATTTGGGAAAGCTAAACTCCACACTAAAGTAAGAAACTTGGTCACCCAATGAATCGATAGTTTACAGAGGAATACGAACCTTGCCAGCCTAAGCCTGCTCCTACACCAGACGCAAAACCAGCAGTCCACAAAAGTTTGAGATGGCACGAGACAATGACACTAGACTCTTCGGGAGTGATCTTCTCCTAAAAACAGGCAGGATAGAGTTAGTTTTCACACAAATTATCAACAATTAAATTCAGAGAATCAAACACATTTTTCAATCTTAGTGCCATTCCACATCTAGAAAAACAAAGAGCCAAATCGAACAAAAACAAGTAGCATCTATCGATTCTCAAACAGTTCATCCTGAAAAACTGATCCAACAGAGAAACAAATCAACTAATTAAACCTGTATCGATTCAGAAACAGTTTGGGAGGGGGAATCTCCGTGAAAAAAGAGTTAGTGCTCGGGATTATCAAGGGTTTAAATGAGAAAAATAGAATACCAGTACCTGCTCGGGTTTTGTCGCGAGGACGTAATAGAGATCATTCAAAGCAGTCAAAGCCATGGTCGCTCCTGAAGAATCAATTCCCAGAAACGAATCGAGAAGCAATTCTCTCTTCCTGAATCCTGATCAAAACTACTTACAATTCTGTACCCTTCTCTCTCTCATTACGTCGTAGATAGACAAGCACGCTCACTCCAGCGATCGCGAAAGTACCGGTACGGATCCGGTCTATTCGGTTTACTATATTGTTTCACGTTCTACCGAAAATTCCCAATTTGCTTGACATATCGAACCAAACTAAAATATTAAAACTGAAATTTATAAAACAAAAAAGTTGCAAAAATCGAATAACTGATATTTCATAAAATTTACATTTGAACCAGACCCAAATACATCGTGTCTCAGTATACAATATTTCTTTGCTGCCTGGGACATCATGTGTCTCAGTAGATTCGCACTTTAGTGAAAACAAACTCAGCCTCTCAGTCATTGAGCTATGGCTGTACTCAAGAATCTATGTGTTGGGATTTAGTTGCACAACTGTTGCATAATGGTGTGTTCTATGTAATATCTTATACTTTTTGAAAACCTTGAGTTTCTAGCTTCGAAAACATATGTCTACTCAGTTCATGTATAAAACTAATTTTCTAATGGGTACAAATTAATTAGAACCATATAAGTGCATCGATCGACATTGGTTTAACGAAACGTCAAACGCTATTAATGAATCCTTAGGACTTGTTCAATACACTTCACAAGTTCCTTCTATATTTGCAACAATTAGTAATATATCAAAACAATTTCATTGAACTGCTACTTCTATTCCATAAAGAGAACTAGTCATCGGGTAAACCAACCCAATGACTGTTAGCTAACAAACTCAACTCCAAAATGTTAATATTGTAGTACAATGGTTTCATGTGAATTGTTTTCTTCTTGATGTTTTTTTTCTTCTAAAAATGTAGAATTAGTTTTTTGGTCTGCGTATTATTATTGTTTTTTAAAAAGAAAATGAAGCCCTAAACATGATATTATTATATTAGTTCTCTCCGATCTGTTTTCATAAATTCTTAGTATAATCTTACCGGTTGCATTAACGTAAGTTTATACTTTTGATTGATCAAAATTTTTGTATTGCTATAAAACTTGTTTACCAAAAAACAAAAAATATACATATATTTTCCTTTTAGACTACGTATTTAAGTAAGTAACCTAATTTTCTGAATCTTTCTAGCAACTTTTTTGTTGTTAAAAGAAATCTTTGTCAACTTGAAAAAATTAATTTTCTTTCTTTTGGAAACGCCGACCAACCCAAATACTTAAAAGCACGTGGCTTCATCTATATCCCATTAATCTGAAGTACTGTGTTTAGTTGAACAAATTATGTAGTACTAAAGTGCCGATATTACTATCTTTGGCAAATAATTAGGAAACTAGATTCTGGTGACATTCAACATCTCGTTAATGTAATCACGCTACGGTCTAATCCTTTTCTTTATCGTCACGTCACAAACTCACAATTGATCTGATACAAACTTGAAGTACTTCCTAAAACAAATAATGGTTTTTGACTTTTGTGGTTATAACATTTTCTTCCTTTTTTGTTCAACCGGTTACGACATTTTGTTACCCTTTTTTTTAATCCCAAACACGGAGAAAATGGGTACATTAACTAAAACCCCTCAACTAGACAACTAGTAAAGTGACCCTGAGATTTCCAGCAAATAGTTTATGTTTGCTTTTTCTTTTCGACCAAAATAAGGTTTCGATTTTCCTACAACTGAATCATAATTTATGTTTGCTTATAACTACCATTAGTCATTACTGTATGTTGCCATAATAGTGTTATTGATTTAAATAAGTAAAATATATAATCAAATAATCTTAGGGGTTTTTTACGGTCGCCGAAATCATTAATCGGTTTTATAAAAAACAACAACAAAAAAGATTTCATGAAACACAGCACGTATGTCTTTATGACTTTCTTAGTTGTTGTTGATTTTAGAAAATCGTGCTGTGTTTAGTCTACAATTCAGTATACTATGATCTTAATATACGTGAATAGGCTTTGACATTTATGATAGTCTGTCCTTTGTTTAGTTAGAGAAGCAAACCTAAACTCAATTAAGAAAAAAAAAATGAAGAAGCAAACTCAAAAACTAGCTTTCTCTGGTAAAAGTTAGTTAAGGTAGTTGAGCATCAAAAGTCAAAATAAAAACCAACTTCACGAAATTACCTTAGTACCCTTTTCTCTCCACTATATATAATTCACACAGCATGATAGCAAATCATAACACCATAACCATATCATTTTCTACAAAACAATATACATTTCTTGAACAAAAAAAAAAGATTAAATTTCTCTAAACCTCTAGACACAAAATGCACCCCAAAATTTTCCTAATATCAGCTCTAATCTTCTCTCTACTTTCGAGTACTCCAATACTGATTATTGCTCAAATCAATACTCCATGTTCACCAAACATGCTATCTAGCGTTTCGGGGTGCATGGATTTTTTAACGGGAGGTGGTAATTCTCCGACCACAGGTTGTTGTGGGGCCCTTAAATCGTTAACCGGAACCGGTATGGACTGTTTGTGTCTGATTGTAACCGCAAATGTGCCGCTCAATATTCCTATAAACCGAACCCTAGCCATCTCTCTTCCTCGTGCATGTGGCATGCCTGGTGTCCCCGTTGAATGCAAAGGTATCTGTAATTTCATCTTTACAAAAAAAAAATTCGAGTCTCTTCTCTTATAATAAGAGACTTAGTTATTATTATTTTTTTTAACTTCTTATAAGTTATAAGTTATTATTATACGCAAAGGTGTCTAATTTCAATCGTTATTTTGTTTCTTTCTATTCTTTTTAACGTAAATATATTTGAAATTTCGCAGCTTCTGCAGCACCTCTTCCTGCTCCAGGTATATTTTTCGGATAGTTTTAACAAATTTATTTAGACTTTTATTGTTGCTTAATTAATATATAAATAAAAACAAAGTTCATTGGTCCATAACTCACAGGCCCTGCATCTCTCGGTCCGACAATTTCTCCTACAGATACGCAAGCTCCTGAAGGTAAAGCAAAAAAAATATATATTAAATACTTTCAAGTGTTTTCGTTCTAACTCTAAGTAAGATTTTTCGTGTAATTTGTAACTAATACTTTCAAGTTTATTGACATTGCGTAGATGGGTTGTTCCCGAACCGGCTCACATACTTTTTAATGTTTTTTTGTTGTGTGTGGTTAACATAAGCTCATTATTAATTAATATACACAACTCGCAGGCCCTGCTTATATCGTTCCGACTAGTTCGCCGCCAAGTTCAGAATCTCCTGATGGTAAAGCAAAAAAAATCTTAAATACTTGACATGTTTTTGTTCTAAGCATTTCCTCAAAATTTGTTACTAATATATTCAAGTTTATTGACATTAAGCAGACCAGGATTATTCCAAACCGGGCATCGGAGATAACCCGACGGAGTCAAATCCTTCAGCCTCGTTGCCTTCCTCTTCGCACTCTCTCAAGCTTTCGCTTCTTCTATTTGCTTTCGCTTTTGAGATTATCAGTTTCTTTTGATTAAAGACCAACTACATAATGTATATGATAAGATGTTCTTTATTTTCCTATTTATCTGATTCTTGTTAAATAATGTTTTAAAGTTATGTTTATTTGATGTTACCCATATCCTATCAATAAAGAGTTTCTACAGATTTATCGAAACCAAATTAAATGTGATGCATTTAAAAGGAGCCTCATCAAAAAGCCAAGAACCGAAAAGTTCATAAAATAGACAAAGAACATATGAACAAATTCAAAATAGCCTTTGTTCATTTACCAACATTATTTTCCCATAATCAGTTTATTTCTCCAATTTACTTACACCCCCATTCATCTACCTCTTCCGCTACAAAATCAGCTCTGCTTTCAAATTCACCACCATTCTTTATCTCTTCACCACCGTTGCCAATTTTACAACCATCAAAACATTCTTCTTTCTCCTTAGTCCCAACATTGTTGTTCCAACCATCAGACCATTCTTCTTTTTCATTGTTCTTCCAACCATCAGACCATTCTTCTTCTTCCTTGGTGCCACCATTGTTGTTCCACCCATCAGAACATTCTTCTTTTCCCTTAGTCCCATCACCATTATTGTTCCAACCATCAGACCATTCATCTTTTTCCTTTGTGCCACCACCATTGTTGTTCCAACTATCAGACCATTCATCTTTTTCCTTCGTGCCACCACCATTGTTGTTCCAACTATCAGACCATTCATCTTTCTCCTTCTCGCCGACATTGTTGACCTCGCCACTGTTGTTCCACGCGTCTGGAGCGTTGCTGCTTTCTTCTTGATAGAATGGTTCCTCCACAAACTCTTCCCGCTCTGGTAAACCGCATCCTTGGTAAGCATTGTTGTCTACACATCGCCACAAAAGCTTGTTCCAGTTCATGTCCTGTTTCATATAACAGTTTTATATTGGTTGAGAGGCTGGGAATAAAGACACTTCATTAAGTTTTTGCCCAGAAGAAGCTAGCGACAGGTACCTTGCATATGATATGTGGGTTTCCGATGATCACTAGCAGAGAGATTGCGCGGGTGATAGCGACATTAAACCTCCTCGGGTTACTCAAGAAGCCCAGACAATAGGCTCTATCAAACTCGTTGTGTTTGATTGTAGATCTCACCGTCGAGATAATGATCACTTGTTTCTCTTGCCCTTGGAATTGCTCCACGCTACCGACTTTTACTTCAGTCATATCTAACCTATCGAGAACCTCCTTGATCTTCATTACTTGCTGCCTGTAAGGAGTTATAACTCCGATATCCTCTTCTTGCACACAGTCATTCGCTGTCAGTCTCTTGATTGTTTCTATAACTTTGCTGATCTCTATACGGTTGAACCATGAAGGATTGTTACCTTCCCTCTCATCGCATCCTTGGATCCCATAGAAAACCATTGGAAATTCTTTGTTTGGAAGGAAGTTTAATGAAGCAAGAACAGAGTCTGTGTTTTCTTTGGAAGCTACCAGTTCTCCATCATAAAAAAGCTTTGACGGGAGATCAAGAATCTCTGGGTGGCATCTGTAGTTCTTGACTAGCTTTGTCACATAGTTTTCGTCCCCTTCGCAGTAATAATCGCACTCAAACAATCTTTCCAAGTATGATTTGCCCAAGCCAAGTGACTCAGCATCTCTTGAGTATATAACCGGACCCAACTGCCTTGGATCTCCAGCAAGCACAACAACAGTGTCTGGCAAGCAGAGATTTGATATCGCAATCATGTTTTCTGGCTCTGAAGCTTGACCAGCCTCATCTAAGAAAATATGAGTGAAGTGACCACGGTTTACACCTTCTGCATTAAGAAGGGATGCACTCATATATGTTGACACAACGATTTTGTAACGAGTCAAAGCTCTGAGAGGAGGGCATTTGAAAATCAACTCATCAAAGAAGCAAAAGCGGATAATCTCAGGTTTGATTTCTTCATAGGAACGAGTAGCTGCATTCAGCCTGAAAATCTCATTGTCCTTGATGCGAACTCCCTCCAGACAAAGGAGCTTCTCTAAAATATGATCAGCTGCACTATTGGAAGGAGCACAGACAAGAATCCGAGCATTTCTCTGAGTTGTATAGAGTTGAACTATCGCCTCCACTATCGTCATGGTTTTCCCAGTACCAGGAGGTCCATGGATCACATAAGGTGGTGCTCCTCTGCAGCCAAGAATCATTTCAATGGAACAAATCTGCTCTGCATTAAGAGCTGGTGAAATGGGCACGATGGGTTTTGTCTTTATCATCCTCTTCCCGGAGTTGAAGGATGGAAAAAGGAAGTTTGGATCTAAATTTTCTGCCGCATCAACAGCTTGATACAACCTTCTAGTATTGATTCGATTGTATGTGAACCTCACATTATAAACATTCCCAGTTGTATGGCGATGGTGGAACTCAGACGCAAACTTCAAATGCACTTCATCCGCCTCTACGCGGTGTACAAAGCCCTGTGAGAAAATTTGTTACCAATACTTTATCCTCCAGAAGATAGATGGTGAAACATATTTGTAGTTATGAGGCTGAAAGTGATCTGAAATTATGAAAAGGTAAATCAAGAACAAAACCTGATAAGCATGGCCAGTTCCATCATCATAGGCATGCCTTACAAGGATAAAGTCTCCGTGGACAAGGGAAGGTCTTCTCTCAGCAAGGCCAGGAACTTCGAGGGACAAATAGAGACCCCTTCTTCTCATCGAAACATTCTCCATATCATAAGCTCGCATATCTTCCTAAACCACCAAAAAATTACAAGTAACATGATTCAAGGCAAAATACAAGAGGGTCACTGAGGTGCTAAGTTCCTGCTTACTAACAAAAAATTTGAGACGATGAGAATACCTCGAGCTGTATTTCTTCCATAATAAGTAAAGTTTTGTAGTAGTTTGCATAGTTCTTTGCTGTTAGACCTTCTTCCAAATCACTTGGAATTTCCTTCATCTCGATCATCTCTCTAATCTCCTTTGGAATTTCATACCGAGGAAGCCTATTTATAAACCTACGTTCTACCACCTTCGAAGGGCGTGATCCCGTCACGTAAACGTCCATAGCAAAATCTTTCTTTGGAACTCTTTTACTTCTGGCGTAAGGCCGGTTAGAAGTAAGAGAACTCGATATCTTATCCTCAGCCAAAAGGAAAACAACCCGCTCAACCCTATCATCTCCCCAGTCAACAGTAACAACAGTGGTATGCAAACCGATGTCCTTGGGCTTACAAGAGACCCAAATAGTCAAAGTGTCACCAGGTTCAAGCATCCTGTCTTCAAGAGTAAAGGCTTCATAAAAACTCTGCATCTCTTTTATGTCCGAATCTTTAGAAGGCGGTTTCAGGATCGAAAGGGTAAAAGAATCTTCAGGATTCGATGCATAGATTTTGGTCCACAGATCAACAGGCTCATCTGTCGTGTTCTTGATAGTGAAGGAATCAAAAGAAGTCTCTCCAACAGTGATTGATTGAGGCTTTTCGTTCTTAAAAGGGAAAGGAACAGAAATAACGATTGGACCTTCATCAAATGGATTGTAGCAACCAGCAGATCCATCATTCTGATAATCTATAAAACCAATCTCTCCTTTGTCCGCAACCACAGAATACTCGTCATCCGACTTGTCTCCAATCACACTCATTATTGTTCACAAGAGAGTCTGAAACATATACAAAACATTTAGAAATTTACACAGTTACTCTCTGAGAAAACAAAATGACACATTTCTACCACACTTAATCTGTAATTATTTGGTACAAACATGCGCGAGAAACAAATGCTAGTGAGACTGATGACTGACAAAAACTCTCTCACAGACTAGCTTTTACTATTGCGATCACAACAACACGACACTAACTTCCTCCTAACCTAATTATCTAACCGCACATTGAAAAAGGTTTTCAAGCTTTCCGACAATCCGATGGGTAGCGAGAATTCAGAGCATAGTAAAACCCAGAAGCCCTAAACACCGAAACAAAATTGAGCATGAGAAAAAACGAATTTGAGAGAATTCTCAGGTTTAGATAGTACGTACTAAATCTGTAACAAATTTGCTGAGACTTGTTTGTTTCGATCACACCGAGAAATGGAGAAGCACTGAAGCCAAAGCAACGCAGGCTCCAAATGGAAACATGAATAGTGTGAGCGAAGACTGAAGAGTCGCACTCAGATTGCTAAATTTGGAATCAGTTTGGGCCTAAGAAGCACGTGGACTTGAAATTGGGCCCAATTTAATTTTTGCATATATATTATGGGCTTGCGAAGCATCAAAAGCTCAAGGGCTTCGATTATTAATACCCCGTATTTCCATGACAAAGCCAAACCTGACACGTGGCTCGACTCGTTATACACTAGGTGTATGTGTGTATACATATGTAAGATCGATTGGATTCTCCCTATTTCTTATTATCATAATATTGTTATTCCGTGATTTACGTTAAGGTTACATAAGTCAAGAAGTATGTGTAGTTGATCCAAGAGAACAAAAATTTTACGTGATTCTAGTTTTGTTCGCTATAGTTTGTGTAATTTTCTCATTTTTTCTAGTTATTTCCTATGCTGATCATTGCTTATGTTCTAAGAATTGATCATCTTTGGAGACGTAATAATTGGGCTCATGCATATAAAATAAAAGTGATCATACATGTTAATCCGCGTCGAAATTCTAAAAATCATTATTGTAACCTATAATTACAAAGATATAAAATCTACTGATTTAGATGATTGGCTTTAGCCTTTAGGTATAATTGAAAATACAGCGTCTTAAAGAAGGTTCATAGATGGTAAATATTTTTATTTTACGGAAAAATTTAAAGTTTACATGATGGTGTTACAAAATACATGTTTTATATATATATATATATGTATATGCAGTATATATTATTATATATCTTGAGGAGCTAAGGAGTAAACCTTAGATGCTATTATACTGATAGTCACTAGAATCAATTCAATCACTATGTAGCATAATGTTACTCGTTATGTGTGTTACCAAATAAAATTTCGTGGTAAGCCGTAAACCAAAAAGAAAGAAATTGGTACAAATTGCTAACTAGATGGGTAACAAGAGGAATCTAAATGGCATTGTAATTTTTCATTTTTGTTTATTTTCTGAGTGAAGTGACACTATGTTGCCTACCTTGAGTGTCTTTTCAGAGCCAATGGCTTTTGCTCTCGTAAAAAGAACAGAAAAAATCCCTAAACACACAATGAATCAAATAATAATTCAGCAAAAACAAAAAAATGTGGAATTGGTAAACATGATATAAGAGGCATGCTGTTTTGGTTAGTCTGCTAGCCTATCCTTTCCCACTTCTCAAAAGCCTATACCAATCAAATCAATGTTTCTTATGCAATCTTATTTTTAATTTTTATCTTTGCAATAAGCTTTGACCTTCTTTTACAAAAGAAACACACAATATATCCTTATAAAGATAAAATCATAGTTTTACTTATATTGACTCGTATAAATCACTAACCAAAATACATAGATGAATATAGATAGACCATAGATTTGTTCTAAAATAACTACTTTTGCTTTTCAACGAGGCTGGTTATAATGGATATATCACCTTTCAATTTAAGTGTATATTGATATAACATAAGCTAATTTACTTAAGTTTTGAATGCTGGGCATACTGTTGTAGTATATTGTTGTGTTAACTGTCGCCAAAATTGACTACTTATATTTTGTCGATCAGGGAATTTTTTATTCGATTATTAATGTTTTTTAGCAGTAATTCTCTCGGAGAAAACACAACTGATCATTGCCTGTGTAATTAATCATATGGCTCCAAATTTTATAAGAATCTTCATTTAATAAAATATTGACAAGCGTTGTTGTGAATGTGATCAACAAAAGCTGAAAGAAGACAAAGCATGAGGAAACAGGAAAAAGACAAAGCATGATTTACACAAAACACTCTCTTCACTTTCAGGCTCTCTTTTTTAGTTTTTTAATCATTCCCTTCTACATTAACTGGTCCAGTCTCTGTCTCTCACAGATAATACTTACTATTTTATAAAAGTTATATACACAAATCGAAATCTCGGTTTTTGAAAAAGTCCTTAACGAAAATTGTACCCCCTAAGAATCTTTGAATTTAGTGAAAACTACATGTCATCTGAATTTATCTTCAACCAATCTTATTTGATTCAAATGAATGTTGATTTTTTATATAATTTAATTGCGATATTTTTACATAAAACAAAATTTTAACTGGTTTGGAAATTAGATTCCTGTTTTTTAATTGTGTTTCACATCGGAATGGTTTAAGGCACTCTTTATCATTTTCTATTGTTACTAAAGCTAATAGTTCTTGAAATGAAAAAGAACTATTGAAATCTCTATTTTAAACTGCTTCCGATAGCGGTTGTGATTTGTGAACTTGTGTCTAAAATGTAAAACTGATAATTAGATAGAGCTTCGAAGTCTTCTTTTATTTTTTTTGGTAAACGATAGAGGTTCAAAATCGAGGTTATCAAGAAACCCATACTTTTTCAGTCCAACGATCATTACAAGACAGCGCACTTCACTTTTCCTTTTCGGCAATCTTCGTATAATAAAATAGAAATAATGTTTGTATAATAATTAATTAGCATATTACAGTATGATTATCGTGGGGACACACTACACTTAATAAAAAAAGAAAAGAAAACTCTGTTTTCCCTATTTGTGCTAAATCAAAAGAATGAAATTAAAAAAAAAAAAAACAAACGAACTTCCATTTGTTTACTTGGCAGTTTCTGATTGGGTTAGTTGATTGCCTGCACAAAGCACAACACAAGTTTCGTATAAGAAAAAGTATTTACATTACACAATTACTGAAAACAATGGTAATTAATCTCTAAGCAACAATAAGTTTCAATGATGATCAACGGTAATTGTTACCTTATAACGTTAATGTAAAATTCAAATCCACCAGAGTTAGCAAAAACCATCAATAGTATGAACCGGATAGACCACAGAACCGCCGGTATGTGAAAATTGGTTTAACCGAGGCCAAAATATAAAACAAAAGACACTTTCTACACGACTACACCTGCAAACCGGAATTTATACGATACGGTAAGTAACCGGGAACGGAAAATGTAAATAATAGAAAGTAATAATAATAATTTGACCAACCTGTTCACTTTGAGTTAAAGAGGCAATGGAATGTCTCCATCACTCTCAAAGATCCAAAAACACTTTTGTTCACCTGACAAAAGCAATTCCAATTCTACCATTAGCGAACAAAATTCATAATATGCAGGGTTCAAGAAAGTTTACATCTTTGTTGAATTATAAAAGACAAAGACTTGATAATATGCAGAGGACGACAACCTTATCAAGCTTTTAATGTTTGGGTTCCTTATCCTAATGCGGAGGCAAATCAATTGGTTTTATCATAAATGATATGAGAGAAGGCGTTGGCTCATTTCTTGGTTGATATTGCACCTTTGCACATAAATGCAGAGAATTATAGATTGGTCTCCACTCTCTATATAGACTTCCTCTATTTGCATCTTAGGACCACAGATACTTGTGGACTTACTTTAGTTTTGAACAGCTCATGTCACTGACACAGTGTCATTTTATCTATTTATGTCTCAATTTGATGTTGTTTGGTGACTTTTAATCTAAGAGATTCAGACATTTCATCAAAGTTTAAAACTTTAACCACCTTAGATGCAAAAGAAAAGAAAAGAAAAGTTACCGTGAAGAGCGGCAAAAATGAAAGATGTGTCTAGAAGAAGCTGAGCTCGGTGTATCCACGGGAATAAGGTAAGAGCTCTTCAGCTTGGACACGTGAAGTGGAGTAACTCGTAGTTCGCTTTAACCTATTATGAGCTGACTCAACCTCTGCACAGAAAATGCCGTAGACCGGTCTATGATCCGAGAACCGTGACTCTCCTCTTACATAAGATAATTGATGCAGTCCTTCACCGTACCACAATATTCTATCGCACCTTTATCAAAGAAAACCAAAGTCAGATAATAGATTCATATTAAAAGTTCTTGTTTTCTTTGCTGTTACATAGAGCGAACTTACCAAGCAGGAGTGCGACGTTTCTCCTTAGGATGCAAATCATCTCCAGAGTATCTATCTGAGTTCCTCGAGTACTTGTACGTTGGTGGGAAATAGATCTTTCCTTCGTTCCATCCTTTGAACACATGACCTCGTTTCTGCTCAATTCTTAACTGCAAGTAAACATTTTCACGAGTGTAAGAACTTCTTGAGCCTTCTTCAGACCATTCAGATCAAAGTACATATCTACAAACTTACCTGGTCGTTTTCTAGTAATGCTCTCCAGTTCTGCATCTCAACGAGCGCTTTAGCAGATCGGTAAGACAGTGCTATCCGGTAATTCAGATCTCCAAGCCATATTATCCGGCTGGTTAAAAAAGATATGATAAAATCGGATCAAAAGACTAGTAAAAATTAAAAACCAACAAACTGTTTCTTGAAGTCCAAGTTCAATCTAAGTATGAGAAGCAAGATCATTCATCTTACTCATGCTGAAGGATATTCTCAGGAGATTTTTCGTCTTCTGAGCTCTTGACGCGAGGAAACCTCGTTTTCTTGAGTATCTCCATGACATCGGAGTTTCTCTTTAGCTCATCACCTTCTTTTTGTCCCGAAGTCAAGTGAGTACACACGAAGCAAAAGCTTGTTTGATGGAGCAACATGCTTATTGAGATCGATCCCTACAAAAGACCCAAAGATATATTATTAGAAAAAAAAAAAGAAAAGTGGCAAACTACCTCACTCACAAAACAGAGCACTTTGTAATGAGGAACAATGTCTAACCTTATTCCCGAGGTAGCCCATTAATCCTCTGCCAACACAAGATACTTTCATGTTCTTGACGTGTTCCCTTAGCTCGCTTTTCACCCAAATGGTTAAGAAGACACCCACCATCTGTTTGCTAGCAACTAAACAATACTGCGAAGAGTTCCAAGGGATCCTATACCCGTTTTCGTTTGCTGCAGAACCTGGCGAGTACAAGACTGTGCTTGGAGAATCCCCAGTACCATTATCATCATCTGAAGACCTTGAGAAGTCGCTTGGCCGTGAATAATCACTCGGTCTAGAGTAGTAATCACTTGGTCTAGAGTAGTCACTAGGTCTTGAGTAATCACTAGGCCTCCTGGAGTAATCACTAGGCCTCCTGGAGTAATCACTAGGCCTTCTAGAGTAGTCACTAGGCCTGTGACTGCTGCTGCTACCACGGAAACTCGGGTCGAAATCACTTGGCCTGTGGCTGAAGAAGACACGGTCGCAGACGCTGAAACGGCGGTCAAGACTTGGCTGAGGAATTGAAGGATCGTTCCATGTACTACTTGGGGTCTGAAAAGACCGTCTGTGGAAGAAAGTCGAGTTCTTTTGCCTCGTGGATCCTGAGAAATCAGCATCAATCTCTGCAATGGGCACAGGGATAGGGGAAGGCGTGTGATAACCGCTGGTTCCGCTAGTTCCTGGTCGGTTATTGAGCGTTTTACGGATAAGAGAGAGCCATTTCTGTGCAGGTCCATTGTCTTCAGCTCCAAGGACATTACCAGCATTGAGAGGAACAATCTCTTGGAATCTGAAATTGGCCAAAAACGAGTAAACCAAAGATTGAGGAAAAGACTTAAAACGATATTCATCAAAAATGATGTCTTTTGAAACATACCCGAGCACGTATATATCTGCAGGAGCTGATGAATGAAGCCACTCGTCAAGGTTTAAGTCAGAAGGAGGAGATCGTCCAGCTACATTCCAGGTAGCAGTAAAGATGCTGCTCAAAGTAATTAACACGAGATTTTTAGTAGGAAATGGATCATAGTTATGACATTTTACATACATATTGTATGTGTATGTGTTTGTGTGTGTATATGTACCTGTAGTTTTGAACATCAATGATCCTAGGATTCTCATAATTCATTCTCCTTTGCCGAGCCTGCTGCTCCCAGTTCTTACTGAGCTTCTCTGTGAAACCCAGAAAACATCAGCCAAAACAGAGAATCTTTTAGTTTGATGTTGTCATTAAGGTGACTGATTTTACCAGTTTTGGTCTTCTTGAATGTGCAGGGAGCTTTCTCTGCCGAGAAGCTACTTCTGTGCTCTACTTCAACTCCTTTAATCAAATTTTCAGAAATAAATGAATTAAGATTATCTCAGAAGAGACAAAAAAAAAAAAACATAAAGACTCCAGGAAAAAAACAAGAACAAGTAAACAAAATTAGTTAAAGAAAGAAAAGAGAGAGACTTTACCAGCAGAAGCAGGATCATCTGCTTGAAACTCCTCTGTTTTGCTTTTTATATTAAACCATTTCCTGACCATCTTCTTGGTCCAGGCCAGCTTCATTTCAGGAATTCAAAAAAAAAAAGGATATTTTTGTCAAAACTAAAATTTCCATCAAAAAAAGAAAGTCACAGATTTAGAGAAGATACAGAAGAGTAGAAACCTTATTAGTCTTGGATTTGTCTTCTCTCATTGTTACTCCTTATTTTGCTTCTTTGCCGGTGTGTGTGTGGCTCTTTTTATTTTTTTTTCCTTTAACAGAAACTCAGGCCATCCATAAACAAAAATAAAGGGGAGATGTTTCCCTAATTACTCAAAAACACAGTAGAAATCGTGAAAAAAAAAAGGTTTGAGTTCTGTTTGAATCACTGCTACAAACGATGGAAGTAAACTAGAATTGGGGGTTTTCTCCCTCTGGACCAGACAGAGACTTAAACAAAAGTAAGCTAGAATATAGAATCTGGGTTTCTCCCTAAGAAATGAGTTTAGATTCGTAGTCTCTCTTTCTCTCACAGGGACAAAGCAATGAGCAAATGGTGGGCTTCTTCTTTTTGTTCTTGAGAGAAGGTTTTAATGGCGTTAGCGAAAAAGGAAATATGTAGAGAGAGAGAGAGAGGTACTTAAAATGAGAGAAAGTGTTGAAGAGACATCAATTCTTGAAGTAGACAGAGGCGAGACAATGAGGGCAGATTTTAGAGGGAGAAAGTAAAAGTGAATTCTATAGAGAGAGAGTCTTAAGCTTCCTTTTTTTGCTTGAGAGAGAGAGAGAGAGGTTAGTCCTCATTGAAACGGCAAAGTAAAAGCAGCGGATTTTGAATAAAACAAAGTGCAGAGAGACTATTTTAAGTCTTTGCTCTATTCTTTTTTTTTTTTTTGCTGAATTTTTTAGTAATTAGGTATTATTGAATGTGTAAATTTTTTGGCAACTTTCCATAACGAAATTTGAATATCTGCAACGTTTGTCTAATTCAAATATTTTAAAACGAAAATGCAAAAATTTTGAACCATCATATTTGTAGTTAGAGTTTTTTTTTTCATTGAGTCAGCTCAAAATAGTAATGTATTATGTTTTAGGTTTATTATAAAATTCAGTAATAGAAAACACGACGGATGATAATAATTCGAATGACTTCTAGTTATACAAAAAAATCTCTGTTTATAATTCAAAAATATCATAGAAGCAAAAATAAAATATGTGAAATAAAGTGATAAAAGTACTAAACAACCTTTAACTTAACTGAAAAACATTTGGAATGACATAATAAAATTATAGAAAAGATTAATGTAAATCATGATTCTACGGAAATCTATGATTAATATAAACATGCCGAGTGATTTTGTCAACCCTTGTACAAAAATTATCATCACATCTTGTATATTTTTTGAAAAAAAATGACAAAAGAAAAAGTCGATACGTTATAATCGTTTAGCCAATAAGATGTGTCAAATGCATGCCGTAAAGAAAAATATGTATCAAATGTCAGATCAAAATTTAATTGATTCTAAGATCTGATTAATTTAGAATAGTAAAATTTAAAACTTTACAAATTAATTGAGACATTATTGTTGGTGCAATGAATATATTTACAAGTGTATCGGAATGAACCAAAAGTAATAAGAAACTAGAGAGAATTTTGCAATTTTCCACATAGGTGCATGCGAAAGTTGTGTATTGATGTCGACTGATAAAGCACGAAAAAAGCATATGAAATTATAGGATCCAATTACCCACAAAGTTTTATACGCGCGAATATGCAAACTAAGATTACATAATAAGCAAACGAGTTATAGATGAGAAATACACTTTTTGGTTGGTTTAGTAGTATCGGTAAAGGATTTTAGTGGTATTCTTGTAATATATTTTTCCAAACTGTCAAGCTTAAAATCTAAAAAGAGAGCATTGACAAATCAGTTCAGTTGAACAGTTGTACTTATCATCTATTTGTACTCTTTCGTTTTTTTAAAAAAAAAATCTGATAAAAATTAAAATTATTTACATCTATAACCGATTTTCCATAAAACATATCTCTGGTACTCTTTTAATTAGTCAAAACCCCATTACTTAAATCCAAATTGTAATAAGAACGGATAATACAACTTATCCTACCATTAATTATTAAAAAAATTAAAATCATTGCAGTAAATATCATCTATTTTTTTTAAATTACTCTTTTTTGCAACACAATATTTAGCTACTTAACCTACGTTAACTAAAAAGAATAGTAGTCACTTATACTTGTAATAAAGTAGTATCATATATATATATATATATATTACGTAAAGTATCACATATTCTATTGAAGATTTTGGTCTATCAAGAAAGTAAAAAAGCAAAAACAAATAATACTATTTAAGACTAAAAAGAGAGAGGTAGTAGGAGAAAAAGAGAAAGAGATAAAGAGAGCTATGTGTCTTGTTCTATTTGTTATAGTTGCCATATCATCTCTCCCTTTCAATTTTTTTTTTCTATTTTACCTTTTTCCGCAATTTATCTTTAGTTTAATTTTAAGTTTATAGATTTCCTAAATTTTGGATGGTTATTTTATTTTAGATTTATTCTTTCCTTGTAGCACAAATGTTGGACACAAGATACTGTATTCAAGTCCACTCGCCCCTGATAGCAGGAGTTCTCCTTTTTCTGTATTTTTCTCGAGACTCTCATTTTTTCTTACTTGAATGTTTAATGAATAAATAACTGAATAAAAATTTTGTACCGACTTTTTTTGTATTTAATTTTATCTATATATAAAGTCATTAGATTAGACACTAGACATAAAAGATGCATGGCGGGAACATTGGCACCGTTATTATAGTAGCAAGTTAGAAGGTATTTCGGTCAAATTAAACTCAATGTTGGAAAACGTTAATTGTCGTTTTGCCAAATCTAAACCATACCTAGTGTGATGACATCCTATAAGATTCGTAACTAAGCTTTAGATCTATCGATAGACACATTTTTATATAGAAATTCCAGTTTTGAACATTAAGACCGTGCTATTAACTATATTGATATGAAATGATCCAATCTTGATTGTTGAAATCGCACAAAAACCTTGTTGTGTGGAAAATAACTAAGAAATTGATAGTGGCCTGACGGCGGAGAATTCCATGCTGGGGCAATGCAATGGCCCGTACGATTTGAAGTATCCGCTTAATCAATAGATTAAAATGTATTTTAAATTCTATTTTTTCATAAAATAAAATCTGCAAAAATTTATTATCAAATAATCCGCAATACTCTACAAATAAACAATACATCGAACACTCATGAATGCTAATCATGATTAGCATCTATACCATTAATTAGTTCGTTTTGCTAAGTGCTTTGCCCCATCAAGATACATCCATATTTGTTTATAGACAATGGGAAACGCAGTATCGAACAATATACGTCAACAATAACAATGTACTTTTGTCCAGAGACGTATAGATAGATGATTTTATATAATTGTCGAAAAAACAAGGACCATTATATTTCAATATATGAATTTAACCATTTTCGACATCGTTTGAGCTAGTACTCTTAAACACTAAATGGTCCATGTTTTTCAATTAGTTTTTATTGATTCTTAAACACATGTGATATATATTGACAAACACAATTATTTGCGTGTAGACTTATTAAGAAGCGGCTAGTAAATAGAGGAAGAAACAATATATAGTCATATACTTCTATTTACGTCGTCATTTATCTGAGCTTGTATGTGCAGATAGACTCGTTAATTAAGCAGAAAAAAAAACGATAAGACTTTTCTTTATTTTTGTGTAACCTATCTATTATATGAGTGGGCTCTGATTTTATTGGTATCTAATCAGCAGGAATATTATCATTAATCTGTCTCCACGAACTCGTAGATGACGTATACTTTCGCATTAGATGAACACCGCGCAATGCATTTTTTTCCTTTCTTTCAGAATTCAACACATTTGTCAAATATGTAAGTCTGTACTAAGAGGGGAAAGGCAAAACATTGTGAGCCAAATACCTCGATCGAAAGAGTACGATCGAGACTCGAGAGCATGCAACACATATTAATAAAGTCGTTCTATTAGTTTTTTTTTCCTGTAAAGAAATTTTCCACATCGGAAATTTGGGGTTCAACCATCAAACTATACAAACTACGCAAATATTCGTGTTACTAACAAAAAGAAATCACAATCATAAATGAAAACATTTGTTTTCTTTTTATATTCTATGTGCCAATTTGTTTAATGGGCGAATGAACAAGGGACATGACCAAGTGGTGTCAAATGGATGCGCATTTAAAATGTTAGTTTATATTTGTCATGTCCAATATAAAAGGGATATTTCTTAATTGGACAACGTTTTCTCTTACACTGTTGAGAAAGATAAGTTTCTTTACTTGATAAATGTGAATCCTAACACAGCGAAAAAGTGTATCATTTCACTAGTTGTCTTTGTGAAGAATGTATAAATGTATGATACAATTTACTGTATCATTTGTCGTTTGAATGTCCTATGTGATCATAAAAGAACTAGCAGTTTTGGGTTTTATGGTTAAAAAAGCATTCGTAGTTTCCGTTAGATAGGAAAGAGATCCCATCCTTGCTGCTGAGCTCGATCTAGATGTGGCTGCAAACTTGTATTATGGTTTCTAAGTTCATGCTTTGAAACCGGAAAAATCTTAGACCAACCGCAATTCAGATCAATTTTCTATAATATTTAAAACATTATATTACGTGATAGACTTATGTCTTTTGGTTCATTCTTATTATGTGGCACTCATATTCCACTCTCTTATAAGTTAGAATAGGCGAAAAACTTGAAAAAAAAAATCAACATGCATAAAAAACAAAGTTTGTTTTTTTTTTATATACTACTAGGGCTGATCCGCGCTTCGTGCGGAACTTTGTATTGTATTTGTTGATATATTTAAGAAAAACTATACGATATCAATTTTTTTCATTAGATTTTGTATTTCAAAATTTTATATTTATTTATAGTATTTAATAATTTTATATACAACATTTAGAAAATAATCAAATAATATATTAATTAAAACTTTAAATCAAATTTAGTTTGTAGATATCTTTATATTTATGCAGGTTTATGATTTTGAAATATATACAATTCTTAATTGTTGCATTCAGGAAAAAATATATGTAATAGACAATTAATTATTTAAAAATATCTCAATTCTCTAACATATTTTCAAATTCATAATCTCTTTTTTTTTCTACACCCATATCCCTCTCCATCTCTCTCTCTCTCTTTCTCCATCTCCCTCTCCCTCTCCCTCTCCCTCTCCTTTTCCCTCTCACTCTCCTTTTCCCTCTCACTCTCCTTTTCCCCCTCATGTTCTCTCTTTCATCAATGCAACATGTTGAACCACACACAACATATTAGACCGGTTGAAATTTCTATCTTTCTTAGGTTTTTTTTTTCTAGTCACTTTCAATATCACATCTCTAACCTGAGCTCTGTATATTTTTTTAAAAGAAACTTCACTCATTTTATGTTTCAAAGATTAGATTGATCATGTTAACATTTTGTGATACCATAATTTGTTTCACAAATATGCATTCTCACATCTCTATATTATTATTTAAGTAGTCATTTTAAAAATAATTTATATTTTGTAAATTATTACATGATATTCCATTACAAATAACAACAATAATTAAAATAGAAAATGATATTATTGTCACTCAAGCTTTTTGAAACTCGTACAAATATTCCTAACCCGTTAATATGTATTTTAATTATATAATATATTATTCTAATTTTCTTTAAATTTATGTCTTTTGTTATATTCTAGTGTTTCATATCAGTTTTAAAACGAATTTGGATATCTTTAGATATTAAAAAATTTGGACCGAGAATTTATTTCTCGGATTTGGCAAAACTGGATCCAAATCCGGCTATCTTAAAATTTTATGGTTTACTATACATATCTATAAATCATATAAATAAAGTAAATAATTTAAAATAATAATGACTAAATGCATTAATATATAAACTATTATTTATGAAGAGTGTCTTTTCATATCCTTGTTAAATTAATGGATGATAGTTACTATGAGAATTAAAGTATAATAACACAAAGTATAATAAATTATAAATTAATAAATGAATTAATGATGTGTTACAATTTTAGAGTTTGAGAAAATGATGTGGCATCACGAGAAGAGAGAACATTTTACTTTATATATACTAGGTGAATATCCGCACGTAACGTGCGGATTTATCTTTTTAAATTTTTCGATTTTTTTGTTATATTTTTATAAAAGTTAATATAATCATCACTTATTATTTACTTACTTGTTAATATTTTATTCTAATTTTTTTTTTAAATATTAATTTAAAATATATATTGAATATTATTTAACAATCTAAAATTATATTAAAATTAATACATATCATTCAATATTTTTAATTAGTTATATCATAAATTTTTGTTTGACATTTACACAAATATTAATTAATAGTCAATTAATAAAAAAAATTAAAATCTTAATCATCATTTTATTTACTACTTGTTAGTATTTTATTATAAATAATCTTAAAAATTAATTTTAACATCTTGAATATTATTAAATAATCAACAGTTATATAAAAATTAAATATATATCTATCAAGATTTTTAATTAGTTATAACATAAATTTTTGTTTAACATTAATATAAATGTTAGTTATACAATTTTTTTCATATTCTTTAAGTGCTTATATAAATGTTAGTTAATATAAATTTTTCATATTTTTTAAATGGTTTAAAATTTAATATTAAAATTTATTATTTAAAATTTAGTTGACAGGTGTCAACTTCTCCAATGCTGATGTGCAAGCATATGGAGAAAGTTGATTGTCTTTTATATATAAAAGATATAGATTCTACTTATATAGTACAATAATTGTTACGTTGGTCATCCAAGCATGAATTATTCGTTTGAATTAAACACACTTTACAATAAAGAGTTTTAACGGAAAATAACTATGTGCTTTAATTATATGAAATCAAAAACTATTTTCCATGCACCACCTAATATGTATTTAAAGTGGAAATAAACACATACTATTTGTATAAAAAAATAATCAAAATGTCCTATAGATACTGATATGCGTAAATTTCTTCCAACTATATAGTATAAATAAATCATGTGTCATAATCACTTTAGTTTTCTCATAGTATCTCTTTACTCTAATCTATAGTTTGATGGTACGTATAAAGTATAAACGCATAGTCATTATGCCAAAGACCGCTATAGATCCACACAATTATGATAATCAAGAAACGACATCCTTTAAAAATGTAGCAAGAGTCTTTTGATTAGTACTGAAGGGTTAACGAAACGAATGGGACAAAAGTAGATTGCATGGTTTCAGATGGTAATTACGTCTAATCACCAAAGCTCATTTCATTAAGAAGAAAAAAAACAACGATGGTCTTGCCTTTACATTCTCTTTTAAGTACAATCTTGTAAATTTCAAGATTTACCAGTCAGAGCAAAGATTCATTATATAAAATGATACTAGTATATAATATACTTAAGAATTAAATCGTATAGGCATCTGTGTTTTTCTTTTGCTTTTATTGTGGGGAGGCCCATTTTTTCTTTATGTTTGCTTGTAGGCTTTGTAATACTCGTTTGTAACTTGGAGTCGGGTCACATAGCTGTCGGGTCACATAGCTAGCATTTTCAGAAAGCTATAAAATTAAATGATGGATATTATTTTGGATAATGTTTACTAATTCTCCAGTAAACGAATATACATATATACATATATGTTGAAAAGTGAGTATCGTATTGCAAGCATCGATGTTGATGATAAATCGATGATCATGATGAGAAGGTAATTTTGTAGTTTCGTAGTCGAAATGATAAATGGGCATAAACCCGTTGGGTCGGTAAGAGAGGTTGATTTTCAACATTAGACCAATTTTAATTTTTCTTTGACAAGCCGGTTTGATTAACCAGTCCGATATGTTTTATCGGTCCGGTTTGAGTCCAAACTCCTAAATTCATGTCCGGCGATACGAAGACCACGACCATGGAGACATTACTTTCATTTAAAAAAAAAAAAAATTAAATCGTCACTCCATACTGCAGGAAACAGAGATTTTATTAGAAGACAAAAATCGTGTAGTAAATGTCTTACTGCGTCTAATTTTATTTTCTGATGTGATTTCCCCACTTGTATTTGATTCAAAATAAATCCTTGTGTTTATGAAAAATAGAGATTTGTTTTTCAAATTTAAATGAAAGAACTCGAATCATCGTTTTATTAACCAATTCTCAAGATTTTAAACGTTAATTTGGAGTATTGAAAAAGTTAGGACACTAGCATTTAATTTCATTTATCATTAATTATCAATGAAAATATGATAAATACTTGAATGAATAATATCAGCATGAATGTCTCCATAACCTGTAAAAATAACAAACTATCAATGTTATGACCCTAAACTATCAATGTTATAACCTAGAAATGTTAGAACTAAGAACTAGCAATCTCATCCATCAAACTTACCAACAGTAGACAAGGTGACAGAAGCAAAGTAAACAGATACTATATATCTGTGTGCAATCCCTAGTTCTGTGAGATTTTTATCTCTGATTTGAATTTGGGACAACCAGGTGTGATTTACTTCTGGAACTCCATCTGAAGTGGTGGCAAGTTGATAGAAGAAACACCCAGAGATATGAATGGAGAATAGGTGGATAGAGATCACCTTTAGAAAGCTGATCAAAGGGTAATCTAGCCAACTCTCAAGCCTCTCGAAGAGCTCTTTTACCCTCAGAGCCCGGACAATCTTAAACCACACACCATACTTCGACTACAGAAATACATAGACAAATTAGTAAACTAGCTAAAATCACACAATGTATTGCTCTACAATCTTTCTAGATATAAGTTTTACATAAGAGGGTATCAAACATTTGAAACACCGTACTGCTTTCACATGAGTGATTAGCCCTTCTGGTGTAGGAGATTTTTTACAATGTCTACAACACCAGGACCAACAGAGAAAACAGACATTTAGAGCGATACATTGTAAAATCTAAAATACTCAAACTTCTTATTCAACTGTTTGTGTTGTCTATCTACCATACACAAAACTGAGACTCCACAAAGGTGAGTTGAGTTTCTTGTAAATTTCTATAACGCCAACAACAGAGAAAACAGACATTTCAAGAATCTCCCATACTCAAACTTCTTATTCGACTGTTTGTGTTGTCTATCTAACATACACAAAACGCCAAACTCCACAAAGGTGACTTTAGTTTCTTGTAAATGTCTACAACGCCAAGACCAACAGAGAAAACAGACATTTAGAGCGATACATTGTAAAATCTAATATACTCAAACTTCTTATTCGACTGTTTGTGTTGTCTATCTACCATACACAAAACTGAGACTCAACAAAAGTGAGTTTAGTTTCTTGTAAATTTCTACAACGCCAAGACCAACAGAGAAAGCCAAAAAATTTAAAGCAATTCATTGTCAAATCTCCTATACTCAAACTTCTTATTCTGACTGTTGGTGTTGTCTATCTACCATAGACACAATTGAGAGTCCAAAGAGATGAGCTTAGTTTGAGAACATACCTGGAGACCTGGCATATAAGCTAGATTTTCTAAGAACATCCTAGGATTACTGAGGACCCTATAAACACCAAGAGATGATATCCGTATAAAATCCATATAAATCCAAGTATGAGTAATGATGATTAAATAGGGATTCGAGAGTCGAGACAGACGTGGCGGGAATTCGGGAGATACTGATGCGTTTCATGGCTCTCAAGACCCCTATCCATTGACGCAGAACATCAAAAAAGAACAATGCTTCAATCGGCCAGAGAACCCATCTTGATAAATCTCTAACTTCGAAAGCACCTTTCAGAGGACTCATCACCGAGGAGTGAATAGCCAATATGGCGAGGATACTGCATTACCTGCTTTTCTGATTGTTAGTAGCGACGTGAGGGATTCGATCACTGGATGTGGCAGTAGGATAAGCAGGTTGATTAATTGCCTCCGGATCGGAATTTCCACGGCGACGGCGTGTGTTTTGGTTCACCATATTCCTGGTGAAGAAGACGTACGGAAGAGATAGAGAAATTCAGGTTTGAGAAAGAAAAAAATTGACTATAAGCAAATAGCTGGAATTTCTCCTCTTTTTTACTTATTAATTTTACATTAGTGAGCATTTTTTCTTTCTCCGAAATATAAGAGTTCATAAAATAAATATATAAATATAACTGCATTTTTTCTTTCTCCGAAATATAAGAGTTCATAAAATAAATATATAAATGTATACCAAGGCACTAAAGTTCATAAGCATTTTTTTTCAGTTTATAAACTTTAGTTACTCAATTTGTAAAAATTCATGAATCATCCAAAAAAAAGGAAAAAATTCGATAATTGCTCAAATAAATCTTCTTATATTTCTAATGTATAACTTTGATATCCCCCAATCCAATTTCCCACTTTTTGTTTTTTTTGTTCTTTGGTTTTGTTATTTCTGCATTTTAGATTTGCAATAGTCGATTGAATGATTATATTTTTTGCGGAAATTATTGTTTTCTTGAATTTTTATAACACTAATTATATAACATGTTACCATTTGAGTAAATTAAATGGGTCATGAGTCACTCATTTTTTTTATTTGACCTATGACCCATTAACATTCAACCTATAAGGGCCATGGGTGACCAATTTTGACACCTCTACTTGGAGATTTAATAGTCTAAACTCTAAAGAAACTACAATGAGTAAATTAAACGATGCAGTTGAACTAAGAAACAACACCTATCGTACTTTACCTTTCAGAGCATCTTTCCCAGAAGCTCGAAACCAATCTTATGAGAAAGGTGCCTATATACTCTGTAGTACTGGAAAAGTACTCCCTGTCTCTTCTCCGACCGGATTTCATGGATACTTGGGTCTCAAAAAATTTCCTAAGCAAAAATTTACATAATTTAACAATGCACACAATAATAATAATTACGAGGAAACATCGATCTTATGTTGTTACTACAAAATTAGCATGCTGTAGCTCGAACGTCATATCACAGACTAATTAAAAGCAAAACCGTTCTGCGATTCCAGTTGGTTTAATTTGCAATCGTTGCAGTTTAAACTAAAGAGTTATTTTGTAATTTCATAAAAGGCAACTTAGTTCAACTGCATCGTTTCCGTTGTCCATAACCGTAAGCAAAAAAAAGATCTCATTGTTCTCTCCTCCAGTGGAGATTTCAAAGAGTGTAAACAGACATAACATGTTGGTGGAAAAATGAATTAGTTATCCAATGAATCAAACTCATCTTCAAGAGAGATTATAATTGCATCTGAGGATTTTGGTGAGTTTGCCAAAACAGGTTATGTAAAAAAAAAACAGAATTTGTTCAACTCGTTTGATTTAACAAAGAAATAATGTAGGGAGAAGACTAGGGTATTATCCAACCTAATTTAAACCGGCAATAAGATCTTTCTCATAAAAAGATCAAGTAGTAATGGCTTTTACCTTTTCAATGTAGGACTGTTGCAAGTTTTCAATATCTTCGTCAGATCCCTCAACTTATTAGCTTCTTCAGTAAACAATTCCAAACTTTACGACCATGCTTCCCTGAATCGAGGAGAAACAGAGAAGTTAGAGAGAAATAAAACCGAAATCTGGATTACAGTGTGTTAGTGGGAAAAAAAAAAAACTAATCTGCTCTTCTTAGTTGACTAGTATATCCCAGCAAAAATAAGATTAGCCTAGATCAATGTACATAGATACATCTATGATATATAGATAGAACTCACAGATGGGTGCTGCTGGGAGACGCAAAAGAACGGCATGTAGGACAACAAGATCTCCTGAAAAGCCATTTATCAATGCAATAACGGTGGAATCTATGCATACAATATGGTAGCCCTACCACACAAACATAACATCTTTCCATATACTCGAGGCAGATAGGGCAACGTTCTTCTTCTTCTTCTTCTTCTTCGTCTTCTTCTAACTCTTCTTCTTCTTGTTTCCCCAGAAATCTTCTCAATCTTCTCAGCTTCTTACATACATCAATGTACAACAATTCGGCGATCCGAAGGGTGAAGAAGCCGAAAAGGAGGCCAGTAAATAGGTAGACAGGCCAGGGAAAAATAATTCGATCGGGATCTGGATCTTTCACGGGATACCAACCCGCGTATAAGAAAGATACCGACAAAAATCCCGTACATATCAAGGAGTAAGTGCCTGCAACTATCAATTCAAAATAAGAATATTCTTCCCTGGATAATCTCCATCTGCATCGACGACAAAGAGGATCCATTCTATTAAGAACCAAACTCGAACTACTCCAAGTCTGGTTTTCTCTGTTATCAAATCCCTTGATATCCGACCCCCTTTTTTTTTTTTGTGGCTCAAAGCTCTATCCATTTGTTTTCGTTGAAAAATGTTTATAATAACCTCATTATCTCCGTTTAATTAGCAATATATAAATTTATATATGGTTGCCGGCTTGCCGCTATCCGTGCTTTAATTTTTTATGTATTTAGTATTTAGTTATTTTGCCAATACGCTCAAGTGTCCCTTTTATATTGAAATTATGTGTGACATTTTTATGGGTATATATTTTTTAATTTATAAGTTTATTTTTATTTTATTGAGGTATTTCACAATTTTGAATCTGTTGTTTCTGTTCGTCGCCGTATCCGTATCTGTGCACATTGGATAGTCCTTTACTCTCTCGGTCTCCAGCATTATCTTTGTCTGAGTTTTGACTTTGAGTTTATATAATATATATACTCGATCCGATTTTGATGATTTCCATTCTTAAAAACGATTATACACCAATCTTTGCAGTCCAAGGATCATCAAGCAAACCTATTGTTAGCGAAAGTCAAATCTTTGTCAAAGTCAAATCTCACCTTTTCCGTATTTCCAATTTTATGACGTGGCCACTGTTTATTGCTGCCGACGATGGCTCAAGCCATCCTCCTTTATTTTTATGGGTCCCATTTATTCTCTTCTCTCCCTCTTCAGAATATATACTAATCTCTAGTTCACTGAGAGACTAAACTTTTTAACTGGTACCATTAGGTTTGGACATTCGGATATTCGGTTCGGTTTTGGTTCGAAACCAATCAATTCCGGATATTTCGGGTAGAGAAGGTTAGGATCCATCAGGTATTTTTATAAATTTCGGTTCGAGTTTGATATTTTTATTTTGGTTCGGTTCCGATTCGGATAATCAGATCCGGATCTTTTTCTTCAAATTTTTAATTCGACTCACACTTTTTTAATAGAAATTATATCCAAAAATTCAAAAATATATATATCAAAACTTAAAAATATATCCAAAAGTCCCAAAAGTAAAGAAAATATATCTGTAAAACCAGAAACATATACGAAATATCAAAAATATCAAAAAATAACTAATATTTAGAAGGATATATAATTATACTTTGAATAATTCGGATACCCAATTGGTTTTTGGTTCGATATTAGTTCAGTTCTGGTTCTTCGGGTATAAGAGTTTAAGATCCATCAGATATTTTTAAAAATTTTGGTTCAAATTCGATATTTCTATTTTAGTTTAGTTTCGGTTCGGATATTCAGATCCGGATTATTTTCCCAGAACCTTTAATTTAATTAAATGAAATCAAACCTTTTTTAGTTTTTTTAAAGAAAGAAATCTTAGAAACTAGTACTTATAATTCTGATTCGGTTTAGCTCGCGAAAGTGAATCTGGTGTTGTACAAAAACAGTACGGACATTGCAAACTCGAAATCCGGCGAGAAAAATGGGGTTCATAGTCGGCCTTGTAATTGGACTCTCCGTCGGAATCACTATCATCATCGCCTTTGTCAAGGCGGAGAATTATCGATCCAAGCTTCGATCTGAACTTGTGAGCCTCCCCACTCTCTTCTTTCTCCTTTGAACGAATTGCTTTCCCGATTTGTCACTACTCTTTAATTCGGGATTCGTCTCTTTATCAGGCCAATACGGTGGCTGCCTTCGCCAGGATGACCGTGGAGGATTCGAGGAAGCTTTTGCCTCCTGAGTTTTATCCTTCCTGGGTCGTCTTCTCCGAGCGTCAGAAGTTAAGTTACCAATTTCCAAATTTGGTCATACTCGCCGATTGTTTTTGGTTTTCATATATCTGCATCACGGGACTGATCGCACTTGCTTGCCATTCTATTTACTTCAGTTGACTTGGCTAAACCATCACTTGACAAAAATCTGGCCTTATGTTGATGAGGTATGTTAGCGTCCTACTCTCGATTTGTTTGTTTTTGTCAAAGATCATTGAGTGAGAGAGGTGTGATTTGTGTTGTGGATGATGATATTGTTTCAAATGATGGAGGTTTTCTTCGCCTGCTTTTTTTTTTCTCAATCGGAGTTTAGGCAGCCTCTGAGCTTATAAAGGCATCCGTGGAGCCTGTTCTCGAGCAATATAGACCTGCCATTGTGGCTTCCTTAACATTTTCTAAGCTTACCCTCGGTACCGTGGCGCCTCAATTTACAGGTTAGCTTAGTTCATTCCTCTTTCGAAAATGTAACTTTGTGGTGTGATGTACCAGAACTTGTGCAATTTAATATTGTTGATTTGGCGGTGAACTTTTCCGTTTATTTGCGTCCATCCCGAGCTCGTATTCTTAGTTGAGATTGTTCTTGTTTTTACGCATCTCCACTTTATAACCTATATGATTGTGAATAAAAGAATGAGAAAGTGGTTTAAATCCGACTGCAAAAATTAATTGTCAGGCCGCAGTTCCTTCTTTACATTTCTGTGGATTGTGTGTTTAAAATTTGCAAAAGGAGGAGCCATAATCTCAATCTAACATTGTGCTGTTGCTTAAGAATTTATGAGCCTGCTTGTTGTCCTTGGTGCTCTTTAGGTGTTTCCATTATCGAAGGTGATAAAAATGGGGTGACCATGGAGCTTGATATGAATTGGGATGGAAATCCAAATATAGTACTTGGTATCAAGACCTTAGTTGGTGTATCTCTTCCAGTTCAGGTACAGGACATATACCTCATGCCTGCCTTCGATTCCTTATTTTTATAGACTTTATATTTCTTGTTAGTTTCTCTCTATTGCAGAACCCGTCAAGGAAATACTGATATTTAATATATTTAGCTTTTCTAGGTTGGTCAATGATAAGCTGACTACAACTAATTTCTTATTGTCTGTTTTCTAGGTGAAAAATATTGGATTCACTGGTGTTTTCAGGCTGATTTTTAGGCCACTGGTTGATGAGTTTCCTTGCTTTGGAGCTGTCAGTGTTTCTCTTAGAGAAAAGGTTGGTGCCCTCTGAAAAGGTTAATGTTGTTGCATCCTTGCCTGCGCATACACGGATGTGTGCTTGATTGGTTTGATTAAAGGAGGCCGTGTTGACACAAAATCTTCCACTTGCAATATGTCTCCTGTTTAGCTAATAAAATCCAATTCTGTGTTGCAGAAAAAATTGGACTTCACCCTTAAGGTTGTTGGAGGTGATATTTCAGCAATTCCTGGACTCTCCGAAGCTATTGAGGTTTGGCCTACTGTTTTTGTTTCCCTGCTCTTGTCCACCTTTTTCTCATAGTACCATATTAGCATTCATTTGTTACTACATGAACACATTTTCAACTAGTGTCAGGACAGTCACTCTTTATCCGACTATCTTCTTTTCTTGTCACTGCGAAATCCTTATGTCATTCTGGAGTTTGAGAGAAAGGAACGATGAGGGTGGTAGTCTTTATTTAACTATGAAATGCATGTGTTCGAGAATCGACAGGGCGTTCTGCTAATTACATTGTCCTATTAAGCTTCTTATTTTGTTTACAATAATAGGTGGAACCATATGTGTTTATCTTACAACTTGCTAAACAGGTTGGCAGTTTCAAATAACAGTTTCATAGAAATAACAGCTCTAGCTCTTATAACACATGAAACCTTGTTCATCTCCAATATTTTTGTGAAATCATGGTCTACATTCCTAGTTCTCTTTTCCCCTTCCATCTCATTTTCTTATTCAGGCTCCACGGAATTCTAGTGATGCAATGCTCTAATCTTTAGATGCCCCTTTATTGTCCTGGAGCATTTGACGCTTACCAGTAAATTGATATGTAACAGGAAACAATACGGGATGCCGTGGAAGATTCAATCACATGGCCTGTTCGGAAGGTCATCCCAATTATACCTGGTGATTACAGGTACACCTCAGGTTATATACATGAAGCTGAACCATTGACGTAATGTTTATGGTGTTTGTAGAGGGTTTAAGCCCTTGCTTCAGTGGATTTCTATTAGTGGTTTTTTATGTTTCTTTTCGCAGCGATCTGGAGCTTAAGCCTGTTGGAATGTTGGAGGTGAAGCTTGTGCAAGCGAAGAACTTGACCAACAAAGATCTAGTTGGAAAATCAGACCCCTTTGCTAAAATGTTTATACGCCCTTTGCGAGAAAAGACTAAAAGAAGCAAGACAATTGTAAGTAGTCCATTTGATTTATTGATTTATTTATTTATTTGGTGCTAAACCTGACAGAATGATCTGATTTATATTTATTCTTATCAGAACAATGACCTGAACCCCATCTGGAATGAGCATTTTGAATTTGTTGTCGAAGACGCTTCAACTCAACATTTAGTGGTCAGAATATATGATGACGAGGGTGTACAGGCATCTGAGCTTATTGGTTGTGCGCAAGTCCGGCTTTGTGAACTTGAACCTGGTAAAGTGAAAGACGTCTGGTTAAAGCTAGTCAAAGATTTAGAGATCCAGAGAGATAACAAGAACCGTGGAGAGGTCAGATCAGCTATAAAATTCCTCAGATTAGATTGTCATAACCTAGAAATGCTATGATTTTGTAACTGTAGATGACTACTGAATACACGTTCTTGTTGATTCTCTGTAATTTAGGTTCACCTTGAGCTTCTATATGTCCCTTTCGGTAAAGGGAACGGCATCGTGAATCCATTTGCCTCGTCATCGATGACCTCTTTAGAAAGGGTGCTCAAGAATGATACGACAGACGAAGAAAATACAACATCGCGTAGAAGAAAAGATATCATCGTAAGAGGAGTGCTTTCTGTGACAGTGATATCTGCAGAAGAGATTCCAATACAAGATCTGATGGGGAAAGCTGATCCGTATGTCGTTCTCTCGATGAAGAAATCAGGTGCTAAGAGCAAAACTCGGGTAAGATCTCTCAACTAGGCATCAAGAGTTAGCCAAGTTAGTGGTTTTTTCATCCTCCTCGTCACTAACTAATTGCAATCTTGCTTCATCAGGTTGTCAATGACAGCTTGAACCCGGTTTGGAACCAGACTTTTGATTTTGTAGTTGAAGACGGGTTACACGATATGCTAGTCCTTGAAGTCTGGGACCATGACACCTTTGGAAAGGTATAACCAAACCGCGACACACTGTTACATAACAATCTTTATTCCGCTGCATCGAATTAGATGCCTGTTCTTTCTCGCTTGGTTTACTGTTATTTGTGGTAGCAATAAAAGTTGTGGCTTTACTTTCTGTGCAGGACTACATTGGGAGATGCATCTTGACGTTGACAAGGGTTATAATGGAGGAGGAATACAAAGACTGGTTTCCGTTAGACGAATCCAAAACGGGCAAGCTTCAGTTGCATCTCAAGTGGATGGCTCAATCAATATATCGTGATTCCTAACTCCTAAGTTACATATTTGGAGGGTTCTCAACTTCGAATGTACATTTTGTTTAGTAGCCTCAAACGGAGTTGTTTTATGAAACGGATGCGAGTCTGCGTGTAGCCCTCTATGGACTTGGAATACCACGCTCCCTTGTTGTGAACTGAAAATGCTAGTCAATAATTTTGTTACTTGCATCAGAAGTAAACAGGACCCCACTCCAAAATTCGGATATCATAAGGGTTTTGCAAGCAAGCACACATAAACCTTACCTTTTTTTTTTTAGTCAATTTAGCTTTTGTGTAAGCTTATGAAAGTCTACACGTATCACACTATATTTGATTAGCTATATCTTCATAAGCTTCTAAAAGTCTTGACACATCTTTACTAATCTGACAACACATTTTTTTACTAGTTCTTGTATATATCTCAACTTGAAGCCAACTACGCCACGCACACTCGGTGACATCTTCAGTGTTTTCCACGTGTCATTGTCCATGCACATGCCCACTTCAGGTTATTTAGAGCAGACCCATGAGTATAGTGTCTTCTTCACTTGCCGCTTAGACTTAACAATAATCAGACTGAATTTGGAGAGAGAAAGAGAATCAATTGGTCCAATGGAGAAGGCAGTCCATTTGTCGACGAAAGCTGGACCGGAGGTTCCAGGAGAGCCAACTAAGACTGGAACCTCCATGGTTGACACCGCCGCAGCAGCCGTACAAAGCTTTGCTCCGGTTAACCAAATCCACCAACATCTCTGCGCGTACGCTTCTGAAATCCATAAAATTGATATATCCTTCTTTACACCACGTTTTTTTTAAAAAAAATATATCAAATCTTACCAGTTCTTGTATTTTACGATAACATTGATAAGAAAAAACTGTTGTTCTAATACATATATATTCAGATCAAAACATTTGTTTATTATTTACTTTTAAGCGTGTACTTTTGGTCATTTACCAACAAGATTTATATTGTTATTTTACCTTTTCATACTAAGCGGTTTCTTTTCATGGTTTTAAAATATCAAAACAAAAGTTTCTAATACAAATATATAAACCAAACGTTTATAAGAATACGGATATATTCGAGTTTATGTATGTGAACGAGAGAAAAAATAATGTTTTTAAGTTGTCATTTTTGTTTGTTTGTTTTTTAAAAAAATTATAAGCGAATATTTATCTGTGAACACATTTTTGGATTAGTGCACATGCATGAATGATGAAACTTGACTCGTTGATATGAGTTTATGTGAATCGGTAGATTTTGATCTATATCTATGAGATGTTCGTTTGCGTTTGTAGGTTCCATTTTTATGCATATGACATGACCCGACAAGTGGAGGCACACCATTTCTGCGGTCACATCAATGAGGACATGCGCCAGTGTCTTATCTACGACGGTCCTGATTCCGACGCTCGTCTGATCGGTTTGGAGTACATTGTGTCAGAGAAGCTCTTTATGACATTGCCTGATGATGAGAAAAAGCTTTGGCACACTCACGAGTGGGAAGTTAAAGGAGGCTTCTTGTTCATGCCTGGTGTTCCCGAACCAATTCAACGCCAAGATCTCGAAAAAGTTGCCAAGACTTATGGAAAAGTTTACCATTTTTGGCAAGTTGATTTGGGGCATGAGCTCCCCATTGGTTTGCCTAATATCATGATGGCCGTTACTCGTGACGGTCAGCTTTACCCCGAGATGGTCAAAGGTAAATTTGTTCTTTTTATCTTATTGGTTTAGTTACTTAGTAGTGTTTGTCTAGTGGTTAAGCTTAGGATGCTTACCTCGGATTAGCTTGGGACCTAAGATAACTATGTAAGGAACATATTACTCATTTCTATAGGTCAATCCACTGCAATGATCCGAGTCATCTATTAAACTTAACAAATTATGAGTGATTGGTTTGATGAGTGGTTGCAGAGACGGAGAAGCGATTTGGAGTATCGGTAGAGAAGGAGAGAGAGGCAAGGGCATATATGAAGGGACCAGACCATGGGATACATCCGTTGGCAAATGGAGGAGGCAAAGGGCTGAAGTTGGAGGTGCGAGAGGTTGACATCAAGCCGGTCGAGTCCGTTCCAAGAGTCTTTGTTTGAGTTGAGTTGAGCTGTAAGAGAGGAATAGATACAATAATCGATCGAGCTTTGCTTTTGTTGTACCCCTCGATCATGTGTATAACTTGTAAAAGGTAGGTACTCGAAATAGTAAATGGCGTCAAATAGCTTTTACTTGTGTCTCCTTCAAATCTTTGTTTGTATACTTCTTGTAACGTATAATGTGTTCCCATATAATGTGTTCCCATATAATGTGTTCGTCACTTCGGATCATATTTCTGTTTAAATAATCCACAAAGGCATATTATGTTCTTACCTTTGTTCGATTTTTCTTATGCTATTCATCGTCCCGTTGGATGAATAGCATGAGACATCTTTTTTTAAGATCATTATTTAAGTGGGATTAGAACATGATCTTCGGGTACAACCTTAGAGAAAAGAAGGATAATACTATGACCAAATGGAACTACAAAATTTGTTGAATAATTATGATAAACAAAATAAATTTAAGAAAAACTATGATAAACAAAAACCTCAGTGAAAGAAAACAAAAGCAGAGTCTTGTCATGTGTGTGTATAACAAAACTAAGACACTGAGACATTTTGGGTGAGCGATGGCTGCATCTTCTTTATCTGTATTTGGTCTCAGACTTCGCTCAATCTGTAATAAAGTTTTATGGCGAAGTGCTTAAAATGACAAATACTAAAAAGCAAACCTACAATGAAGAGTGTGTGTGAGAAAGAGAGAGAGAGAAAGAGAGACCTCTGATGTTGTCAAGATTGAACAGCCAATTTCTGAAGATGTTGGAAGAAGACTTGAAGACTAACATCATCCGTGAATATTATATCAGAACCTGCATTCATCTCGCTCGCGTTGTTGTATGTTGCTGACGGATTTAGCTTCGCTAACAAAAACCTTGCCTGTACATTTTTCCCAAATGTTTTACTCAAAGTCAACAAACACTAGCAACCCGATTGTTCCATCATAATAAAAGCACTAAAAATTCAACTAGAAATTCTGAGATGAAAGAGTAAAAACACTAACCTGTGATCCATGTTGATCACATACAACTAATCTCGGTACAGGGAAACGTTCACGGATGATCATCTGAGCATCTTCTTGAGGGGCTTCCAAAAGTTGTGCAAATGCCTTTAACCAAAAAAGAAAAAGAGGAGATAAAATGAAACATGTAAGGATGACACCAGTGTCCCTTCAATTAAATTCCATGGTCAATTGCAACTTGCATAGCTATTACCTGGTGCTCAGGTTGATCTTGATAGCCCATGTTGCGCCACTGCGCTATGGTCATCCCATGGAAAATGACAACACTAATGTAAGAATCCAACAAGAGGATACGATCTGCAGCGATGGAAGCAACATCCAACAATGCAGGTTGTGGTATTGAGTTAAACGAATATGTTGTTAGAGATGGCTGAATCATAACGGCTGCGTTTGAAATATTTTCTCGGTTCAATAGCATGCGGTTGTAGGCAGTTTCATCTGGACTATTGTTGAACACCTGCCAATATCACCATAGGAAATAAAAAAGACATTACGGATTGGCGTACCAGTTCTTACATAGATACATTTACAGCTTCTCCTATTTCACACTTACCTGTACAAACTGTGAACGTCGGAGATTAAATGTAAACTGAGGGAATAGTGAAAAGTTTGGATTTAGGGTGAATGAGGCAGGATCATCCTTCCGGTAATCACCAAATTTAGAACAAAGACGGATAAGGTTACGGTCCAGCCATCGCGTAGCATCAAATCCCTCCTGAGAAAAACATAATTGACAGCAATTATTAAGTTTAACAACCAAAGACAAAGACTGGGTTAAACAATGGTGAAGAGGGTTCCCAAATATAAATAATGAAAATTCATACATATACGATAGATAAGAATTGGCAAAAATGCAAATCAGCAGAAGTCACTAAGGATTGAGACTAAAGAATCTAAGTATGAAAGTGCCTGAATCTAATAATTACCTCTGTTTCCATTTTCAAGGAAGCTAATCTGGCCACCACAACTGCAGCAGTTTCTTGATCAAAACCTTGCACCAATTCCTGAAGATATTACACACCTCATTAGCATCCATTTCCACATAGAAAGAATTAAATATGTAGGTTAGAAAGACCATAAGAGTATGAACGAAATGAAAAGCCAAAACCAGAATAAGAGGACAACGATGCACACCATAAGTAAGCGCTGAGAAGGTAAACATAACGAAATGTGGGTGCATACTCTAGAAATCTAAACTAACTAGACATTAACTTAGAAAACTGTTTTCTCCAAGTTGATGACGTCACAGTTGTAACTGAAGCACTAGTGTTAATAAACAAGGAAATGATGTGCCCACTGTCCACATCCACTCAGCCATGGTACCAGGAAGATATGAAAACAAAAGAAAAGGATAATTCTTGCCATCTAAAGACTGTTCAAATCCTCACACTGACCATTTATATAGCTAAAGAGACTAACGAGTGTTTCTAGGAGGCCAATGCATCAAAGACAAAAAGATGAAATGCATTGGACCAGGATATATTTGACCTTTCTTAGGGCAAGGAAACACATCGGAATACTAATTTTAGAAACCCATAATGAAGTAGCGGTATCAAAGAATTCCCAGAAAATAATGCGGAAAAGTACTAACCTCAGTGCTAATAGCAGTATCTACCCACTGTCGGGTAACAGTAGTAACTCGAAGCAATGTTTTACCTTCTGGATTTTGGTAGCTGCAATCATATTTTTAATCAAATTTCTATCACCTGGTCTCAAACCCGGAATTGGATGAGGAGGATACCTTGTCATAAACTGGATATATAGCTGGGAATTTACGCCTCCAGGATTACTTGATTGATCACTAGAAGAAAGATCAAAGAAGACAGTCAAACAAGTACTTTTGTCGAGGCCACACATCTTCCATACTGTAGTATTTCCCTCTCCAATAACTGTATCAGCAACGCTAGGGCCTTTCTGCAATTGTTCCCCAAAAGCATTACTATTAAATTATCTACCATAATTTAAAGACAAAAAGATAAACTTCCCCGTATGGGTCGCTTCAACCTTTTGCAATGACGCACAAGGTCCAATAATCCCTTGGATTTTTATGTCCTTCGAACAGTTGATCTCAAGTGTACCACTGAAATGATAGTTTGAAAATGAGTGAGAATGCCACTAGCCGAAGATGTGTTTGATGCAAACACAAGTGGCAAATATTAAGCTAAGAAAATTTGGATTAACATGCATGCACAAATGAACTAGCAAGAATAACATCCGCAGCTCACTTGAAACAAAGGCCAAGAGACTGTTCGCCATCTTCAAATACTCGCTTAAAGGAATCCTTGAATACAGAATGGCCAAAACTTTCTGATAAAACAACAAGTCCTCCAGTTCGTTCAACCGCAGCTTTCATTTCAGCAACACCAACCTAATTTTCAAAGCACAGAACACATAATTATGATCCAGTTTAAAGTAGAGCTGAAAAGAATTCCATGTATGTGAGTAAAGTTAGAGTAAACAGCAAAGAACTAAATCAAAACAATCCTCTTCTTCAAGCTACAAAGTTCACTGCAACTTGCAATTGGGAGGAACTGTTGTACACCATATTTTCTCCATGCGGTGTTACCTTAACATGATCATAACATAATGAAGTACCTGATCAAGTGCGGATGCAAAAAGGTCCAGTACATGTCCTTGGTTAACCAATTGGTTTGCGAGGCCATCATAAAATTTCTCCGCTTTCTTGTAGAACGGAGCTGCATCTTTATCGAGGTCTTTATGTGAACGCAAAGGTTCTGATAGATCCTTTGACACGATCTGCAGAAACCAGAGGTATTACTAACTTAAAGGAAGAATTTTGTCTCAAGAAGCCACATAAGTATCAACTGTGGTGCTCTTCTCCTAAACACTTTAATGACCATTATTCTTGCAAGATATACGGTCAGGTTATATGGAACTTGCAGCCCAATAGACTTGTGATGCCCATTTCAACTAGCTTGCAACATATCTAGCTTCATTCTATCTAGGCTACATGAGGCATCTGATGCTCAGTCAAATCTAAACAACAAAACTATCATGGCCAACTGTCACCAACGCCATTTCAACAGGTTCACAGATGAAATACACCAGATATTGAACAATTCCATAGTTAATAAGCCAGAGTTTCTCCTCATTTCCTCTAGCAAATTGTTACATCAACTCTAGAAAGAAGGGCAAAAAACAAATGGAGTTACCGTGCCTGGTCCCTCAGAACATGGTCCTCCAATTAGAGCAACGATTCTAGCCCCAGTTCCAGGGAAACAAGCTCCAAGCAGTCCAGTGGCCACACTCAAAGCCACTCCCGTGCACCGCGACTGACGACGTCCAGGATGGACAGGCCACTGATCCGTCTGTAGCTCATCCAACAGCTACACTCCAAAACAAGGCAAAAGTTCATCGTCAACTTTGACAAGATTGAGCAATAAGAATTTTGATCAGAAGAAGAAGAAAAGTATAAACTATATCAAACTCCAACCAGATACTGGAAGAACAAAAAAACTGACAAAACCCACCGAATCAATCGTGAATTCACACTCGGATGCTGGCAACAAGAATCTATTAACACCCGAATTTCCGGGATTGTCTCTCCCCATCGGAAACCCACCGACCGGGGTTCGCCTCCCAGAAGCACCGAGCCCTAACTGCTCCAAAATATGATCCTTGGAGATCTCCTTGTCTCCCCTGAAGACATAGACTTTGGTCAAATCAGAAAACCCTAACTCATGGACATGCGCCTGCGTCCCAAAAGAGACGAACCCAACCAGGGCATTCTCCGGAAGCAAGCCGATCGCCTGCTTGAGCGCAGATTTGGCGTATCCAAACTCCTCCTCGATCATGCACGTATCCAGAACAAAAACGAAAACCGACGGCGATGGCTGGCCGGCGACGGCACCGCTCTGATCAAAATTCCCGGCACCAGTGGGCTGGGAAGGGCTGGGCATAGTGTATTCGACGGTAGTGCACTGCGGATAGAGCTCGCAAGGGAGATTGGTCTCGGAGATGCCGTGGTAGTGAGGAGGGAAGTGGTTCCGCTGGAAACAGATTGGGCAGATCCAGATCTTGGCCGTGAAATCAACACGAGCAAAAGGGTTGAGAGCGGCGGAGCAAGTGCGGCAACGGAGAGGAGCATAAGGAACGGATTGGATATCACGGTGGTAACGGATCGGAGAGATACAAGCAGCGACAGGGATCACACACTTGCTTGCTTCAACCTTGTTCCGAGGCCAGACGTTCCACGTCATACGGACTCCGTCGATTCCTTCCGGATCCATACTCGCCATCTCCGACATGGTTTAACAGATGGAGAAGTAATTCACCCGAAAATTGAGAAGAAAAAAGGCGTCTTCACAACAGGATTGAGCTCTGAGAATCAAAAATTGATCCTCGGATTCTGAATTTCTGCTGTACAGAGATATTTGGAAGCAGAGATCGTAACTCTCGAAAGGGATCTTCTCTAATGGGATGTTTATCAGCTACAGTCGTCTTATGGAGTTAGCCTAGGTTTAATACACTAATCACCCATTTTAGAAACCGTGAATGATTCTGTTTTATTTTAATTTTTTGGGCAATTGTTTCGTCGCGCGTTTTGTAACATTGACCAAATTCCTGTATTTAGCACAAATCATTTATGCAATGGTTTCGTGCCATGTGGCAATTTATTCAGAATAAAGAAAAATTGGATTAATTTTTGTGAAAAAGAAAATGAGCTAAACTCAGTCTCCATATTTTTTTTTTTTTTGCTAAGTCACTAGAAGTCTAGAAGTATCAAGTGTGTGATTACTTCGTTAAATGAAATAGTTGCATTGGTGCTTCTTTTTTCCCATGATTTGTCTTTGGAATTAAATTGAAAAATTTCCCCATTAAAATCACTATAATCCACTGAACTTTAAAATACAGTTATAGTCATATCATATACTCATATAGATGAGTGCTACAACATCATTTTTTATATATGAGTATTGGGCCGTGAACCAACATATCCCAACTACCAAATTACATGCACCAGAAACTACACGTGTAGAACACACAAAAAAATCAGTTTATATATGCAGGATTTATATATAAAATCATCATGGTTATATATTGTTGCTTGCTTTCCACGTTATCTACAATTACAAGTTAGAAACTGTTTAACTTTCATATATCTATCATCTATGTTATTTTTTGGGTTAAAGATATCATCTATGTTATGATTATTTGCACAAGTTCGAAACGATTATACAGGAACGTGAGACATATCTCTTATCGTCTGAAAGACGAAAATTTGCCACTACGTTGATGTTGTATGTTTGCGTTCAAAAGTTTTAATTTGTTTTGGCAATGTTATCCCTATTTATTGTATTTAGAAAAAGTATGATAAAATCTTAGATTATTTATATGAAGTAGGTGAAAACTATTAAATAAAACGGATTAGTGAATAATAAAAACGGCAAACGAAAGCACTAGTGCTCGGGAAAATTAAATAAATTTCTCAGTTTTGCCAACGTAAAGGACCGAAACACTATCTCAAGCGCATCAGTGACGTGCTGCCTTTTATCAACTCAATTACAAACACAACATAAATTAGTAGACGCAGAGAAAGTGGAGTCGATCACACTAGCAAGATAGATGTAATTTTCACTCAAAAAAAAATTAAAATGGTATTTCTATCAAAATAGAAAAATTCCTTTTTTAAAGATATTTTCCCAAATTTCCTGAAATGAATATTGGGTAAATAAATAAAATATGGGAAGTGAATAATATATAGAAAGACTGAAAAGGTAAATTGGAAAAGAAAAGCCTTCTTCCTATGTAACGACTACATTGGCTTGGCAAGAATCTACTAATTTGTTTTAGAAAAGCTTGATAACTTAGCCTGAGTGGCTCTGCAGGGAGACATTTACTTTCCATTTCATCGGAACATCACTTAGCATTTTTTTTGTTTTTCTTTTAAAAGTCCGATCTCTTCAAAAATAATGTCTCAGTTTCTCTTACGTCTGTCCAAACTATCTTCCCGGAGCAATGTTCTTGTATGTAATCTTTCTCTCTCTGTCTCTCTCGCTTTATCTCTTGGTTTAACTAGATCTGTATCAGTTAGGTTTTGTTTCAGATTGGCTTTTTAGGGAGCAAAGTTGAGTTTGAGTTTGTCTCTAAATGATGACATCCGGAAGATAAAAAGGATCTGAGGGTGGAGATTAGTTGCTATAGGCTTAGCTATACCCCTAACAGTGTGTGTGTGTGTTTTTTTTTTTTTTTTTACTTGTCGGCAGATACACAAGAGCGTTCGTTTGATCTCAACCAGCCCGTATCTGACAGTTGGTACTAGGGTTAAGGATGTGTTGTCGGGCGGCTGCAACATTGGAGATATTCTCTTGTTAGACCCGGCCAAAGAAGAGTTAGCCACGATCCCGGACAAAACGATCCCCAAAGAGCTCATGGAAGAAGAAATGATTGGAGCTTCCCATGGATGGGCATTTTTCTGTGACTAACGCGACCGCTCGGTACGTATCAGCGACATTTTGAACCCATTAGCATCCAAATCAAACCCCACCGTGATTCCTCTGCCTCGGCTTACTGCTCTGTCCCCTGATCAACCAGATGAAGTTTGTAACGTAGCAATGTCGTCCTCTTCCCCTCATCATCAAGACAATGACGAAGAAGACTGTGTGGTGGCTATCAAGTTCTTCGGTAGGCAACTGAGTATGTGCAGGCCCGGTCTTGACCTTGAGTGGACTAACATCTCAACCCCTGTCTTTTGCTGTGATAGCTCAAATCTCATGTATTCAAAAAGAGACCAGAAATTCTACTTGCCTGCTCCTGGAGGCAACTACTTGTACTCCTATCATCTCAACTCCCAAACAGAAGACAGCCCTGAGCTCCATGAGCTGTCCTTTCGCGACCATCCAGTGTTGGATCGGTCCCAGTGGGAGCTTTTGAATTCGTGTTTCAGGACTGAATACCTTGTGGAGTCACCTTCTGATGGTGAACGTTTCCTAGTCAAATGGTACACTCTAGCTTTTTCAATTATACCAGTCTGAATTCATATTGTTTTTTCGGAGAAAAACAAAAATAAAAATTGCCAAAAATAAAATTTTTTAAAAAGAAATGACTACAAAACAAAGAGGTTCATGGTGTTTAGAGAGGAGGAGACAACGGAGGGAAGTATCATGTGTTACACAGAAGATATTGGAGATATGTGCATTTTTCTTGCAAGCAACGAGGCTTTCTGCATCCCGGCTAGCTCCAGCCCCAGCCTAGACCCTAACACAATCTATTTTATGGGACGTGGCTTAGGTTTTTTCCATCTCACTACAGGAGAAGCACATCATTATAAAACTCTCGATGGCGTTCTCAGCACCCATTACTGGCTACCTCCGTTTTCTATATAGATCTACTACAACTGTACTCCGATCCCGGTCCTTTTAATTAGTTTCTTTCCATGAATCGGTTTGCATTGCTAAACTCTAAACACTGTTTTTGATGGAACTAGTAAACCCTATTTCAAAATCTTAAACGTCGGTGTTACGGTCGTAGTTAGCTTTTATTTTTTTTATATAAGATGTATATATTTTGGTTTTGGTATTCCAGTATTCTAACATATCATATTTCTCATCTACAAGTTAATAAGGATTTGGCCAGCTAATGTGTTTTATGTAAGTTAACAGAAATACTTGTTTTGTTATTTCTTTCATGTTGTTACATATAATAACACCACAGAATTAGACAGATAATGGAGGAAGCCAGTAAGGGAGGAAAGGAACACTTTCTGGTGAACCTTTGGGAGGTAATGAAAAGTGATGAGCGTCTCCGGTGGTGAGATCACAAACAGCAAAGCAACGGCCCATCAAGTAGACGGAGTTGGGCTTGAGACCAGGGCAAGAGCTGGCCGCAACGCAGAAAGGTTCGCTTTTTGAAAGGAAGATGCAAAGATCACCAATGTCCTCGGTGTAACACATGTTTCTTGTTCCATCTTCTGTGACTTGATCCTCTCTAAACACCATCACTATCGGATCTTTGCATCGTCGAGGAGGGACACGAGAGTACCTGCAAACGCACGTAGGACCCAAATTAGCATTGACCAAAATTACATATATGTTACAACATTCTTTACCATTTGACTAGGAAACTTTGGCCAGAAGGTGACTCCACCCAATGGTCCTCCCTGAAACAAGAATTCAAATGCTCCCAAGCGAACTGTGGCAACTCGGGAAGGTTTGGAAACACCAACTCATAGAACTTAGGGTCGTTATTGAAATGGAGATCCCAAGAACACAAGTAGTTGCCTCCAGGAGCAGGCAGATAGAACCTTTGATCTCTCTTTGAAAACATGATATTTGAGTTTTCCGAGCAGTCGAAAGGGACTAGTTTGTTAGTCCAAACAAGGTCATGACCGGGCCTGCACATACTTAGTTGCCTACCCAGGAACTTGATAGCCACCACACAGTCTTCTTCCTCACTGTCTTGATGATCAGGGGAAGGGGACGACATTGCCACGTTCCATACCACTTTGGTCTGGCCATATCTCAAAGTAGTAAGCGGAGGCAGAGTAATAATCTTGGTGTTTGATTTGGAAGCCCAGGGATTAAAAAGGTCCGTGATCCGCACACAACTATGATTGCACCGGTCAGAGAGAAATTGCCATCCATGTGAAGCTCCGACCAATTTCAAGTCAACAAGATCTTCGGGTATTATTTTGTCCGGGACTCCGGCTAATTGTTCCTTGGACGGATCGAAGAAGAGTACATCTCCTATGCATTTGCTGCTTGCTCCTGACTTGTCATCCCCAAAGATGCCAAGTGTCAGAAACGGGCTGGTTGAGAATAAACGAACGCTCTTGTGTATCTGCTAAGTAAAAATGCTCAGACATCAGAACCCACAAGTAAAAAAAAAAAAACACAGTCTTAAGCGTATAGCTAAGCCTAGCTATGAATTAGTCTTTACCATCCGATCCTTTTTATCTTCTGGATGTTATCATTTACAGACAAACTCAAAACTCAGTTTTGCTCCCTAAAAAGCCGATCTGAACAAAACCTAACTAATACAGATCTAGTTAAACCAAGAGATAAAGCGAGAGAGAAAGAGAGAGAGAGTCAGAGAGAGAAGAATACATACAAGAACATTGTTCCGGGAAGATAGTTTGGAGAGACGGAAGAGAAGCTGAGACATTATTTTCAAGATATCGGAATTTAAAAAAAAAGAAAAAAAAACCCGCTCAGTGATGTTCCGATGAATTGGAAAGTAAATGTCTCCCAGAGCCACTCAGGCTTGGTTATCAAGCTTTTCTAAAAACAAATTATTAGAATCTTGGCAAACCATTAATGTACTCGTGACATGTAGGAAGAAGGCTTCTCTTTTCCCATTTACCTTTCCAGTTTTTCTATATTTTATTCACTTTCCATATTTTATTTATTTACCCAATATTCATTTCAGGAAATTTGGGAAAATATATTTTTAAAAAGGAAATACTATATTTTGAAAACTGCACCAATTTATTTTATTGTTTCGCGTTTGTGAAAACTACACTTAATTTTAGTAAAATCAGTAGATTTAACCAAATTAAAAATTATAATCATTTTAATATGTAGATTAGTTTTTTAGCTTAGTATAAACAACACCTGATGATACTTGCAAAATCAGGTCTTCTCAGCGCATTCCAACAGAGTTTAAACTAAAGCTCCCTAATTATGATGTAGATTACTTTGCGTAAACACAAACCATAAATTAATAACGTCAAAACAGAAACATACATAACGATGATATTTGTACCTCGATCCTAGCAAAATCCAAACCGGTCTAGAGAAACTAAACTCGAAATGCACCACATATAAGTATATAACAGCACTGCAACGAACCAAACACACCAACCACAGAACTAGACAGAATAAGGAGGAGGAAGCCAGTAAGGGAGGAAAGGAACCCTTTCTGGTGAACCTTTGGGAGGTTCAAAGTGGCGAGATCACAAACAGCAAAGCAATCTCCACCACCCTCCGATCCTTGTCTACCTGATGTCATTATTCAGAGGCAAACCAAAACTTGTTCACTAATAGCCTTTATATCCAATTAAACAAGACCTAAACTGATACAGAACGAAACCAACAGATCCAGAAAAGGGAAGAGACGCTTTACATACAAGCACATTTTCCCGGGTAGAAAGTTTGGAGAGACCGAAGAGAAGCTGAGACATGCAGGGCTGGCCCGGGGCTTTAGGCGCCAGAAAATATATACAAATTAAGGGCAGTAAATATCAGAATATGTAGTGTAGTGCAGTGGTTTTTTAAAGAAATTGTATACATCAGGTCGCGGGTTCGACTCTAATGGATGCAGAATTGTGTTTTTTTTTAATTATGGGCAACAAAAATTTTGTATTCAAAGAGACCACCAAATCAGATCAACATAAAATCAATTAGAAAAATAGAAAAACTCTATAATGTTTTGATGAAGTAGAAAAAAACAATCTCTCCCACATATCTTCTCCACCATCTACAAGACTCTCGCTCAGGCTTGGTTACCAAGCTTTTTTCTTTCCACTTTCCTTTTTGTCAAACACACAGTAATGGAATCTTGCCAAACCAAGGTACTCGCTACTTGCAGGAAGAGGTCTACCCTTTTCCATTTTTCTATATAAATTTATGTATTTTTATAAAAATATACATTTTCTATATTTTTTTATTTACCCAATATTCATTTTACCATGGTCTCACTCGTTCAGTCAACAATAACTTTTGTTGAGAAAGAAAAATCAATCATCTAGATTCAATAAATTTCACGCGACTTCATTATAAGTAGCCAACCACATTTCTTCATACTACAATCCTGAGCGACCCCATGAAATTTATCATTTTAGACAATTTTATTCTCATCGCTGGCTTATCAGTAGCGCCTACATTAGCAACCACCCTTGTTACTGATAAGCCAATGATGGAAACAAAATTTTCTAGTGTCTTCTTTGTCTTCTACTAACACTTTAAAAGTTGTCATTGGTGAACAATAAAAAAAAACAGAAGATGAAGATGATTATGAAAGAGGAAGATGAGGATGAAGATTAAAAAAAGGCTATCTTAAATAGGAGAGGAGGAGGAAGATGAAGATGAAGGAAGAAGGGATAATATCTTCCCACAATAAAGAAGAGATCTCAATGTCTAAATTTTTCAAAGTATTCTCTGTGTATTTTTTATTTCGTAGAGAGTGTTTTTCGAAATTGTTGAGTTTTCTTTACAGTAATTGAGAAATGTGCAATGATAGAGGATGGAGAAGACAGTGGGTCTGAGGCTGGGAGAAACCAAAAAATTAACATTATATATTGGGAGATAATATATATATATATATATATATATTTATTTGTGATGTGTGACACACATTTAATGGCTATTTGTAATTAAGATTACAAATATTTTGTAAAATCTTTTACGTAATTAAAGTGGGATCGATATTGACTTCCCAAAACTCTAAAACCTAAACATTAACTGTTACAAATCTTTCAGTTATCACGCTCCCGCAAAAGTTGAGCAAAAGTTGAGCAAAAGTTGAGCAGTATTTATTTGTGGTATATCAAAATTTCTATAACTAAACAAATACAGAAAGTCAGTAAGATATACATATAAAACAATATATTATTGTCTTAACAAAAAAACAGTGGAAGGTTTTATATTGTTTTAGGCTCTAAATATTCTATCCAGCTCTTAAGCCATAATATTCTTAAAACTTATAACTTGTTTTTCGCAAAAAAATATGTTTAAAACTTATTGCTTTATATATTTTACATTTTTTTTTACTTTGATAGATAATTTCTTACTAGAAAATCGTCTTTAACCTCAGAGCAATGTATTTTGCTTAGTTTTGAGCAATTCTTTTATATTTCTGAACGAACAAGCTTGCTTAGGATTCTCCAAAGTTGATTCAGTCAAACATGTTTTGTAAGTGACCATTACTCAAGGCATATAATACATATGATCTTCAAGACATTCTTGAGAAAATGTTCATTAATCAAACCATATCCTTTGCTATGTCATATCAGCTACTGTATTACATTCTTAAGGATATGACGTTAAATAGAAAATAAGAGGTGAAAAAGGATGATGAAGGAGAAAATATCTTCGGATAAAGAGTTAGAGAACTCATTTCCAAACTTCATCAAATGTTCTCTGAAAACAAGTTTTTTCAGACAGAGAGGATTCGATACTTCTACTGATAAATTAGCTAAACAACAAGCAGTACATACTACATAGTGATACTGATAGGCAATGGTCTTAAACTTTTTGTTTTTTTTTCTTTTTGGTAAATAATGATACTTGCAGGTCCCATATATATTATTATATATTCAATATACTGTGTTTTAATGAAATTAATAAACAAAGTGGCAAAGTTAGAAACCGTTTTCAAAGAATATAGATTTGTTCAACACTCTATTTGTCTTTAACCTCCTCTGCTTCACTGAACAGAGTCTCCACAAATCTCATCCACAAAAGCCTCCATGTTCTTATCCGAAGACCCTCCTTCTCTGCCCGCTTCAACCGCTAAACGCTTCCATTTCTCAGCGTTTTCCCTCAGCTCCTCAGCTTTCTCCCCCATCACTGCTTCCAAACACCTCCTTATCTCTCCTCTCTCCACCAAACCTTCCTCGTTCTCTCTCACCCTCACACCTGTCTTCCATGAATCCTCCAGTAGCTTCGCGTTCGTCGGTTGATCCGACCACATCGGAAACGCCACCACCGGAACGCCAAGAACCAAACTCTCCAGCGTCGAGTTCCACCCACAGTGAGTCACGAAACAACCTACGGCTCGGTGTCTTAAAACCTCCACCTGTGAACACCAAGACACAATCATCCCAACGTCTTCGAGCTCGTGTCTGAACTCAGCTATCTTCTCAATCTCTGTCTCGTCCTCTCCTTCTGTTTTCGCTTCTCTGTTGGATTTATCAGTTATAACCCACAAAAACGGTCTCTTCCATTCTATGAGTGCTCTCGCTAGTTCCTCTATCTGTTTCTTGGACAGCTCAACCATTGTCCCAAAAGAAACGTAAATAACAGAGGACTCTGTTTTCGAGTCTAGCCAAAGTTTATAACTACTTAGCTCTTTAACTGATTCGCTTCCTGTGAAAATATCTGGAGGAAGTAAAGGACCAACTGCCACCATTCCGATATTCGGGATAGCCGTTAAAGCCTCTGGTTCCAACGAATCAAATGTGTTGACGAGGATTTTCGGATTAGATTCTTCTTTAAGAAACTCCATTAGCTCTTGAAACGCTGCGTTTACGTTTTTGTACATGTTCGTATCCGTAGGCGTGAGGAAAGAAGGAAGATCACGGTTTGCCAGAGACGGAAGATTCCGGAGCTCGAAACCGGAGTTTTTGCCGTTGAAGTGGTCGTAATAGATGTCGAAAACCAAAGCCGGTTGGATCCAGAGAAGAGCAGAGGGAAGTTGAAACCTACGCGCCACTTTTGGAGCCCAATTGAGAAGAATCGTGTAGACCAAGCAAGTCACTGGAGAGTCACCATCCCGATTAGCTTCGATGAAATCCGATAGGGTTTTATCGCCGTTGATCTTGAGATTCACAGACCGATTTTCACGGTCTTCGGCGGTGGAAACGCCTCCGTCGTCGAAGCCGTCGGAGAAAGTAAGGAAAGAGAGATTGTTGAGGTCGCTTTGGGTAGAAATCATAGAGCGGTGGAAGACGGAGAGACACGTGGCAAAAGTGACACGTGCGCCGGTGGTTTTTATGAGCCGACGAGCGAAACGGAGAGATGGGTTCACGTGACCTTGTGCCGGAAAAGTTACAAGTAGAAAATGCAGTGGCGCCATTTGTATTTGTTTTGATCCACTTCGAAGTGACTGTAGAGTCAGATACGAGAATCTGTGTGTCGTCTCTCCATGTGGATTTGTGCTGTTATATATATATATATAGAGAGAGATATAAATATAGATGAGCAATTAGATTTTGATACTTAGGTATGCACATGCATGCATGCGTCTTCATCAAACATACGGAAAATTGTAATCAAATTAACTTGTGAGTTGTGTGACGTCTGTGGTGACCCTCACTAGTTAAATGCCTTTTGGCATCGTTCGTGTAAAATCCAAATTTGCGATTGGCTTTTGCAGATTTTACGTCGACATGTGAATGAAGGTACAAGCACGTTTTCTATTTTCATTTTCAATTAACATTTTAAAAAAAAAATTTGTTTACCCTTCTCTCTATTGAGCAGTCAGTTTTATTTTGATAGTTTTCACCTATACTAAAATATTTTATAACATACTTATTTCTTAGTACAATAAATAACTTTTTTTGCCAAACAAACTCTAAAACGACGTGTAATAGTGGAACAGAGAATATAATAAACGTAACAATAAAAACAAACTAAAAGTGACAAAATTATCAACAATAATTATTATCCCGTCGTTATCATGACATGGACGAGAAGACAAATTAACGTAGAAAACTTCAAATGATGCACATTTTCATAGTGTTTTGAATCTGCGGGCAAACTTTTGTCTTTCAGACGATAATAAGAGATACGTCTCACTTGTGGAAATAATAATAACAAATAATAATAACATAGGTTATATATATTAAAGTTCAAACAATTTCTATAACTTCTAACGGGAAAACGGCAATTTAGTACTTGAACTGCGAATTCTAGTACCAATTAATACCCAAGAAATTTTAGTGTATGAATTAATACTTCAACTTGTATAAATTGAAAAATCAGTACCTATTTTTTAGGTCATTTAGTACTTTGACCAAGTTCCCATCAGTTAACTCCGTCAATTTTTAAACGGAGTTCTCTCTGATGCCACGACCACTTCCACGTCACTCTACCGTTATAGTTGTTAACTAAACGACGTCGTTTTTGATTCTGGACAAACAAAAAAAATTAGTAAAACAACGTCGTTTTGGATTAAAGAGAACAAAAAAAAAATATAGAAAACATCGTACGATTCGACAAAAAAAAACAAAAAGCGCGTTTAGTCTTCTTCTTCATCTCTTTCCTCATTTCTTACTTCATCTTCTCCATCGCTATTCTCTACAGTGTCTTCATCACTTTCCATGTATATCTCAACAGCATTGGTTTAGCAATAAACAATAAACAAATGAAATCGAAACCTGATGTACCTCAATTTTAACGAAATTTTAGCTCCCACTAAGCACTCAACTTCAAATTTTGTTTTGATTTCAACCCAGCTTCTATTTTGGCCAATGCTTCTTGCAGAATTGAAATGAAACTTTAATCCCCAATTTCATTCAGGTGTCACGAGGAAGAAGAAGACTAAACATGTTTTTTGTTTTAATTTTGTGTCAACCTAAACGACGTTGTTTTCTATATTTTTTTTGTTCTCTTGAATCCAAAACGACGTCGTTTTACTAATTTTTTTTTGTTTGTCCAGAATCCAAAAATGACGTCGTTTAGTTAACAACTACAACGGTACAGTGACGTGGAAGTCTTCGTGGCATCAGACAGAATCCTATTTAAAAATTGACGGGGTTGACTAACGAAAATTTGGTCAAAGTACTAAACGGCCAAAAAAACATTGTACAGGTACTGATTTGCCAATTTATACGAGTTTAAGTATTTATTCGCATACCAAAATTTCTTGGGTATTAATCGGTACCAAAACTTGCAGTTCAGGTACTAAATAGCCGTTTTCCCAACTTTTAACGGTAGAAAACTTGGAAAGCAAGCAACAACAAATAACCATGATGAATTTATAAATCCTACATATACGCCATTTACATATGTGTTTATGTCACTGTTTGTTTTTTGAGGACCGGTCCTTTCTTTGACCACCAAGAATACGAGAAATTTGCAGACCTCTGCTAAATGCTTGATTAAAGAGCATTCTTGTCTGGAACTCGGACACAAAGGGAAACCAAGCCAAGAACGCAACCGGCGTGAACAGAAGCAAGCCCATCACGATCTCATATCCCCTAGCTAGCGTCCTAACCGATGACCATATCCCTAGCTGTTGGATCAGAGGCTTACACGCTTGTGCAATCTGATGAGGAGGACAAAACGAAGCCAGCCAATGTCACAAAACCAGCAGACAACTTAGAGACAAAAGAGGAGTTTCATGAAAGAGTAATACTTACAAGAAGCATTCCCCATCCAGTTGGCATAAAGGCAAGCATGCAGATGAACAAGTCTTTAATTGTTATCAGAGGAAGTGCGAGGAAAGTTATGAGAATTGCAACAAATGTGAGGAACACAAGACCCTTTATGATTCTGAATAGAAGCTGGAAATTCGTGCTGAATCTTCGCCTTCCCACGCCCAAACCCTGCAATGATCGTTACACAGAATAAATCAACACAGTGTTTAGAATGTTCCAAGAAAACCAAATGCGAATAAAAGATTCATACCTTCACAATGAGTAGAATGAATAAGATCACAAACCATGAAGCTCCATAAACCTACACACACCGGTTATTAAGAGTCATTGTCATTCAATGATCAAGGTCTTAACCATACGGAGGGAATTAGTTATGAGCTTAGCTTACCCAAACGCTTTGATTTTTCCCTTTAAAGGTACTGAGGTGATAAACAAGTCCATACTGAAATATGAAGAAGCGCAATGCCAAAAAAATCTCAAGGATGATACCACGGATCCCTGAGTGTCGAAGATGTTCCAACTCTTTCTCCCACCAAGACTCCCAGCTTTTCTCAGGCGGAACACCAATGCCTCCCCTGTTGTATATCCATTTGTTCCAGTCTGTCCAGTCATCAACAATCTTTTGCCACTCGAAACCAGACGGGTTGAATAAGAACGGAGCAAATAGCCATGTTACGACCATGAACCATATTGAGACAGTGATCAGAATATAGGTAACCACACCCCTATATGGTTGGCCAAATAGTTGATACACGAGTAGGAGAATCATAAGCTCAATGCCCTTCACGAAGTGACTACGGGAATAGAACCTATAGTTCTCCGCAAATTTAGCATGGAACACCACAAACCCACGACCAGTTCCTCTGTACTCTGCTCCTCCGTGAAACAGTGTTCTTCCATAGTAATGTGTTTTTGTCCCGAGTTGAAACGTGAAGAAAACAGAAGCAAGTTGTAGCTGCATCAGCACAAACTCAATTAATGCGTTATGAAATCCCCTTTCAAGTCCAATCTCCATCATCATAGGCAAAGCCATAAGAAAACCAATCTGAACAAATGATTGAGAAGCAAGAGCTGCCTGAAGAGGCCTGTTGTTACGAAAAGCTCGTTGGTTGCTCAATCCTTCTTCAAGCCCACTAAGTACTAGATACAACCGGCCGTAAAGAAACACATATACCGTAAGCACGGTTAACTGTCAAAAACAGAGAAAATGGCTTTAGACTTGAGAAACAAAAATACACCCGCCATTTTAATGGTTGAGATGAAAGTGAAAAATGTCAACCTACCATGGTACTGAAATAGAACCCAATTGTGGTGAAATAACAAGACAGCATCCGGAAGAAATCAAATCGGTGTCCCAGTCTGTACAAGTCGCGACTCAAAGTTTGCTCACCATTTCCATTGGCAATTTTGGCCTCAAACATTGAGATCTGGTTAAGGCCCACATCTCTCCCTTTACCAACTTGTATATATTCATGATGAGTCACATTTCCTTCACGCAGAGTTGAATTAAAACCTGAAAGCAGTAGATAGGTCTGAGAAAATAAAAACTATATGAAGTACACTACATCATATGTGTACGGTGTACCACCAGAGAAGAGGAGATCAAGCAAGTACCTGCAAATATGTCTTCACTAAGATTGATGACCTTAGAAGCTTTGCAGATACCACCTCTGGTAAGGTGAAACAGACGATCAAAAATATCTGGATGACCGTAATGGAATCGTACTCTGGAGCAGCGAGAGAAAGAACACATTAACTTTGACAATCACAATATCCAGATTTCCTCTCAGAAGATTTCAGAACAGGGAAGAAACTTACTTCAAGGGACTAGCTAGCACCCTTTGCCCAATCGTTACAAAGCTGTTCTCCTGATTTGACATAAACCATGCAAGAGAAGACACACTTGCCACAAGAAACCACAAACGTATGAGATCAATATCTGCACTGAAACTAAAAATCTAAAGACATAAATAAGATCATACTGTTAGTACCTTCCAGTGAAAATATGCTCTCTAAGACCAAGAATCGTAGGACATCTAACGCCTCCATGTTTTTCAAGAAACTCTTGCAGCAAGTTCCTCATTTTGAAAGCTTCTTCCATGTAGTTATCCTATTTGTCAAATCTTTAGAGGTTATAATTCTCCCATGGTGATCGTTCTTTCAACTAATCATAAGCATAAATGAGATTTATTAGGTGACACATCCTAGACAAAAGAAAATTATGCAATGCACCTGGTTCATGTCTATTGTTTGCAACCCTTCTCCGCGTGTAAAAATGATAGCATGGTTCTGATTCTCGGGCTTTCCCTCTCCTAGTATAGCAGGTCCGGGAAGCTTAATCCGATAAATGAGCTGGCAGAAAAGAATATAAACTCAGTCTCTCCAGAAAATAGTTACAATAGCATCAACATTCTCTGAACTCACTGCATAGGGTTCTCCTCATCCTTGCATTATGGAAAACAAAAAAAGGGCACCAAAATGTCGAGTATTATAATTATTTTTCTCATCTATACCTGATCTAGTGTTTGAACAGATTCAGAAGAATCCATTGGTTTGGTTTGCGGAGCAGCTTTCACAAGAGCTGAGTAATAAATCTTTTCCTCTGTCCTCTTATTACTGTCTTTATGTGTTTGCTCGACCTCATCGATATAGGCAACACGAATAGACGGATACCTGCCACAAAGAAATATCAACCTTAACTAATGAGGCTAAGAAAACAATAACAAATCAACGGAGAAGATCAAAGGATGAAAAATTGAAGAGATTACGTTGTCATTAGTCTTAGTATGTCTTTAGCACGTTGGTCACCAGATCTCTTTTGGATACTGTATTGTTGGCAAGAAACCACAAAGGTGAATTTCATATCGGCAAGTGCTTGAC